GTGTCCATATAATGTCTTAGTTATAATACTCCACCTATAATAATAACCAAGATAATTGCACTTGTTGGTTCTTGTTGGCGCTTTGAGGTTTTCGGCATTAGCAGTTTCTCGAAAAACGAGATCATGACATGTAAGCTACTTTTTTTGTAACTGTTAAAGCTTCCGAGATAGCCTATTCTAACATCGAATTTGAACCATCCTGTATGTGGACGACAAATTCAACTTTTTAACACTTTTATGGAGGTTTTCTTTTAAAACTTCTTCTTCATACCTTGATGCGACCATCAGATCGGAAATTGTTGAACTTACTCTCATCTGAGAAGAGTACTTGATCCCAGAAGGTATTTGGTTTATTCCTTTGCGTAGTCCAGGCGTTTCTTTTAGCTACGTACAGATATTAATGGCTTTTACAACACGTGCCTTTAACCAGCCTCGTGTAGTAGTCTTCTAATGGTCATGGGATGAATATCCTTTCAGAAATCTTATTTTACTTCAGCAGCAATCTGTGTTGACGTTATTTTTGGGTCTGCTTTGACTTTTCGGATTATCTGCTTGCGTTCCCGATCGCTTAGCTCGGAGACGGCCAGAATGCTTAGCTATTTTGAAATTTGATGCTCCTTTAAATCGTTTAATAACGCTGCAAATAGTATATCCGCTTCTGTTCATAATTTCTGCAATGTCAGCATACGGTCTGCCTTGGTTGTGCAAATAAAGAATTATTTTGCGGTCAGATACGGTGGTTTCTTTTTGTATTCAATTCAATTGCATATTTAATGAACTACTAACTGTCAATAAGGGACTTTTGACATTTCGACTAAGCATATGTACGTTTATACCAATTATTAAGTGTGCCAATAATTTAGTGCGGTGAAAATGTATAGATTTTTTGAAATAAATGCTTAAAAAAATAAAAATATTTAAAAAAAATAACTGCAATAACAACTTCTCTTCATTAAATTGTCTTTACTTCTTTATTGTGAAACTGTCACTGTTTTAAAATACCTTGTGTTCAAATTATCTAATGTCAAAATAATCTGTAACTTATTATTCTTGTTGTTATTGTTATTTTTTAGTTTAATAATAATTGGTATTAATACAGGGTGTCTCACGTAACTGGTTTGTTAGACCTTTTTTAGGTTTCACTATTCGTAGAGGTTTGAAATTTTGGTAGCATGGGTTGTTCATTCTAAACTTTCAATCTAAAATATTTTCAAGATGGCCACCACTTCCGGTCTACCGGAAGTAGATCACAACTTCGTTATTTTAAATGGAAAGCTATAGTTTTTATTACACCTTTCAATTATACATAAAACAATATGTTGACTTTGATAAAAGTTGTTAGTACCTACCATTTTTTGTTTTCGAGTTATTTTGATTTTAAGCTTTATTTTGGCAAATTTCACCATGCTCTTTAAAAGCCTATATCTCAGTTAACGTTTATTAAAAAAAACCTCTAAATTGGCACGATTACTCTTCAGATGTTCCCAAATAGATTGTCATTTCTTATATCAGAGTATCTTATACAGGGTGGTCAAAAATTGAATTACTGTTTCCATATTCAATGGCTAGAAAGTCGAAAATTTTAAATGGAATACCCAGTAGTTTTTACCCTATCAGAAAGGGAATTTAATTCTCTACAAATTATCTATAAACATTCCTATACCTATTTATTGTAGTTTCCTTGATATTGGGACATTAATCAAAGCATGCACGGAATGCGGGAAAACGTTTGATTTTTTTATTAGAAGGCAATGGAATTTTGACAGTTTTTGGTCCATATTTGTGTTATTGTTGTTGTTACTTACTTTTGATCACGAGTGAAAGTCATTGTATATCATGGCAAATTATTCCAACGCCGATATTTTAAATTTGTTTTATATTCATGGCAATGGCCTCCACGATCTCCAGATTTAACACCATTGGATTTTTATTTGTGGGGTCACTTAAAAAATCAAGTGTACAATTCACCGATCAACACACGACAAGAGTTGCGTGATAGAGTGATGCGTGCACTACGTACTATTGATGGCGACCAACTTCTACGGGCCACAACCGTAGAAGTCGAAAGAAGAGTTGAAAAATGTTTAATGGTGAATGGTCAGCATATCGAACAGTTTTAATTTTTTTATAATTTTAAGTTTTTGTTTTTTTATATGTTATTCATTCTAATTTCTGTTATTAAATTGTTGTTTTTCATTGTTTCATTTATTCGTTTTTCTGTTGGTTATTTTTGGTAAATAAAAGCGAGCAAGCTAAAGGTTATTCAACCATAGTTAATTGTAGAAATAATACCAATAATAATTTAAATAAATTAAACGATGAACTGTCAAAATGTCTTGGCCTGCTAACAAAAACACAAACGGGCTTTGGGATTCTATGTCTGATTTTGATTAATTTTCCAATATCAGGGAAACTACAATAAATAGGTATAGGAATGTTTATAGATAATTTGTAGAGAATTAAATTCCCTTTCTGATAGGGTAAAGAAATATGGGGTGTTCCATTTAAAATTTTCGACTTTCTCGCAATTGAATATTGAGAAACGATAATTCCATTTTTGACCAGCCTGTATAAGATTCTCTGATACAACAAATGACAATCTATTTGGCACCATCTGTAGAGTAGTCGTGCCAATGCAGAGCTTTTTTGAATGATCGTTAGCTGAGATATGGGCTTTTAAAGACCATGGAGAAATTTGTCAAAAAACACTTAAAATCAAAATAACTCGAAAACAAAAAACGCTAGGTACCAACAACTTTTATCAAAGTCAACATATTTTTTTACGTATAATTGAAAGGTGTAATAAAAACTATAGCATTCCATTTAAAATAACGAAGTTGTGGTCTATTTCCGGTAGACCGGAAGGGGTGGCCATCTTGAAATATTTTAGATCGAAAGTTTAGAATGAACAACCCATGCTACTAAAATTTCAAACCACTACGAATAGTGGAACCTTAAAAAGTTCTAACGAACCAGTTACGTGAGACACCCTGTATAATTGTGGTGAATAAACATTAATTTATTTTTATCTCTTACTTATAAATACAGTGAAATTCCCCTAACTCGAATCGCTAAGGGAGCCGAAGAAAACGTCGAGTTAGAGAAAAATTAGTAGAATTTCAACTCTAAAGAAAAGAAATTAGAAATGTACTTTTCTAATACGTATATTTAACCTTTCAACTAATTCAATAAGAATAAACAACAATCTAGCGCTGAATAACATTTAAAACTAGAACTAACACTAGAACTAGAAACATTTGGATTTAGCCCTGCGTCTTCTAAGACGGCTAAACCCGAATGTTTCTAGTTCTAGGTCTAATGTTAGCTCTAGTTTTATAGTTGTACTGTAACTAGAACTAACACTATACCTAGATCTAGAATTATTCGGGTTTAGCCGTCTTATGAGACGTGCGGCTAAACCCGAATGTTTTTAGTTCTAAGTATAGTGTTAGTTTTACGCTTGCAATGTCACTAAAACTAACATTAACCTAATTAATATTATTAACCTAATTTGGATTTAATCCTGCGTCTTCTAAGACGGCTAAACCCGAATGTTTCTAGTTCTCGGTCTAGTGTTAGTTCTAGTTTTATACTTGCATTGTCACTAGAACTAACACTATACCTAGAACTAGAATCATTCGGTTTTAGCCGTCTTAAGAGACGTGCGGCTAAACTCGAATGTTTCTAGTTCTAGGTATAGTGTTAGTTTTACAGTTGCAATTTCACTAAAACCAACATTAGACTGACTAGTGTTAATTCTAGTTTTACACTTGCACTGTCACTAGAACTGGAATCATTGGGGTTTAGCCGTCTTAAGAGACGTGCGGCTAAACCCAAATGTTTCTAGTTCTAGGTATAGTGTTAGTTTTAGTTTTACACTTGCAATGTCACTAAAACTAACATTAGACCTAGAACTAAAAACATTTGGGTTTAGCCCTGCATCTTCTAAAACGGCTAAACCCGAACGTTTCTAGTTATAGATCTAGTGTTAGTTCTAATTGTTATTCAGCGGTATTTCGAATCATAAAATCACTGTAATAAAAAAAGTTGCCTTACAGAACGGATTCAAATAGTTTATTCTTTAGAAAATTCGACATATAGAAGTTAAAGGTGAAATAATTNACTAACATTAACCTAATTAATATTATTAACCTAATTTGGATTTAACCCTGCGTCTTCTAAGACGGCTAAACCCGAATGTTTCTAGTTCTAGGTCTAGTGTTAGTTCTAGTTTTATACTTGCATTGTCACTAGAACTAACACTATATCTAGAACGAGAATCATTCGGTTTTAGCCGTCTTAAGAGACGTGCGGCTAAACTCGAATGTTTAGCCGTCTTAGAAGACGCAGGGCTAAACCCAAATGTTTCTAGTTCTAGGTCTAGTGTTAATTCTAGTTTTACACTTGCACTGTCACTAGAACTGGAATCATTGGGGTTTAGCCGTCTTAAGAGACGTGCGGCTAAACCCGAATGTTTCTAGTTCTAGGTATAGTGTTAGTTTTAGTGACAATGCAAGTATAAAACTAACATTAGACCTAGAACTAAAAACATTTGGGTTTAGCCCTGCTTCTTCTAAGACGGCTAAACCCGAATGTTTCTAGTTATAGATCTAGTGTTAGTTCTAATTGTTATTCAGCGGTATTTCGAATCATAAGATCACTGTAATAAAAAAAGTTGCCTTACAGAACGGATTCAAATAGTTTATTCTTTAGAAAATTCGACATATAGAAGTTAAAGGTGAAGTAATTCCATAATAATTCAGTTCGAGTTACAAAGAAATTGGAGTTAGTGAAATTCGACATAGGACACATTTGAAACTTGGTAAAACGCTTGAACTTACAAAAATGATTCGACTTAGATAATAATTCGAGATATAGAAGTTCGAATTAGGGGAATTTTATTGGCTATTTAAAAATGATTGCTGATTTTAAAATAGGCCTTGATGGTAGAAAAACGAATCTTACAATATCTACAAAGTTTTTTTTCTTTTGTGTTGCAGCAGCAGCAGCGGCGTTTCAAGTACCGGACTGGTGTCGGCGCCGATGAATGGGATTGGCATCTCAAGTACAGCCGGTTCAGCACCAACTGCCATGTATAGACCGAATTTCTCGCAGGCGTTCCAACGGGCCGGACCATACCCTCTTTTTCCAGGGCAGGCCGGCCCATTCGCCGCCGCCGCCGCTGCCGCCACCGGCTTAATTGCAAACGGTACAAAAAACAATTTTTTTTAAACCCGCTAATTTCACTTTTTTTATTCTTTTCTCTTTTACCCTTTTACAACTTACAACTAAACTTTTTCTTTTATTTGCACAAAAACTCTTTCGAATTCATTCAACAGTTTCTCCATTTCTCATTTAGGATCTGGTCATTAATAAATTTGCTGATTTTGGTTTTTATTCGTTTTTAGGTCCTGCTGATTTAAGTATGAAACAAAAACCGTTAGTTAACCATAAGTTGAACACTGGGGAAATGGCTGCAGTAAGGCAACTGATAACTGGTTATCGTGAATCGGCGGCGTTTCTTTTACGTTCGGCGGACGAATTAGAACAACTTTTAATTCAACAACAATAAATTTAATTTCGAAGATGAGAGAATTAAGTTTGATTGTACATTTTGTATTTAAAACGAAAATGATAAAGAGAATGAACTGTTAGTCACTAATGCCATAAACATAAAAATGGTTAGAGAGCGAGTATTTAACATGTTACTATTATTATTATTGTAAAATAGGAGTCTTTAACGTCGGTTATTGCTGCTACAAGTTTTATTTCTTTTATGATTTTTTTTTGTATGTATAAAAAGGCACACTGAAACTGTTTTTCAATGGCGCACCGAACTGAATTCTTAACTTAATTAGTATTAAATACAAATGAAGAGACCGCGAATCTGTTTGTACATGTTTAGTGTAAAATCTTCAATAATATAAAGACAAAAATATATAGAATTTTATAATTGATAAAACGCAATTGTAGAAATTTTTGGGTTTGTTTTATTTTTCATTAGTTTTTGTGAGTAGTAGGCACAGGTGATAAGAAGCGAGCGGCGACATCTATCGTGCTCCTCCTTTCGACAGGGTTCTTTTAGCCGAGCGCGCTCATATTATAGGTATCTGTTGTACCGACAGATGTGTATCAGTACAAGTTGTGAATAGCACTCGTGAGATGCTGCTAAATGTAATTTTGTAAATAGCCTAATTAGATAACATAATTTGATTATTAAAAATAATTTAAAATAAATATATTTTTAATTATCACGTTATTTATATCATCCGCTTGTAGATTTTTTAATAAAAGCTATATAATAAAATAAACAATAAAATATATTTATGATTATTGTAAAAAAAAGTGATGAATCCGATGAAAAAATATTATTCTTAAATGTTTATTTATTTAAAAAAATATATATTAAATTTTACTATACAGGGGGCTATATTGTGTGAAATTAATGAAATAAAATGATAAAAAAAAAGAAATTGGTGTACCAAAGAACTTGTACATAAAACATTCGCCGATATTTAGAGTTCCTTTTATAATTAATTAATGAATCATTAATTAGTTTAAAAGCGACAAACTGTTTAAGAAATATTCGTAATCTACTCACAGGATGATAATTTCAATTTTAATACGATAATAATACTTAACAATTAGTACTACTACGATTTAGAATACGGGACAAATTTTTGATAGAATTTAATATTTTCTATAGCAAGCAAAATTTAGTCAACACGAGAAAAATGAATACAAAAATAATGAGAGAATAAACGCTGTAAAGAGAAAAACTTTTCTGTGATTGTTAATAAATGTTAGACACTAAATTCAGGTAAAAAAATTCAAGTATGAAGTTGAAAAGTGAACTACAGATTTTTGTAATCTATATTATTATATAAAAATATAAATATATTATATTATACATGTATCTGTACTAATTATGTATTATATTTCGACATTCCATTGTAACTTTTCTCAATGTATATAACGATAATTAAATTGTATTTTCATCTGATCACACTGCCAGAGAGTTTTTTGTGTATCAATAAAATTACATCTGTGTAATTCATCTTAATTTATCAATTTCATCTATACCAAATCCAATAATTTTATTCATCCAGGTTTAAACGCAACATCTATTTTTTCAAATATGTTTAAATAGAAATGATACTTGGGGGGCCACAAAAAGAGTGTACAAAATTGGGTTGAAACTACAAATTCATACAAAAATATCTTTATGTAGAATTTTCGTTGTGAAATAAATGTAATTACGATTTGAGTGATCCTTTAAGAGTTAATAAAACGTCTTTTACAACTATGTTAAATCAACAACTTATCATAATTAATATAACCACAACATATAGTGTGTGTATTAAGTTGCCTATTCTATAAATAATAACCCCATTCTTTTTGAAAAATCAATATTAATAAAATCTTAAGCTTATCTAACACAATTATATTAGTTTTTTTTACTATTCTAACAAACCTAGTTGTGTAATTATTTATTTTCATAAACACTTCATGTTCTTTTATAACTTCTTTTTAAATTAAGAGAAGAATCTTAAGTCATCTTAAGTTTGTAACCAGAATGATTTAAACAATTTAATTGAGTGAAATTAATTCCTCTCTGTCTGTTTACCCTATAATTAAAGAATATAATGATGCTGGAAAGGTTATGGTCCAAGCAAATAGAAGGGCAACAACATTCTTACCAAACTACATAGGTAGTCTTCTATAATTGTTATAATTATCTCGTTCATTACATGAAGTAATGAAATAAGTATGCCACAGATTTCAACATGTGCAGATGATAGCATTTAATACCACTACTGATGTAAGTTTCCTTTTTCCGTTATATGAAGGTACTAATGTACACTTTTTTAGGGTAAATTGGATGAGGATTGTGATGAAAATTTCAATGCTTACAAGTAAGGCAATAATCTACAAGTTCTTAAGCCTAAATATGTTGTTACTAATCATAATACCAATTTGCTGATAATTTTAGTAATTGAAAAGATTAAAAAAATCAAAGATGAATTTGATACCATTGCCAAAAATCGCTGAAAAATTGGTGAAACTTCCACTTGGTATGAAGTTATTTGTTAAAAAAGTAATAAATGGTTGTCTGTTTGATGCTCAAATAAGTACCATAAGCAGGATCAAAACAATCAAATATTTGTCAAATTGGAAATGTTACATTAATTAGTAACTCATTAAATTTTCAAAGCACAGATGAACAGCATAGATAAACCTCTGATATTTGCAGTTACATAAATAATATCTAAGATTAATCTTTAAACTGTTAAAGGCTTCATACATTTATTGCTCATTATCAAACATTTTTTGTTAGATACATTTGTTGTGCTGCAAGTTATGATGTAGTACATAAAAATGTTGTGAAAATAGCACATTATTCTGTGAAATATGTAGATGTCAGAGGAGACTGAATGAAGAAAGTGTGGCTTTGTCCATGGCTGAAACAAAATTGATATTACTAAAGTCAAATAGAATATAGGAATTGTTCAGTAATAAGAACAGTAAATCGAAAATAAGAAAATTAAAATTAAATCAGATTCAGGTAAAACAAAGTAAGAAAAACGGAGGCAAAAGCATAAAGAATTGAAACAACTGGAAAATAAAGCAAAAGAAAAACAAAGAAGTAAATATTTGAGAAGCAAAAATTGGTTGGAACGGATATTCGGCAACTATCCGGTTGTTTCGAATTTTGAAATTTTCGCCGATTAAGTTTTAAAAATTCGTATAAAATCCATTTCTTGGAATATGAGTATGAAAATTTCCCAAAGTGTTAATAAAAGTGTCTTCTTTCTTCTTTTTGAGAAAACAATATTTGAAGTTTTGATAAAATTTTCGATGTTGCAATTTTCATTGATAACTTTCAAAATTCGCTATAAAATTCATTTCTTGAAGGATCCTTGTGGAAATATCACCAATTATTAATTAAAGTATCCTCTTTTTAATGCAAAAAGCCGTTTTGAAAAATCACTTTTAGTTCTTGAGAAATAAATTTTTGAAATAATCGACAATTTTTTCGAATTTTGCAATTTTCGCCGATTAAGTTTTAAAAATTCGTATAAAATCCATTTCTTGGAATATGAGTATGAAAATTTCCCAAAGTGTTAATAAAAGTGTCCTCTTTCCAATGAACCAACCCGTTTTGAAAAATAACTTTTAGTTTTTGAGAAAACAATATTTGAAGTTTTGATAAAATTTTCGAAGTTGCAATTTTCATCGATAACTTTCAAAATTCGTTATAAAATTCATTTCTTGAAGGATCCTTGTGGAAATATCACCAATTATTAATTATAGTATCCTCTTTTTAGAGTTGCTTCGTGAGTTAAATCAGCATCAAAAAAGTTCATTTTGTATCTTGGTTCCAAATAAGATGACAGCTCTTATCAGCTTTTTTATTAATTTCATTTTTATTCAATTATCGCAAAATCACTATCCCTTCCATCACTAACACATACATTGAATAAATAAAAAAAAGATGTTTTTGTAATTAAAATTTTTTTAAAATAAACCAATTTACTCATTATTCTCCGATTTAATTACAAGCTAGTAAACTATAAGCTAAAGTTTTATTAGTACAATAGTGGATGGGATGCACCAACATTGTTTAAACATTTTTTTAAATACTGTTTAAACATTTAACAAGGTAGGTTACTTTAAAAAATATCTTAATTCTTAACTTCTTTATCTTGATCCGAATCATACCCATTTTATTCATAATCTACATCCAAATAAAAATAAACGAGTCATTTTAAATGATAAACAATTTAATTAGCAATTTAAAAAACACGTCATTTTTAGTATAAATTATAACAAAATCGAACTGGTTTAATACCGGTTTAAAAGAAATGAAAGTAATTTAGAGAGGTTGAAACAGTGAGTCTACTTTTCAGTTTTAACAAAAATATTAATAACGAACAATTTAATTTGAAAATCTATAATCTTGTTCAAAATTGTAATCATTTATTCAAAATTGTCCTTCATAATTTGTTATTATCAACAACTTATCACCACTTAAAATCAATACAAAACTCTTAAAGATAACTCAATCGTGTGCCTCATACTATTTGTTACGCGACATATTTTAACAATTTGTAAGCATTTTTGTTGTAATCTTTTATTTGAATCGAATTAAAATATAACTCGTATAAAATGTATTATAAGTAGGCGTATTGCGCATGACTCTCCATTTATATGCCGTTCTATAAAGATTTCGTGCTGTACAATCGTACGTTGATTAAAGTACGTACGATAATCGTACTGTTTATTAGGGATAGCAATTTAACTTTCTCCCTCTCTATCTACCTAAATAACTACACGTATTTACGTGTCACCACCAATGCGAAACTCGCATAAATGCCTCTGCTTTTGAGTACGTAACTTGAAACGTTTAAAAGATAATTTTTGATAATCGCGGTCACAACTTATTACGACAAAGGTCATCTTATTTTAATTTTATTGTAGCACACATCTCATTCAGCTTATTATTTTCTTATTGCTTCATTTATAAGTTTATTTAATAAAAGGGGTATGAGTGAAATGAGATATATAGCGACGTTGGACGTCGGAACGACCACTCTTCGTTGTCATATAATAAATTCAAATTTGAATGTTATTTCAACAGCAACTACCGAAGTAAGTATGTGCATTTATTTTTTAAATAATTTTTTAACGATTTTAATTCAAAAATAATAACTTTAGGTTACTTTAATTTATCCACAACCCGGGTTTGTAGAAATAAATCCTGATGAACTTTGGGAGGCTGTTCAAAGAGTCATAAAAAAAGCAATCGGGGGTAATTTGTTTAATAGTTATTATTTATTGAGTTATTTATTTGTTTGTTTAGATGCTGGATTACAACCATGTGATATAAGTTGTTTAGCCATTTCCACACAAAGGTCTACTTTTATTACTTGGCAAAGAAATAATGGGAAACCTTTTCATAATTTTATAACATGGAAAGATATGAGATCGAAAAGTTTGGTGAAAAGTTGGAATAATTCGTTTACTATGAATGTAATTATAAAAACAGCAACTCTTAACCAAACAAGTATTTATTTTATTTATTTAAATTATAGGTTTTTAGAAAATTAGGGTATCTAATTTATTGTTTTACGAGAAATCGAAGATATCTAATGGCAAGTGAATTAAATTTTTCCACAATACAGGTAAATAATTAAATAAATAAAAATTGCAGCTTTATCACATAATAAAATATTTAGTGTTCATGTAGATTATTATGGGTGTTGGAAAATATTCCCGCAGTAGCGGAAAACTTGAGACGACGAAACGTTTGTTTTGGTACCCTAGATACTTGGCTAATTTACAAATTATCGGGCTTCCGGTTATTCGTCAGCGATGTGGCAAACGCGAGTTCGACCGGTCTTTATGATCCATTCATCATGGAATGGTCAACTTGGCCTAGGGAACTCTTTGGAATTAGTTTAGACATTTACCCGAACGTTGTTAGTACTGATTACGATTTTGGTAATACAGCTTATGATATTTTTGATGCTTCCATTCCATTAAAATGTATGGTAAGTTTTTAAAAACACAAAAAAAATTGATTTTTATTAACCGGTTAGAAATAATGCAGATCAGTGAGTGAGGAAATAAAGGTTAGGCTTATTGGACACATTAAGGAGTTTGTGCTTCATGTGGTTTTGGTTGTTATTACCTGGACTAATGGATTATGATTGTGTAGTTATCGCCTTGGTGTTTATTGTGTTATGGTGTTTTATATTACATGGTTTGAGTCTTTTAACTCTTTGGGAAGTGATTTCATCATCATCATTAGTGACACAATAACCCACTGTGAGTGCCATTTTATTTTGTTCCACATCTTACTTTTATAGTTAAAATTCAGCCATTTACTGTCTAGTCCTGGTCCATATATCTAGTCTTGGGTCGTTCTACCATTTTTCTGACCACCCACTGTTTAGCAGTTTTATTTTCTCCACATGATCCATCCAACACAAGCGTTCTATTCACGTCTGCAAATATGTGTCGAAACATCTAGCTTCCGAATGTTGCTCTTGGACATTACCCAAGCTTCAGATCCAAATTCCAGAACCGGTATTGCTTTTTCGAGAATTTGATGTATTACAAATAATTATAGGAATACATAAGCCGTCTGCACATGAAGCTCCTCGTAATATAATTTTTTTGCGTATAAAAAGCGTCGCTGTATAAGGCCATAAATTAGTCTTTCTTGTGTAGAGCTGCTCGCTGGTTTTCTTTCAAATCCTCTTTGTACACTCTATTTCTGCTGTGATCTTTGAGGTTCTGTAGTATTTCTCATGTTTTTGTCCTCACTATCAGGTAGTGATCAGAGTTAACGTTGTATATATGGTAAATTAAAAGTACTCTGCCCTAACAGACAATTATTGAATAAAAATGTGAAGTTAATGTTATGTGATTCCTTAATTTTCCTTGATGCGCAGAGAATAGAAAGGGTTCAAAAATCTTGTCTCAGATTTATTTATGGCATACGTCGAGTTTCTGAAGGCTGGGCGCATTGTTCCAGTGAATGAATCTGGTTTCAGGGAAGGACATAGCTGTGAAACTGCTCTGAACAATATAGCGGATGACATTGTTACTGCAACTGACTCTAATAGATTGACTCTTCTGGTGGTATTAGATTTCTCCAGAGCATTCGATACTCTAAAGTCTCTAAACCAAGACTTATTAATATCAATTCTTGATCATATTGGGCTTGATTCTGTCGCATTACCTTTTTTCAAAAATTACCTTAAAGGCAGGATTCAATCAGTCAGTATTGATCAGGTGAAGTCAAGCACTCTACTTCAGATTTGGAGATAAGGTCTTGCAAAGAGTAATTCTTGGCCCTACACTATTTAAAATTTACACCATATATTTCAATGGCTTTGTTGATTTCTGTAGCGCCCACTATTATGCTGATGATACTCAGATTTATTTGTCCTATTCTGAAGGCTATTTATTATAAGTTTAAACGTGACTTGCATGGCACTATCGATGGGGCTCGGGAATATTGCTTAAAGATAAACACGAACAAGACCCAGATCATTCTGTTTGGGTCCCCGAAGATAAAAGAGAAATTTATTGATGGGTTTTAGATGGGAAATACTCCTATTCCATTGAGTAAATCTGTCAAAAACCTCGGATTGGTCATGGATGAGGCGTTAAGCTTTAGAGATCACACTAACCAGTTGATTGGTCGAGCGTTAAAATTGATTTACTCTAATCGTTATAGTCTTGACTGGTACAAAAAAAAAAGCTTTTATGCGACTCTCTGGTATTGTCACACTTTAATTACTATGACAGCATATACGAGGCTTTATATGACAAGCATATAAATTAGTCTTTCTTGTGCAGAACTGCTCGCTGGTTTTCTTTCAAATCCTCTTTGTACGTTCTATTTCTGCTGTGATGTTTGAGGTTCTGTAGCATTTCTCATATTTTTCTCCTCACTCTCAGGTAGTGGTCAAAGTTAACGTTAGCACCTCGCCTTCTTTGTTACTGCCTTGATTAAGCGTTCCTATGGATTGTTGAATGAAAATGCGAAGTTAATGTTATGTGATTCCTTGATTCTCCTTAATGCGCAGAGAATAAAAAGGGTTCAAAAATCTTGTCTCAGATTTATTTATGGCATATGTTGTGATGAAAGAATATCGTATATATTGGCTAATGCAAATTGGTTAAACATGGTAGAGCGTCGTAGAGTACATATTGCTTGTCGAATGATTTCTATTAACTCTAATTACAAACCACCTTACCTTTATGAAAGGATCACGTACAGAATTGATGTGCATCATCTAAATTTAAGGCATAAAAAACTTGATTTCTATTCCAAAATATCATACGATTTATTATTGATCTCTATTACGTCAGAATGCTATCTTGCAACAACAATGAAGTGATCTATCATGTTAACTTTTTGGCCATCTGGGGTTACCCACGATCCCTTGTGGATGTCTTTGCTCTTAAATCATGTAGTTACAATGACCATATCAAGAGAGACCACTATGTTTATTAGTCTAGTGCTATTATCGGATTATTGGATCTATTGTTGGATTATTTGTCTAAACTGTGTTATGTATATAAGACTTGCAGCACAATATTTGAATGTTTTGTGCCAAGCATATAAACATCTATTTTATCCTTTTCTTATTAATACCAATTGTCCACCTATGTAATACGTAATTTGTTGCGAATTGGTTACGCTACTTCCATAATCACTTTCTATGGACACCAGCTATTGAATCACTTTCCGGTATTTTATCTGCGCCATCATGGATTTTGAAAGAAATACAGTAACTGATAAAGATGAAGTCTGGCTTAACTAAGCTGAGGTTAACTTTTTTCAACCTAGCTTTGCAAGCTTTTTTGTTTGTTTTTTGTGTCTTCTTCTTGTTTATCTGACATCTAGTTTTTGCTTTATTACTGCTATCCTACCTTGTTTATGGTGTTTCTTCAAGCATTTTCTTTGCTTTCTGTTGTTTCTCTAGTTTTTAATTTGATTACGCGTTTCTTACTTGTTTCTGACTTTATTTCGTTTTCAACTTTGTTCGAGCATTAAGTTTCTTTGGATTCTTCAATGTTACTTTTTCTTTATATCATTATGTTGAACAACTCTTCAATCTCGTTGATTAGTGCGACCCCATCATATTTAAGCATCTCATTCAATATTTTATTAATCCTTGCAGATTTATGACTTTTTAATTTGATTGTTATCTGTTTTATACTGTATCTGGACATGGATTACTGTTAAGGGGGAGATATACATTTAGACACGCAAATATAAGTGCGTTGTCAAAATTTTGTTTTCATTAAGATGCAATTAATTTTGAACATTTTGTTCATTCACTACTGTTCACTTATGCTTTATACTATAAAAATTAATATTCACAATTTCCAAAATCAATCGTTTTAGGGTTACAGCGCGAGTTGCTTTGCTTTAGACGCTCTAGAATTTTTTCAGTGGATAGAATTACTTCAGGATACATTTAAATTGTTCGCACATTCATATCTTCTGTGTGTACCTAAAAAATTTGAAGAAAATTAATAATTAAAAGAAATACAATGTTTTTAAAAAAATGTTCTTATTTTTTAAGAAAATTTTGATGAATTATTCAACAAAAAAGCACTCACTGTTTATATGTGCAAAAAATTTCTGGAAGATTGGAAGTAGTTTATGAGATATCGTGATTTTTGAAATAGTAAAAACTGACTTTTTTCAATTTCCAAAGACTTGCCTGGTAGTCTGCAATTCCAGAATCATACAATAAACCTTCCATTTCTTCATAAAATGAACTTTCCGTGGACAGCGACGTCGCTCTTGCCGAATAACTCGGTGTTCATCCATTTTATCGGCATAGATTTTAGCTTGCTTGCTAATAACAATATTCAATGAATTCATTATTTGTAAAATAGCACTGTGTCCTTCATTAAAGTAAGCTAGCCGCAATAAAAGCCGCAATAAAAGCCGAAATATCGGCAAACGGTGGAGTTGAAACTGTCGTTAACAACTGACTAGCAAATTATCTTGAGATCGATCTTCATAAATTGCCATGTTTTTGTACATCTGGATGTAGTGGTAGAGGATGCTTCACTAACTGATCCGATCCAGAACCTTTAGCTTTTGGCAACTTGCACCAATTCTCAGCTTCTAGCGGACATTACTGATGATTTGGATATTCATCTGCAGAACAGTAGTGATAATAAGTGGACATTATCGCTTTTATCATATTCTTTGTACTATCTCTCCTCCAAGCTTGTTTTTTCTTATGGTTCGGGTTCATAACCATATTACCTAAGATATTGTAAGAATATTTTCTCTAGAAATACTTGGAATTTCACTTTAATATTTTAGTATCACATTCTTAAGACATTTAAGAATTTTTTTATGAAAGAATGTATTTACCCCCTTAATGTGTGGTTTCTGTATTACTCGCTAGTGTTTTTTACATCGCGGTAGAGTTTACAAAAGTGTTCTTACCCATCGTTAAGTGCAGTTTTTGTAAATTTCACATTTCTGTTTTTTACCATATTTCAAAATTTTCTTTGCCCTCTACAGATACTCCATCCCACTTCTTAAGTTTATACTCCTCGCATGTTATCGACTGAGATCTGCACTACAGATATGCTTTTTCATGTGCTAATTCTTTAATCGCTGGTGGTTTTATATTTTATCAGCTCCCTCTGTTTGTGCATCGTCTTCTTGCAACTTCCCCACCAGTATTTACAACGTTATATTTTAATTCATGTGTGTATTTTACTTTTTCTCCAAGTCTCTGTTAGTTTAAGGTCTTTGTTGATGCGTCCATCATTGATTTGACATTAATCTTGTTCGTCTTTTATACCAGCTCTTTTCTTATAAGTTTTGGTTAGTTGCAGCATTTGTAGATATATTTCTGTTAGTAGCAATGTAATGACTCAAATGAAATAATGACACTAGATATTTCCCCATAGATAATTTAAAAAAATCAACTATTTTACATCTAACTAATTCAAAAAAATGTTGTGTATTTCACTCAATAATTTTTCTAGACCTTAATATATATTTATAATTGATATTTTAATTTTTTTAGACAGCTGATCAACAAGCAAGCATGTTTGCATCTTGGTATTTGAGTCAAAATGACATCAAAGTAACTTTAGGTACCGGAACGTTTATCGATTTGAATACAAAAAATGAAGCTCACGCTAGTGTTGGAGGAATTTATCCTCTCGTAGCTTGGAAATTAGAGAATAAAATTACTTATATGGCTGAAGCGGCATGTAACGATACCGGATCATTAATTCAATGGTTATTAAGTATAGGTTGGTTGCATCTTTTAGTTTTTAATTTCAACTAATAAAACTAATTTTAATTTAATAAAGGATTAATAAACACACCGGAAGAAACCTCCTCTTTGGCGCAAGAGGTTGAAAACAGCGATGGGGTGTATTTTGTTCCAGCTTTTAGCGGATTGGGAGTAAATCATTTTAAATTTTTGATAAAAAATTAAAATTCTTTAAGAAATTTCTATTTTAGCCACCAATTTCGGACGATATGGCCGCTTCCGGTTTCTTTGGGGTTAAACCAACGAGCACTAAAGCGCACTTAGTCCGAGCTACGTTAGAAAGTATCGTTTATAGAATCATCTTGTCTTTGAACGTTTTAAAATCGGAACGAAACGAAAGCTATAAAAAAATTTGGTAATTACTTTTCACAATAATTTGAAATAATAATCATTGTAGTGATGTTTGTAAATTTTAGTGTAGACGGTGGAGTGTCTAACAACGATTTCGTGTGCCAAATGTTAGCGAATATGTCTGGATTAGAAGTGATTCGTTTTCGAACGCACGATTTGTCAGTTATTGGCGCTACTTTAATAGCCGGTATTAATGCAGGTTATAAAAGATGCAAAAAAGAAATGTATCGCATTAAAATAATTGCTTTATTTAATAGGTATTTGGAATAATAACGAAAATCCAATAAAAACATTCAATAAGGAAACGACGATATTTGAGCCAAATATAAAAGAAAGTCTCAGGAAAGAATTACACGCTAATTTAGACGATTGGTTAAAAGTGGTGAAGAGATTTAAATCGTGGTATTTGAAGTAATGATTAAAATTAATCTTTTTAATTATTAATTTTTAATATTTTTTTTATTCATTAAACTTGTAAACTAATCAATAGACAATTTTTATACGCTATTTATAAAGCTTTTTTTTGATCACTCTCTTAAAATACCCAATTCTTTTATCAAAAATCCCAGTCGCAACTATACAATTCTAAATCAGACATTTTTCTAACACTTTCAATAGTATCCAATTCATCTAAAATAAATTTAATGTGATTTTAAAATCATTTAGCTTCTTTATTTACCTTTATTATAAGCCACCTTATCACTTAATGGAATAACCGGTGCAAGATATTCAGTTAAATGAGCGTGTTTTCTATTGAATTTCAAATAAGGATGCGTTAAAAGTTGAGCGGCAGTCGGTCTGTCCATTTCTTCATATTGCATACAAAGTAAAGTTATTTCATGCAAACCTTCGTTGAATTTTCTCTTCGCCTGACGACTTAAAATTGTCATCACTGCTGAATCTCCTTATATCGAATAAATGATTTAATAAAATTAATTAATTAAAATAAATGTTTTCTTAATAATAATTTTCTTACCCTGTATATTATGATCATCAAGATGTATCGTAGAACAATCTAATAATTGGGGAATCGATCCTCTAACTTTTTCAGTTAACATAACAGTAGTAGACATATCAGCGTAAGGTTCCGCCCCGTTTGCTAACTCACAAATTAAAACGCCAACGCTGTAAATATCCGATCGCTCGTTGTAACCTCTTAAGTTTTGTTGTAACACCTCGGGGCTTAACCAATTCAAATTTCTAACTGTGCTGCTCGGATATGAATGGATTTTTTGTTGCCATTTTCCATTACTGACGATTCCGCAAGCATATCTAAATCCGGTGATACAAGCGTGCCCTTTATCTGATATTAACACATGACTTGCTCTTATTGCTCTATGAATAAGCCCTTTTTTGTGTATGTAATCGACCCCATCCAAAACGTCCCGTAAAATCAAAGCTATTGCGTTTTCTGGGAGACCATCAGCAAAGTGATTATTTAATAAATCTCTGCACGATCCGTATCCCATCAGAGGGCTAACTACGCACACATCAGAACCCCAAACGTACGAAACAAGATATTTAAGTATATTACTGTGTCTTAGTTGTTTAGTTAATATGATTTCATACTAAAAATAATAATTTATTTTATTAAAAATAATTAATGTTTAAAATAAAACAAATTTATTTAATAATTATGAAAATAAAATTGTTGAGCTTTTGAATTACAACCTGTCAAAATAATTTGTCAATTAAATTGACATTTGGCAATTAACTAATTGCAAATACATAAAGGTTAGGAACGAAAGTGAATATTTCATCCGGAGACGAAGGAAGCAATTAAAATGGTCTGCTTACCAGGGTTCGACTGATTTAAATCATTACATTACATTACATAGACTACATATCGGGTAGGCGGACCAACCAACCGTGCAGTCTAATCTCTTAACAAACATTAATACCTTGATCAGTGAAAGGTCATTGAGATCCTTTGAGGAGATAAACTGCGACCAAAAAATCGAGAATCTGATACGGTTAACAGCAGGATAGTGGCATAAAACATGCTCAACTATCTCTGCTTCCTCCGCACATAGTCGGCTAAACCCAACAAGTTGAGGTGTGCTTTTAATCGGCAGTGCCCAGTAAAGACACCCAGTAGAACTTTTATGCTGCTACGAGCAAGTCCTAAAATATTCCCGGGTTTGACAGTGGCGATGTTAATAAACACCTTAGCACGTCTCATTCCAGGACAACTGGTCCACAGTAGGCGAAGTCACTCTTCAGCCCACAGTCCAATCCTATGTTTGGCCATCGCAAATGATACACCAACTGCTGGTTCTGGCCCCACAAATGCTTTAGCGCTACCCTCTCATGCTAGCTTATCTGCCGTTTCATTGCCAGCAACTCCAGAGTGACCCGGGACCCAGATTAGAGAAACTCTGTTATCACAACTCAGTGTGTCTAATGTTCTCTTGCAATCATTAACTAGAGTCGATTATCACCGATCCTTACCCTTTGAGACCTATCACAGAGGTTGTCACCCAACAAAGATACCGCATCTGAACTCAGCCCCAAATCATACAGAATCTCACCCAAAACCACGTGATTAACGGTATCACACGCTTTAGAAAAATCCAGGAAGACTACAGCAGTTAGGCGCAACATTGTAGTTATACAACTATAGCCACTTCGAAAGATAGACTGCTCCTGAGGCAACAAGCTATTACTGTCCACGTAACTCACCAACTGCTGCTTAATATTTTTTTCAAGCACCAACCTTTGCCAAAGGAATAACTATCCCTTGATTCCAAAGCATAGGAAATTTTCTCTCCGAAAGACAACAATTGAGAAAATGAGTCAGATACGGCAAAATCAACGGACAGTAGACACGTATCATTTCTATGGAAATACCATCACACCCAACTGAAGCGGATGTGATAAAAGCCAGAATAGACCGTACCTCTGCCTCATTTACATTTTTAAATACAAATTGATATTGACATGCATTATGCGTATAAAAATCCAAATTAGCAGATGGCAAACTATCCACAAAGTCGTTTACACTATCTACAAAATAACTGTTGATACGGTCAGGGTTCTGAAACCACAGTTCCTGCGACACTGACGAAGAGTCAAATAGTGACAACGAACCTTTGTGAGAAATACAAAAGAAGTAACCGAAAAAAAGAAACTTTAAAAAATCCGGTCTTATTTCTGGGTTTCCGAACTTTAAGAAACTGATGCAATCAGCACCCATTCCTTCTGATCTCGTGGAATGCTTTGAGCTTTTTTTTGATGATAATATTATATCATTTTTGGCAGAAATGACGACGTTATATGCACAGCATACTACTATTATCTGTCTATTGTGTTGTTCCTAGATGAAGAATGTGGTGGGAGCTAAGAACCAAATCTTGCAATATGGCACTAGTGAATGGCACTCTATGAGAAGAAATAGATTCGAAATGATAAAAAAATATCTCCACTGTGCAGATAATAATAACCTTCCTCTGGGCGACTAATTTGCAAAACTATGAGAATTTATGCAAATGTTGAATTCAAAATTTTTGAAATGCTCAGAACTCCAAGAAAGGCTGAGTGTTGATGAAAGTATGGTTCCATACTTTGGTAAGCACGGAGAAAAACAATTTTTTAAAGAAAAGCCGATACGATACAGTTCCAAGATGTGGTGCCTTCGCGAACCTTTTGGGTATTTGATGCAATTTGAACCATACCAAGGAAAAAAACCGACGAGAGAAAATGCAGCTGGTACTTTAGCGGATAAGAAGACAATGCGACAACCACAAAGAAAATAACCACCTATAAAGGAACCAGCATTTGGTGTAGGAGAGTCTGCTGTACTTGGACTGATAAAAGTCCTACCAAAACAAACTAATAACTCATTTACAGGAAAAAGATATGGATGTACGGGAACTATCAAATAAAATAGAATTGAAAAGTGTCCCATAATGCCTTCAAAAGTGGTAGAAAAGAAGAACAGAGGTGTCTATGACTATTGTACAGATCTTACCAATAAACTAACCGTTACAAGCTGACATGATGATAGAACAGTTCTGATAGACAGTACTTATGATTCTATGTTCCCAGAATGTAGAGTGGAAAGGTGAATATCAAAACAGAAAAAAAAGTCTCAATACAATAAATTTATGGGCGGTGTGGACAGAATGGATGAGAACATAGACAACTACAGAATTTTCATTAGATCGAAGAATTTTCGCAATTTGTGTCGATATTTCAGTGCACAATGGATGGCAACTATATAAAAAAGGACTTGGGTAAAAAATGGATTATTTGCATTTTCGAAGAATAGTTGTGCAAACGTATTTACAAAAATTTGGTATTCCCCCGGTAGGAGGAGGACGTTTATCTTTCCATAAACTGGCTTCAAGAGTACCAACGCAAGTTCGATTTGAAGAAAGCAACCACTGGATTATCCATGCAGAAAAACAAAATTGCTGTGCTTTCTGTAAGAAAAAACACGAGATAGCCTTGTCAAAAATGTAAAGTTAATCTGCTTGAATCCTGTTTGGTTCACTTCCACACAAGATAATGGACAAAAAATAATTCCAATACATTTATTGTTAAAATTTATGTTGATTTGATTGATTTTATGGAGAAAGTATATGGTCCTGCTCAAAAAAACTAGAACAAAATAGTATTTTCTCAAAAATAATGCTTAAAGTATGTTACAAAGGATAAAAACTGACACTGGAAACACAAAAACCTAAAAAAAAGTAATTGGGGCATAAACGGGTTAAACAGTGGTAAAATACCGGTTTTATGGTGATAATTACAAAAAAAATATGCAATAAAACATAATATTCCATTTAAAATAACGTCTATTTTTGATAGACCAGAAGTGGTGAATATCTTAAGAATATTTATTAAAGCTTTTTAAGTTGTAGTTTTACCTATTTACCTTTAACTAAATTAATTTCTATGGTACTTGGTCCGGGGTCTTCTCCATCAGATATCCTAAGCTTGCACTTCTCATGGTGTTCTTTTAAACCTGTGAACTAGTCCTTCTATATTTTTTCCACAATTTTTACAAACTGCTCTTCTACCAGTCTTTCCTTTTTCCACTTTTTCTAAGTAATAATACCAAATTTTGTCTTTTTTTCTTCTGGTCATTTTATTTTACACACTTCACCTTTTACACACGAGAGAACTAGCAATAAAACACTAATAATCAACCGTTTTGTAATACATAACATTATTCAACAAAAAATTTTAAAAAATCACGATTTTTTTTATCATATCATGATTTAAATCATTGATTCTTTTATAAATCATGATTTATTCGAACCCTGGTTACTGAAGACATATATATCTTCTGTGATACAAAAAATTCTTGCTACGGACAAACAGGCTTAGGAATGATGTTTGATGTATTTCATCAATAGACATATCATGATAGAAGTGATTGATGCTGTGTATCGATAAATACCTTAATGTTGTTACATTTTGCCAATTACTAATATATTTTGTTAATAAGTAACAAAATTATAACCACACCCAATCATATAGATGTCAGTTTCTATATATCTCATTATTTCCAAGATATTTCATTTTGCTTGATAGATATAACAAAAAATATCTTAATTAAAACTAAAAAAACAGATTCAGAATAACTCAAAAGCTCAACTCTTTTATTTATGTCCTAAAAAATAATTAAATCATTTTTTAAATAAAATAACTTACTTCAATTAATGCACTTTCTTCTTTAGCTTTGTCCATATTAAACCGTTTAACAGCAACCATTTGCCCCGAGGGCGAATGTTGAGCCAAGTGTACAACCCCGATATCATTGCAACAGTGCCCCAATATAGATATAGTCCTGTACTCACTGTTTTTTGGCTCGAATTTGACCATAATGGTTATTATTGATGTTTTATCACATATTTAAACGTTACGATTGTGCTATTTGGACGTTTTTTTATTTAAATCTGAGAAAGTTTTTAGTAATACATAACCTTTAATAGTAAATTTTAACATAACCTCAACTTTGTGCGTTTCGATTGATTTCGTTTATGTTTATTTAATTGGGGGGAAATTTAATTTGAATGAATTAATTGATGGTTAATAATAAAGGTGGTTAATAATTGGGATGTTTTCTTTTTATGATTAGTTTTGTAAGTATTAAAATATGGTATCTTTTAAAATAATTGTTGACATTGAGTCAATTGAAACGTAAATAAAAAATAATTTTGATCAATAAAAATTTTATTTTCAAATATTAACAATAATTTTTAATTATAAACTATAATTCATCTCTTTCTTCTTGTAAGATTTTCTCCAAGTTTTTTATATCTTCATCGACTTCCTCATTTTCAGTTTCATTCTTATCGGTATCTTCGAGAGTATCACAGTATTTAGTTTCTTCAATGCACATTTTATGCTTCACAGTGTCTTTATTATTAATGTAATTTTTAATGATTGCATCTTCATACATCTCTAAAATTTCTTCACACTAAAAATATCAAAACATTCTCAATAAAAATCAATTAAAAAAGATAATTAAAACACATACATAATATTTAAGACTCTTATTTAAATCATCATCTTGTATAAAATCCACTATGGACATATCAGGATTCATACTACCATCAGAAAGAACCATTTTCAATAAAGTTAACTTTCCATTTGATTTGTAGGTGGCACGAACATAATCTTCCATCTTTTCACAAATATCTTCAATAGTTTCAGATAAAGCAACTTCTGATTGAGTTTGGGAAACAGTTTTTCTCTTCAAATTTCCCTCATGATCTATTTTATAACCACCAATTTCCATTTGTAAATCTGGATCTAATTTGTTTATTGCAACGTTTAATTCGTCAAATGTAACTTTGCAAACTAAAAAAATTAAATAATAAGTTATTGTTTAAAAGAAATCGCAAAAAAATACTTCACCTAAACATTTTAATTCTCTCACGTCTATCTTCGCTGAAGCAAATGCGGATAAAAGAAGAATATAAAATAAATATAACAACATTTTTAAGGAAAAAGTATTGTAATCAAGTTTCGACCTGAAAAATCAAGTTTTATGAGAATTTCTGAGGGGTTTACCTTCAAGATACCTGCATATCTATTCACATTAAACTCTGACACGTTTTACGGTTGCTATTGGTGAATTTCGTTAAGAATCTTTATTTTGATTGGTTAAATTCTAATAATCATTTTCAATACAATGTGTATATTTCTTATAAATGTTTAAATAATTTTTTTAAGATTATTAAGATAAAAAGTAAATTATTGTTAAAATATAATTATTAGCATTAGACTTTAGACTTTTATTAGACATTTGTAATTGGCTTAGTTCTCGATGAGACAACTAGATGGCTGAGGTTCAAATTCCGTTTTTAAAAAAATAAATTTATCTTCAAAAAGTACAATAAAACAATATTATTTTATTTATATCTTCAATCTCGTCTTTGTTTATACTAATTTTTTTATGAGTTGTTTTTAAGTTGACTTAATAAATTTATGAAGTTATAAATTGTCATTTTGCAGATATGATCTGTCATTTCTTTATCTTGACTTAAACATAACCTCAAAAGTAAGTTTTTGATGGAAAATGTTGTACAGAACTCAGTAATGTGTTAAAAATCAATAAAATGGGAGATGCCTAAAACAAGTAAAAATGATGTATTTGTATTTTTTATTTAGATTTTAGCATTTAGATTTTTCCGCCACGAAGTAAAGCTAACAGATGTGCATCATGTGCAAACAACACCAATGCTGACTTATCTGTAGATATACTTGTCTTGAGTATTTTTCTCGGTAGAAATACGTCCTGAGTTTACTTTGAGACAATGTTAAAGAGTGAAGAACACACAATGTGCAAAAACCTTATCATCATTAGTTAATTCCAAAATAAGCACATTAATGAAGAAAATAGATTAATAAAATAACTTGAGAGTAGACTACAATGACCTTACAACATATTTCTTTTGAATATCAGAGAACATTTTTCACTGGTCTGGCTACTAGCTGCTACTATGGAGTCACTTACAAACCATATAATTTAGAACATAAAGAGAAATGAATGACTGTTTACTGTGCTGACTATCAAAGCAATAACTTTAAATGAGTGCTTTTCACAAGGCCATGTTAATCCATCGCCTCCCATCAAGTAACTGGTATAAATGTTCATTTAAGGACTGAAAACATTTCTTCTAAACGCAACATAAATATTAAACTACTTATGATAGCACCACAATCACAGCTAATGGCCTCACATCCAGGGATCGCCTATCCACCTCTGGGGTAATGTTGTATTCAGAAACTCATGAGTGTTGCCATAGTGTGCAAGAGCGTCATGTTGAAATATTGTTAGCAAGCCACAAATCACACTAAATCTTCCTCTATACCACATCTCGAGTGGCGTGGGCACACCCTTGCACATCACACTATAAAAACTTGGAGAGTTATCCTGTTTGGTGAAGTTTTCACAATTCTTTCTTGCTTTGTTACTTTCCTGTGACTGGCCAAAAGTACACCATGACTTTATAGACACACTATACGTTATCCGCCAAAGCAACAAGATTTCACTTGACTCAAGGAACAGATACTGACACAACTCCTTTCTATAATCTTACAACCTTACCATCTCTCCATTCAGCGCTTTACTTATCTTATTATAACACCCTACATTATCTTTCTTTTCACCAACGCATATGATACGGGTCCACTACGCGATTTACTGATCTCAATTCCACCACTTATAACTTAAAATTGAAAAACTAGTGAAACGTTGAAAGTACTTTATTGAGTTAAATCAGTGCGACAAATGTTTTGAGCAATTATTGCTCTTCTTCAGGCACGACTATCAACAACAACTGAGAAAAGAATAATTCCTCCTTACCACCAATTGATACGCATCACACCATTTTTATTTATCTCCAAACTTACCCTACCCCCAGGGTAAGCCATGCAAGAACTTGGTTTCTAGTAGATGTGGTTGGTTGTTCACCAAAATTTCTCACTTTATCCGCATTTGGTTGGACCGTCTGTAGACTCTCGCGTACAACCAGGCATGGTTGAGATAAGATGACAGCATCATCTGCAAAGATGTAGTATGTAGTAGTATATCACGTTACCGAAATCTGTACTAGCTTTAAGCTGATCATCGTTCTAGTTATTTATTATATCATAAAGTGGTGTAACTAGCGTTAGATTTTATTCTCCGCTTGAGTCCAGTTTGATAAAATTACCAACATTTTCTCAGTCAGTAATCTTCACTAAGTTCCTTTTTAATTTATTAACCATTCCACTCTCATTGATCTCTTACAGATCTGCAAGGTTTTGTTGTCTGTCAGCTGAGAGTCAAGATTTCAAGATTTTGAAATATCTGAGGTTATGTACAAGATAAAATGGCTTTTTTGCAGCTCTATGTTAAAAAGATTTAGTCTATTCTTACTTGCCTCGAAGCAGGAGAGCCAAACATTCTCAAAGATCCATTGATTAATGCGAAAAAGATTTTACTACCTCCGCTTCATATCAAATTAAGAATAATGAAGCAAATCGTAAAGGTGTTTAATAAAAACGGCGCTTGTTTTAAGTACCTTGTAGATAAATATACCAACATGAGTGATGCCAAAATAAAGAAGGGATATTCGTTGGGCCACAGATTCGAGAGTTGATGAAAATTACTGATTTTGAAAATGTGATGATTTCTGATAAAAGAGATGCCTGGACTAGCTTCAAAGAAGTTGTCAATGAAAAAATTACAAAAATTTTTCAAAAACATCTATGCCAGCCGACTATCGCTGATCACTTCAACGTGATGAGTCACATGCTCAACACAAGAGGCGATCTAGCACAAGATCTATGGATCACAAACAAAAGAGATTCCATACAAGTTAAATACAATACAAATTTTGACTGGCATATCTTGACAGTATATACTGATCCATATGCCGAGTTTTAAAATGGCCATAACTTATAATGGAAAAATCGTACAGTAGTTACCATTTGAGAGTACATTTTGAAGGGTAAGGATAGTACTATATGATGAAATAGATAAAATACAGCAAAATAATATTGTGCATATCACACATAACTTCAAAAGCAGCCAAAAAAGCCATTTTTCTTGTACATAATCCCAAATATCTCAAAATCCTGACGTGAAAAATACAAAACGAGAAAAAGATCTATTTTAGATCTTTTACAGTACATTTATTAACAGAGTTAGTAATTGCCCATTAATTGATTTAAACTCTATAGATATAGAATCCAAATTGAAATCATACAAAAAAAAAGTTTGTCCATTACTTGGCAGAGTAATTTAAATAACTTATGACGAAGTATTACGTTCGAAATCTCATGATTAATTGTTCCATAACATCAAATGTGATATTTTTGTGAAATTTTTTTTAGCATCTTCTCGAAATAGAATAAGTAATCCCCCATTTATCAATAACTTGTATGTTAATATTCGTTACTTTTACATTATAACTTTAATTTCTTTTTGCACTGTTTCAATTTATTTAAAGAAAATAAATTACACAACAGAACTGACCCAAAACATAGATTATTATTGAATTCTATTTATAATAGAACCGTTTTATGACGTTAAATTGAACAATTTTAATTTTTACGGACTTTTGTATTATTATATTTCGTTTTTTTTTTATTAATTTTTTTTAATTTTTTGTGTAGGTAAAAATAAAATTTAAAATTAGCGCGTTAAAAAGTGTGCCATCTGGTTTGTTTACAGCAAACTAATAACAGCCGCTCACAGAATCGGGTCGCTTGCATTTTGACGTAAACGAGGGGAGTTGGGTAGAAATTGTTTTTAATAAATTTCAAAATTTAATGTAATAACATAAGTAAAACTAGTTAAAATCGAATTTGTAGTGTATTTAAGTGTTGGGTGTAATGAAATAAAGTAATTTTAAAAATGGGATCATGAATAGTAAAGCGTTAGTTTGGGTAACCGGGCCGTACCATTAGAATGGGCTCGTCCAAACAAGCTTCTGATATTTTCGAGCAGGCAGTCGCCAATCGGTCATTGGACAGGGAGGTTGTCAACAGAATGTGTCAGATTTTTACTTTGATGAATTTTAGTGTAAAGTCGATTTTTTTACGCGAAAAGTGTCCCGTCTCGAGAGCGCACCGCGGCGGACCCGCCGCAGTTGGAAAATTCGAAAGTGCCGCACGCCCAGGACGTTTATGAGGTAACTGACATATTTTTAAGTCCTAATTGCCGACCGTCCCGCGATCTGCCCCCCGTAAACACCCGGGGCCCTAGTTTTCCCTATTTTCGACGTACTGCGAAGAAGTCGTCATCGTGGTTTTCGCCGAGTCGCGCTCACCTAAAAATCTACCTGTTCCAAATTTAGTCATTGTTCTAACCAGGTAGGGGGTCGCAAGAAACGATCTTGCCGATTTGTTTTTTATTCGGGGAGGAACGGTTTTTATTCGGCATCGATAAAGAAAAAAAACGGTGCCCCTCGATTCCGACGTTTTTAACGTAGCTGGTGTTTGTAATATTTAGCGACGTTGCGGATGCTTGACCTGGCAACGGTGCAAAGCATGTTATAAAAGATACCGAGATTGTGTTGTTGTAAACTTGGCAACGTCGCTTTGTGTTTGGTGTGGTAGAAACCTTTTTTTTTTTGTTGATTTATTATATAAAAATCGTTTTTTAATTCATATTTATTTAAAAAAAATTATTTGTCGCGTTGCGTTGTTTTAAAATTTATCGAAAATTTATTTTAATCCAAATAAAATAAATGAATAAAGACAAAACAACAAAGAAAAACAAAAGATTTTTTAAAAATCATGGTGGTTAAAATCATGATCAGGCGTACCGTGTATAGTAATTGTAAGTACGGTATAGGAATTGTGCGTTATACACGTCGTTGTATCATCTCTGTTGCCTTGACTATCTCCGTCTCCTACTATTGTCCTATCGATCTGACTACGTCCAATGAGGAGCTGGATTTTGCGATCGCGGGAGCGGCGTTGTCAGACTTGGTGTAGTGCGCAACGACACACTCTGACAAAGGTAATGGTGGCTGCGTATGCTTACCGCCTGGTTAGAGTGAGATAGGTTCCGTGTTAAACGAACGAGCGAAAAGGATCGAAATATAAGGAGCGGGATTTGAGGCGGCGTTGTCGGTTCGTTCGACGTTTACGAATGAGGCCCGTACTGAGCTGTGTGTCTGTCGCGTCTCCTTTAAGAAAACCGGGACGACGATTGTGCGCTGGGCTTTGATAGCTTTTGGTTCTATATATATATATTTTTTGTTTCGTTTTGGTTTGGTTCACCCTTTCGAGTTTCGAAGTTGTATCTATTATGGTTATTGTTGGTTGTTGTAAGTTGGGTTGGGTTTGGTTTGGTTTTTTTGGGAGGAGGAAAAGGTGGAAAAAGGTGGCCATCTTGGCGGTTCCGCCTGAATTTAGACGTAGTTAGAATGTGTAACGAAGTTGAGTTACTTTTTTTTTATTGACAGTTTTTGTTGGCAAGGTTGATTATTTACCTACCAGTTTTTTGTGATGCGGTTTATTCTAGATTTTAATTTTAAAATTTAAGAAAGTTTAAGAAATTTCACAACAAAAATCAAGAATGTTAATAATTGTTTAGTTTATCATTTAGATATTAGCATATCTTAGTTTTAAGGATACTTTGTAATCATTCGCCGCAGTGGTTCCCAAACTATTTTTATTGGCAGCGCCTTTTTCTGTTAAAATATTTTTATTAACTAAAAGGATGATTATTCGTAAGTAAGAGTTAAAAATAAATAAACTTTCTTTATGGTCACCCTCATTTCATTTTTAACCTTGATTTTTGCTATACATTCGAAAACACATAAAAAATGGTGTTAAAATTGAAATCCAAAATTCTTTCAATTCTAAATTTTGCATTCAAATTTATCACACCTCTTCTTGTGCAAAAATAAATTTAGACGTAGTACTTAAATGCATCTTGAATTCAAGCATACTTATCAAACTTTTCATTTTGATAGATCACGAAGCCTTGCACATGAAGTTAGAGATGTGTTTGGAGGAGGTATTGTTATAAAAAGGTATAAATGGGTATTTTCAGGTCTCATTTGGTGACAATAAAACTTATTTAATAGCTTGTAGGATCCCTTGTGCTTGATAATCTCTGGTAGGCGCTTTGGCATAGATTTTACCAGGTTTGATGTTTCTTCCTTCAGACGTCCTTCAGCATTGTTTTTGAAGTTCTGCCATGCTGCCGAATCTTAGAAAATCACCATTTCCCAGAAATCTAGCAGCTTATTTATATGTTCATTGACCAAAGCAATTCATTTCTGTCAATTTGATAACAGTGATAGCCAGTTTTCTTCAGAATTTTGCACGCAGTATCACTACAAATGGTTTTCTGACAAGTTTCCTGGACGTTCTTTGTCATTATGGATTTTGCTGCACATTTTTAAGGCGTTTTTCTCTCAGTTAGCTTAGACGGGCGTCCTGAAAGCCGTTTCGAAGCAGTCGATTTATAATTTTTAATAACTCTTGGGATTATAGAATGAGTCCTACTACTTCGTTATTGTTGGTTGTTGTAAGTTGGGTTTGGTTTTTTTGGAAGGAGGAAAAGGTGGAAAAAGGTGGCCACCTTGGCAGTTCTGCCTAAATTTAGACGTATGTAGTTAGAATGTGTAACGAAGTTGAGTTACTTTTTTTTTTATTGACAGTTTTTGTTGGCAAGGTTGATTATTTACCAGTTTTTTTGTGATACGGTTTATTCTAGATTTTAAAAAATTTAAGAAATTTCACAACAAAAATCAAGTATCTTAATAATTGTTTAGTTTATCATTTAGATATTAACATATCTTAGTTTTAAGATATACCTTTTTTAGTTAAAATATTTTTATGTCGCCATACCCTAACTTAAAGGATTACTATTCGTAAGTAAGAGTTAAAAATAAATAAAGTTTCTTTATGGTCACCCTCATTTCATTTTTAACCTTGATTTTTGCTATACATTTGCTTTTTATTGCAGCAATCGGCGAAAACGCAGTTTCGCACAAACACATTAAAAATTGTGTTAAAATCAGCTGAGCCTTAAGATTTAGAAGGGTATTTTTCATTGAAATCCAAAATTCTTTCAATTCCAAATGTTGCATTCAAACTTATCACAACTCTTGTGCAGCAATAAATTTAGATGGAGTACTTAAATCAAGCATACTTATCAAACTTTTCATTTTGATTGATCACGAAGCCTTCAACATGAAGTTAGAGATGTGTTTGGAGGAGGTATTGTTATAAAAAGGTATAAATGGCTTCAGGTCTCGAAAAATACAAGAGATTTATGGCTGTGTAATCAGTTTGTTCTGACACGCACAGTTTCTCCACCATTATCATTGATTAAAACTTGCTCTTGTTGTAATTCATCCCTTTATAAGTCACCAAATAAGTTTTGTTGTACAGTTTTCTTGAAATCAACAGTGTACCAGTGAGTTATAAACATGGTCTAAAGTTCCGTTAGTTCGCAATTCTTCAACAGTGTTTATTATTTATTCTTGTAGTTGTTGAATGGTGATAATTTTTACTTAATATACTAATTTTTTTAATGTACCCCACAAAAAATGTCTAGTGGGTGATCTTGGAGGCCATGCTACAGGACCATTCATTCACCTTGCATTAAAATGGTCATTTAACCAGACAACAACTCTTCTTGCTGTTTATGGATATGCACCATCATGTTGGTTCCAAAATATCTCCCAGCTGTGCCAACATATTATCCATGATATTTTCCACTGTATTTTCCAATTGATTTAGATAGCCGTTTGAATTTAATCTGTGATCGATGAACACAGATGACAATATGTTTCTATTGAAGATAGCGCTCCAAACATTTACACTAAACCTTTGGTCCACGTGTTCACGTGGACCTTCTTCATGATTTCGCGCAATACCAAATTCACGTAATTTGCTGTACACTCGAGAAAAGACTGCTCGAGACGGCTGCCTACGATTTGGAAATTTTTGGCGATATTCTGCGGCAGTTGCTAAGGCTCTTCCATTGCAGAAACCATAAACAAAAATAATGATGAACATGTGAAACATGCATCAGAAAAAGTGCATAATTTTTGAATATTTATCGATAAATCCATTGCTGCCACAGTAAATATGTTACAATCACATTTAAAGGATTAATTAATTTTGTGGCTCGATAATTACCTTAAAAAAAAATCAAGTTTCTTACGATTTTTAGTATTCGTAGACAAAGAAAACTGCATTTAACTCTTTTTCTGACTGGTGTATGTATACCAATGAGGTGGTATTATAGTCGGAAATCTTCCTGCAAGAAGTATAGCCTGCCAAAATCTTAATTTTGCGCAACTACCATATTGAAAATAAAATTAACACTCAAAATTTCAGTCGCTTTTCTTATCCATAGCTGATTAAGTTTTTTTATAAAAGCTAATATTTGCATGTATTTTTCTATGCAGAGAGAAATTATAAGAATTCAACATTATATGGATATAGTGGATATTTTGTACACTACATGTTTGAGAAGTCCATGCTTGGTTTTGGTTACTTTGAACAGCTTCATTTAGAATTTTACATAAAACTCTCGTTTCTTATTCTAATTAGATTTTTTTAAATTTTTTGTAGATGTCTGAATCCAATAGTGTTCATTTTGTCCGCGTTTTCATTTCTGTCCATCATGCTGCGTAAAGCTCTATCACCAATTGTAGAGTTGGATTTTAATTTTCTGCTTCAACTTATGCAGACGTAATTTCTTCTTTTTCCACTCGAATTGAGCAAATTGCAATGATTAGTCCATTAGCTGGTATCATCATTTCTTCTGGTAACCAACCTTCTTCTTTCTATGCATTTGTCGTACTAATGACCCCTAAGTTTTTTAATTTGTACTTTTTCGGGTTTTCTAAAATTCTGGTTCTGTCTTCGTCAATTATGTCCCAGCAAGACCATAATAGCTCCCATTAATTATGAAAACTAACACAAACATAGTCATTATAATCTCCTTCACTTGACGTTGCAAAATTACTAAATGTAATGTATTGATTTATTGATTCTTGAGTAATACGTAGTGTTTCGAAAATATTTGGAGTTACAGGTTATAAACCAAGATTTTTAAGAAACTGCCATCGTTTGAAATGATATTGTTTTATATTAGCTTTATAAATAACCAGAGCATTTATTGCGATTTTTACCTGTTTCTAATAACACTGTAATTCGCGACATCTAATCTACTATATCTCCTTTTGTTGAATTAACGAAATTAATGATCCAATTTTTCCAAATTCTAACATTCCAAATTTGCCAAAAACGTTTTTAATAATATTCTGACTTAATTTTTGTTTGGTTAGAGTTGAGGCAAATATTTTAGAATTAAACTTCTTCAATATTTCGGGACGCCCAGTTTGGGAATCACTGGTTTAGTAAATAAAATTGTGGTAAAGTTTGTTGCAGCACTAAACATTTTTATATAAAATTTATCACATTTCTTTCATTCATAATTCTCTATATCTTGAACATTAATTTTCTTTTAATTTGTTTAAATTTTTAATTATTATTCCTATGTTTATACACCATTGATAATAATAAATAAATAACATGTTATACTTAATTTGTTATTAATATTACATATAACGGGATATTTAGTCTATCACATATTATTTTTTGTATAAATTGTAATAACCAAGGTTTATCCTGTTTTGACGTGTGGTACATAGTGTTTTGAGATATGGTTACTGATAAGAAAAGAACCCGCAGAAACTTTAATTTTATCAACATTAACGATTTTTAGTAACGGTAGTGTTGATGCAAAAGATATTATGGTAAGATAAATTGTATTATTTCATGTTGATATCGATAAGTTTATGAAAGTAGCTGTAAACACTTCTTTTTTGTTTTTATACTATGTTGGTTGGCGCTGACTTCATAAACTACCATGAAAGTAGATATCTTTCAGAAGGAATTAAGAAATAAATAAGTGAGATGCATTTGAATATTATAGTAGAAGAAATAAGTTTGAAAAGAGTTACAGGAGTTACAGGATCAGGACATCGATGATTTAAAAGAAAGAATTCAGCAAGAGATAAGATAAATTGAACCGGAAACGATTGATAGAATCATGTTAAGTAGTTAACGGAGAACGGTTTGAAAGTCTTATCAAACAACAACAGTCATTTGTAAATAAATCAATTTTCTCACTTACTGTACTTGATAAAAATAAATTACTCCGCCGTTTCTTATTATCGAATAAAAATTGTGCCCCTTCACGAGAACTTTTTTTCAACACTGTATATTCCGTGCTGGTTTCAAGCTCCAAGGCTCATCTTCAGCCTTGGTAAACGGTGTGTAAGTATCTTCACGCACTTAAAATGGAGAAACGAGAAAAAATATTGATTGTTTAGTTCCGTTTGCTAAATTTAGTTCCAATATATAAGAATAGAATGAAAATGACAAAATAATTGATTGTGCTCTTACTTTCCATTCTGTCTTTATTCTACTTTTGTAGGCTTTCTTTCCAGCATTTCTTCCTCTTCCCCAGGCTGTTCATTATGCTTTCGTTTCATCTTGGTAGTTTTGCATACTTTGAATTCTTCATCTGTTGCTCTTTAGAATATTTTGTGTTTCATGTGTCTAAATTATAATATTAACGTCTGAACGTCTGATGAATGCAAGCTTCCATTCTGACTCCATTTTTTAATTCAACTTATTGTAGCAATCCATTTCTAGATAACTCAATTTTGCATAATCTGTGATTTTCTTCTGCCTAGACATTCCGAGTATCTTCATATTTAGTATACTTTCCATTCTATATCTCTTCAGCAGACGCTGCGTTCTGTATTTAGTTCTCTGTAGCAGACTTTGCATTTTCAGTATTTGTGTCCAGGGCCGTTATTATCTGTTTATATTTTCAAACTGCATTCTTTATATTTTGCATCTATATCTGCTTAGAAGCACCTGCATTTTACCAGTATTGTTCTATATTGGTTTTAATTGTAACGAGAATTGTTGTATTAAGTACAACAATTCTACAACGTACCTAGTACAAGTTGTACTAGGTGGCGCATAAGTCATTATTCCATTATAAGATGATATAATTTTTGCAAATAGCGGCAAATGTCAATTCTGCTTCGATATTTATGAAGTAAATAGGTACAAAATACACGTCAACAAATCATGGATCGATACCAATTGGGCGTTTAGCCGCTCGCCTTAAAGAGTTTGGAACAACACGAGATGCTACCAGATCTGGCCTCCCCCAGAGCAGCCTTTCTGCTGAGAATATCTCGGCTGTGGCCAAACGCTACAGAGCCTTTTCATTTGCCGATGATGTATTATGATTAATAATGGTAATTAAACTGAATATATTTCGATGTCAATTATGCAAAAACCATAGAAATGTTATTGGTATCTGTGTATTTGTGGCAGCCATAATTAAAAAACTTATTTGTTGCACTTCCAAAACAGATTAAAGAAATTAAAAATATAGAAATAAAGTTTTCAACATGAATGGCATGAATGGCAAAAAACTTAAAGCATCTATTTATACCACTTCAAAATTGGAAATCCATAGAAGAACAAGAAAACGATAGAAAGACAGTATGGAGTATCAATAAGTTATGAAATAAATGTATTGGCTATGATACTTTTATACTAACCTATAAAGGCATACAAAATTTTTTCTTGAAGACATTTACAATCAGCATATTACATTGTTATCATTGATTGTGAGTCATTAATGAACATAGCAAAACTACTAAATATTTTTATAGCACTCGATTTATAACCATTTTAATGTATTATATTCTACTCAAATAAAATTAAAAAAATACATTAACTTGCAAACTTCGTATTTCATTTTCATCATTGCGTAGAAATGTTTAGTGCTACAACAAACTTAGAAGAAGTTTTACTAAAATACTCGAAAATATTTAAATTTCATTTCAAAACTCATGTTTAAACATTGAATTACACAATGTCAGCAATATAAATGTTCTAGTACAACCTAATATTACACAATTTATTTATTTTTTAATTTATTTAGTAACTCATATTATTAAGCGAATATAAACCGTTCAATATGGCATCTTTTTTATTAATTTATCCACCATAGTGGGGAGGGAAATATTGAAAAAATCAAGTAATATTTAATTCCGGTTGTTTCCAGCGCAATGCAAGTTTGTTTTCTCAAGAAAACGACTAGAAAACATCCGTAACAATATGGTCCTGAAAATTTCTATGTTTGGAGTGCAATATCGTACGCATCCCATACTATTTTTCGGATACGTGATACGACCAGTAAGTTGAAATACCGTGAAAGTTGTTGATGTAAGGTGGGGAAAGATGTTAATTAGTTTTAGGATTTAATGTTTTTAAAAGCTTCGATTGGTTGATTTTTAAATTACACACAAGGTCATTGGTGAAAGTCGCTTGGAAAGCATATTAATAAAGTGGACGTTTATGAGATTACGTGGTTGGTATTTGCCATTTCTTCGGCGATGTTTATTAACGTTTATGGCAATAATAAAAGATAGGTGTACGTAATTTAAATTGGAATTAGAAGTTTGGAATTAAAAATGAGCTTAGTTTAGATTAATGGAGATGTGGGTTTATTTATTTGGAAATTCCTATGAGATGAAATTTTGCGCTTGTTATTAGAGGAGCTCTTATTTTCTATGAGTCTTGTATGATTATTTGCGGCTTAAAATGAGTAAGTCTGCGAGAACGCGGACCGTGTGCCCGGGTTTGGAACGAGCCGAGACGTATCTTTTATTTCACTTCAACGCCCAGTAGTAGTAAATCGTCTCGCCGAGTTTTGTATATAAATGTAGTGGGCGTGTTCAATCGTTGATCAGCTGAACTGCACAGCAGTCCTTTTTAATAAACCAATAATTGTTTTTAACAACTTTATGAACAAGTTACGTTCAAGTTATCTTTATAAAAATTATTCTCATCAATGTAATATTAAAGAGCTTTATTAATATTTACTTCTATGTTATCTTATTATTAGAACAACATTGTTTATGAGGGGGTGTATTGATAAAAATAAAATAAAACTTTGTAACATCGAAAATTGTACTGTTATTACTTATGAATCTTATTAATTGGAATATCTTTTTAAGCGATTCATTTAAAATAGTGTTTTTATTTGCAGCCGTCTCGATGTAAATTGAAATGAAACGTCTGCGCGTGGATGAAACAGTGCAGGAAGGCAGTGGTCCACCGTTATCTGGTAACAACTTATATCGCTCATCGATACCGAACACAACATCGGCTATAGCCTATTCAGGTGCCGGAACAATAAAAGTGGTTGGAAGCGAAGGCATGCAGTCTAGTTTGTACCCTCCGACCCCGCCAGTAAGTTACGGTGTGATGCCGACGGCGGCCGTTCCGCACTCTGGCAAGGGTCAGACAATCCAGCCGCTCTCAGTGGGAGGCCACGCTGCTCAAATAAGGAACAAGGGCGCTTCGCCTCCTTCAGCCGTTCCCCAAGTACCGGTACAAGGCGGACATCAAGGGCCGGCCCAGCAACCGACGCCGCCGTCACAACAGCAGCAAGGGCAGCAGCAATCACCCGGCAGTAATTTTCAAAGACTCAAAGTCGAGGACGCGCTATCGTACCTTGACTCGGTCAAATATAAATTTGGCGATAAGCCGCAGGTTTACAACGATTTTCTGGATATTATGAAAGAATTTAAGAATCAATCCATTGACACGCCGGGTGTTATCCAACGAGTATCGAACCTCTTCAACGGATTCCCCGATTTAATAGACGGTTTCAACACGTTTTTGCCGCCTGGATATAAAATTGATGTGCAAAAAAACGATCGCGGCTACGCTTTTCAAGTGTCTGTGAGTGTCCCTAGACCTACTGGTACCATGGTTTCTGAGCCTGTTCAAAAAACTGCTATGATACTAACAGGTTCAGGAATTATCCATAGCAATATACCGAATCCGGGAGGACAGCAACCAGTTTCCGGACCTGTATCCTCGAACGCCGCCCTCCCGGCACATTCCCAGCCCTTGTCACTTTCCTCACAGCACGTTTCCTCTATTCCTCCCCAGGCTCCCCCACATTCCAATCCCGTTTTACAACAGCAACACCACGCGACCGCTGGAGCTCCGTCTGCTGTTTACGGAAACGCCGTCACTCCCACTCTACAATCAGCAGCCACCCAGCAACCCCACCATCTCAATTTAAACAGCAATGGCAACAATTCAACACCTTCTGTGCAACAACAGCATCATCATCACCACCATCACCATCATCATCAATCCCAACAGCAACCTCATCATCATAACAACACGTTGCAATTTTCTGCCGCGCAAGCTGCTGTCAATCAAGCTCTACAAGGTGGACATACCGAAGCACCCCAAAATCAACCTGTTGAATTTAATCATGCCATCAATTATGTTAATAAAATTAAGGTAAGCTAAATGTTGCTCTTTAGTATACAATTAAAACATTATATACTGGGTGATTTATTAGCTCATCATCAAACTTTGACATATGATAATTAATCCAATTAAAAAAATGTTAATGAATTGAATTTGAAATGAATTTACGAAATTAGAAGTATTAGAAGAACACTTTAAAGTTTTAATTTTTATATCATAATTAACTACTACATTTTTTTTAAAACACAAATATTACAAATATTGTTCAAAATAGCCTCCCTCTGCTCGAATACATGCTTCACAACGACGAATTAAAGAGTTCTTCAGCCGAATTAAAATGTCTGGTTGATTTCTTATTTCAGTAGCAGCGATTTGTATTCTGTTTAATAATTGTTGTCGTGTGTTAATTTGCACTTGATACACAATTTGTTTCATTTCACCACCCCATAAGTAGAAATCCAATGGATTAAGGTCAGGGGATCTAGGTGGCCAAGCAAATGGACCATTATTACCAATCCACTTGTTTGGAAAATATTGGTTTAACCACTCGACAACTACTCTTTCGCGATAAGGTCGGGCACCATCGTGCTGGTACCACATATTTTGAATTACATTAAGAGGTATATCTTCAAGTAAATCAAAAAGTGTATTGTTCAAAAAAATCTGTAATTTACAGCGTTCAAACGTCCATCAAGTACATGCACACCTAGTAAATTGTTTAGCGATTTGGGATTCCAGTTTCATCGTAGTGTGGATAATGTAATAAAAGTAAACAGTCGGACTTTTGCGCCTCACGGAAAAGTACCGTTTCACTTTTAATTTATATTTTTTCATAGTTTTTTCTTAATTTTTGTTCTTTTCATTTAACAGTTCATCCTTTTGTTTTCTTAACGTTTTGTTTCTTTTTTACGATGATCCTTGTTTAACCTCACTTTTCAACGTGTTTTCAAATTCCCTTAACAAATTTTAATGTAAACAACGTTCCGATTCGAGGAAATGTATCAACTAAAATGTACACAACCCCTTTGCGACCGTTTTTATAAACTAATTACTAAATCAACTTTATTTCTCCGTCTCAACATCTAACCTCTTTTGACGTCGTGCCTATGAAGAAGACCATACTGGTCGAAACAATTGTCGCACCGAAACATAAAAAATAAAACAATCATCATCGTAAAACTTACTTTTATTACATTAGTAAATTGTTGTTAAATATTCCACCCCATACGTTGATGCTGAAACGTTGTTGAAATTTCCTTGGTCTAATCGCATGCGGATTTTGTTCATTATAGTAATTATCAATGACAGCATTAATTACAGCTTCTTCGTCCTCTATATTAACTACATGCGGTCGAATAGCTTTTGCTGGAGCAAGATTACCTGTTTCTCGAAGTCTTCTGAAAGAATCGCTAAAAACTGAATAATATGGCAAATGACGCTGTGGAAATCTTTCTTGATACTCTTGTACTGAAATTATATCAGCATACTCTTCAGTGCTATAAGCGTACATTTTGAGTTTCTTCTTGTATATAATAATTAAACCTTACAGCAAGCTGACATATTACAATGACAACTTTGTTTTTGTTGAATGTTTGATTTTACTGACTATTAATAAATTCGCTGCAGAAAACTTTAAAGTGTTATAATTTCGTAAATAAATAGGACATATGTTCATTAACATTCTTGTTTGGTAATTGGATTAGCTATCATATGTCAAAGTTTGATGGTGAGCTAATAAATCACCTGTATAGTAACAAAAAACTGTATAGAGTTTAAATACGTAATTAAATGACCTTGAACAAAAACATTTTATTGTGTTTCTTCCAATTGGTTTATTACTTCATGAAATCATAAAAATATATAATCTTAATGGTTAGGGAAGAATTTTTTATTTATTAGAGATTTGGTTTTAGGGAACTCCAACACACTTTTAAAATATTATTAGCATTAAATTTTGTTTTCAGAATCGTTTTCAAGGTCAACCAGATAAATATAAAAGATTTTTGGAAATATTGCACACATATCAGAAAGAGCAAAGAACCTTAAAAGAGTCCTCCCAAGGTGTGGGTGGTGGAAAACATTTAACAGAACAAGAAGTTTACAGTCAAGTAGCAAAACTTTTTGAGAATCAAAGCGATCTTTTAGCGGAGTTTGGTCAATTTTTACCGGACGCAACGAGTCACATAAACCCGCCCGCGATGGCAGATCATCAACAGAATAGCTTTAAAAAGCAGCCGCTAAAACCATATGGTCACCATAGCGATCGTATCATCGATCGTATTATACCCCATCATAAACCGAGCCATCTTTCTTCAAACCAATTGAAAAGATCGCCGCCTTATCCAAATTTATTAAGCAGAGACGCTCCTTTACCGAAGAAACACAAACTCTCATCGTCGTGTAGAGATGTTACAATCGCCGAAGCTGGCAAATATTGCACATTAAACGATTACGCTTTCTTTGATAAAGTCCGAAAAGCCGTTCGTTCGCAAGATGTTTACAACAACTTTTTACGATGTTTAGTGATTTTCAATCAAGAGATCGTTTCGAAAAGTGAACTTGTCCAACTTGTCACGCCGTTTTTATCGAAATTTCCTGAATTAATGAAATGGTTTAGAGATTTCGTTGGTCAAACGGACGTCGAAAATATACCTTATAACGTTACAAGAACGGAAAGGCCTGTAGGAGAACATACATTGGACATTGATTATTCTACTGCCAAACGTTTAGGTACGAGTTATTGCGTAATTCCACCGTCCCAGGAAGGTTTGAAATTCTCGGGTCGAACGCAGTTATGTCACGAAGTGTTAAACAATCAGTGGGTGTCGTTTCCGTCTTGGGCTGAAGACAATTCTTTTGTTGGATCGCGAAAAAATCAATACGAAGAATACATGTATAGGTGTGAAGATGAACGATTCGAATTGGACGTTGTTATTGAAACGAACGCTTCAACGATTAGAGTTTTAGAAGGAGTGTCTAAAAAACTTAGTCGAATGAGCCCTGAAGAAATTGCAAAATACCGTCTTGATGATTGTTTGGGGGGACATTCGCCAATATTACATCAAAGGGCTTTAAGACGTATTTATGGGGACAAAGCACAAGATATTATTGACGGTTTAAAACGGAGTCCTGGCGTAGCTGTGCCCGTAGTTTTAAGGCGATTGAAGGCGAAAGAAGAGGAATGGAGGGAAGCGCAAAAGGGATTTAATAAAATTTGGAGAGATCAAAACGAGAAATATTATTTGAAAAGCTTGGATTATCAGGGCATCAACTTTAAACAGAACGACGTTAAAGCGCTTCGATCAAAAAATCTTTTTAACGAAATTGAAACGTTGTTTGAAGAGGTAAATTAATTCAATTTTAAACAATTTTGTTTATTTATTAGATTTTTTTTCCTTAGCGAAATGAACAAAACGACGAGAGTTCGTGTAAACCAATTGTTGGTCCCCATTTGGTGTTTCATTATCGAGATAGGACAATCCTTGATGATGCAGCTAATTTGTTAATTCACCATGTTAAGCGGCAAACGGGAATTCAGAAGGGGGAGAAACGGAGGATTAAACATATTTTACGCCAGTTTGTGCCTGATTTGTTCTTCCATCCACGACAGCAACTTAGTGATGATGAAAGAGAAGAAGACGGTAAGTTTATTTTAATATTTGATTCTTATTTGATTTTCAATTCCTTTTTGTGTTTAGATGATGATAAGGAAGATGGCGATGAAAGTCCTAGAGGATCAGTTGGAAATAATGAGAAACGCAATAGTCCAGGAAAATCTCCAGGATGCGCGGATGGTGATATAATCTTTTCCAACATTGATATTAAAGAAGAACAATTGCCTTTACATGCACAAACTGATGATCCTGTAAGTAAATGATAATGGTTTTTATCGCATCATTTGATCTAAGCAAGTTTCGTTAAATTAATTTTCTTAGAAATTTGTACAAGACATGATGCAAAATTAATAAATGCAGGCTAGAGTGAAGGGTTTATTGATTTATGATTTTCTCTTCTCATTCACCTGCAACAGTTTAATGTTAAACGTTTGTTTTGTATATTTAGTAAATTGGTGTGTGTATTGACGTAAAAATACGAATATTAAATGTTAAATTAAGAATTTTACGCAACATTTATTATTTTAATTTCAATGTGACCAATCCTAAAAAGATAAAATTCAGATATCACAATACTCCAATTGCTAATTTAATTGAAAGCATGGTATTATAAATATTGCACGTTAATAAGAGAATATAATAATGAGAAAGTAAGACACAAATGATAAATCTTTTTGTGAAAAAAGAAATATGTCACGATAATAATCTCTATCTAATCTTTTCTCTGATTTGTTGTTTAACTTTTTGAGGTATGCTAATAAACTTAGAGGCATAAAAATTTAAAATTTTAAAGCAGTATGTTAATTACTCTTTATTAATGGTGGAACTTTATTCTACTTAACACCAATTTCTTTTTTGAAAATTAAAAATTGAATTGGTTGTTATGTAATAAGTGGTTAATAAAAGAAAATAATCGACAATTACTTTCAATTATAGTTTTAATTTTTTATGCAGTTTAAAATACTTAAGAAGTTTCTGCAACATTTTTGTTTATACAGGGTGAATTATAAAAAGTATTGAATCTCATCAATTGAGACGCGTGATTGAATGCAAATTCAAAGTAACGATTGAAAAAACAAGGAGTTAATTAATGTTTTGAAGAAAGCAAAATGGTAATACTAAATCATAGAATAAGTGTCTACTCAAACATTGAGGAAATGTCTCAGAAAATGCCCTATATAAGAAGAATCATATTTTATGTTAGAGTTAAAACCTGCCTCACCAAAACAAATCAATTACAGGAATAAATATTTCAAGAAATTTGGAATATTAAACTCAATATCAGAATGAAAGACTTTATACAAGAGGAGAAAATGGACAAAAATAAACTTTTCTTCCTTCCAAAAACTATTATCAGAGATAAGCTTTACATCAATACTTAGCGACAAGCAAAACAAAATTTTAATTATTTTTTGAAACATTAAAATTATTAATGTGTTAATTTTGTCACACTCATCCTAAGATGTACCCTTTAAAAGATATCAGTAAAATATAGATAAACAATCATCACAAGTTTCTCCTGTAATGTTATGTTTACACTGTCTGGTATTGGGGTTGCATGTTTTTGAGTATCCATTACAGTCATTACAACATTTTTCTGGGCGATTAGAAACGTTGATGTTTTGTAATCTAACGTAATCGTAATCGCAAGATTCATATGAAAAACCTGTGTATCCTGAAGGACAAGAACATTTTAAACATTGTAAAGTGAACGTTTAAATTAGACATTTTTTTTGAATGTCAATCTAAGCTTCTTCAACAGCAACTTTAATTTGTTCTATGAGAAATTTGGCTCTTAATATGATATGTTTAGTCTGCAAGTAACTCTGCTTTTTAGCTAAAATAGATGTTGATAATATGATTCTTTTTTCATTTCACTAAGTAGGGCAAACTATACTGTTAGTGGACAGTTAAGGACTTTTCTCAGAAGATTCTTTCTTAAAAAATAGTGACATAACGGAAACGCAAATTTGTGATTATTACATAATTCCTCCGCACATTTTGCACGAATGTAGTTACTTTACTGATTTCGTAGATATTACTGAAACCACCTATTACACTTTTAATTATTTATTTAATAATTAACACGATATGGACACAATGCATCGATTTAGGAAACATTTTCTAAATACATCCAATCCTTAAAGTTGTCTTTCGTCGCATTTCTATTATTTTTTGTCTTACTGATATTGCATTAAAACTCTTATCCTGGCCAGTTTCATGTTGTTCTAACTCAACTGTATATAATATATCATCATCAGAGAAGTCCTTATAACGTTCATTTCCTGAGTTTATTGTCTCTTTGTTGTAACAATTATGGCATAGATAAGTAGCGTCTTCATTAGGAATATAAATTCGATTACATTTTAGAACGCATTTTTTATGGAAACTTTGTTTACATTCCTCATACTTCAAGTTAGTCTTATTTTGACACATTTTTCCGCAAACAAAACATTTCAGTTTAATATCTTTTTTCGTGATTGTCGTCTTCCTTTTCCCATTAAGCTTCTTCTTAGAGCTTCTTGTCGTTCTGTTTCTAGTTGTAATACTCTTTGTGTGCCTTCATGTTTTGGCGAATTTGATAAGGTGAAGTAATTGCCAAAGAAACCTGATATGACCTGTCAGACTCTCTTTATGCCCTGAATGTTTGATTTTAAAATCAAGTGTTGATTTGGGCACATTATATTTGTTGGTAATATCTCCTAGAGAAGAGATATTACTTACCTTTGGCATTTCTTGAATGCCCAACAGCATCTAATCGCCTATTGACGATTTTTGATAATCTTTAAAAAAAAATTAAACATTTAGTGTTCGACTGTTGTCCAATAACTACTTTGACTTACAATTTTATAATTACAGCTGTTGAGCGCAGTGTCCAATGATTACAATCCACACTGATTATAATACAGTTATTGGAAATTGGAACAGTTTACTCTTTTAAGTTAGAAACGCTAAACTGACTATGTTGCACCATTTTATATACCATAAGCTATATTTTGGCATAACTTACCTTATGTTTCACAATCAACCTCACAAAAAAAGACAAACCTTTCAAAACTTTTATCAAAATTATTTACAGTATCACCGACGATATTCAGGTTAACTTAACATGTCATATTTCGTCAACTGTGATACATAAACTTGCGCAAAGTTCTTGTTTTTAAAAAATAAATCTGTGCTACCCAATAACTGTCACTTTTCAATAATTGTATGGTTTACCCTACTTATATATTTTTGTTATACAGCAACTTTTCGAATTTTCTTTCTTTGGTAAACTAATATTTCGTCCTCCTTACATTATATCCAAGAATGACACTTTCAATAAATATATTATTTTCTTCATTCTCACAGATTTTTAAAGTATTTTTACAATTGACAATTTGGTGTATTTTTCTTCTCCAACTCTCTTGCTTTTTTCAGAAATTTGTAAACATTGTTATACATTTTATATATTTATATACATATTTTTAAAATTTTTTAGAATTAAAGACTTTCTGAATTCAATTGAACCGCAAAACACTTTGAAAATCAAAGTTAAGGCATATTCAAAGATTCCCGCTTCAAAACTGACTCCCTAAATTGACGAAGAAATGTATGGAAGTCCTTGACAGTATAATTTACTTGGTCAAGTAGCTTGGAAGACAAGGAATTCAGAATTATGGAACCAATTAATTTTTATAGATGAATCAAAATGTAATATATTTACTTCCAATGCTTTGTTCTATGTTTGTTCAATTTGATATTTTGGGTTTTCATGTATTTATTGAGAATTATGGATAAATTAACCTCTTAATTCTAAAATAACATGTTACAAAGTGACGCAAGAAGAATCTTGTAAATCTTTAGACTTATTTAGAAAAGTCACGACAGTCGTAATTTAAAGTACGTCTGATACTTGACTGTCTCAAAACTATTTATTCATAAATAGACGAGATCACAGACTCTCATATGATAAGTTTCATGTTGCAATCTCTATATTCTGCAAAGTCTACATACATTTTGTTGCTGTCATGAGTGTTGTTATTATGAATATCTCCGTAATTAGAAGATGTTCTTAATTATCATATGCATATAAAATATATTCATTGACGGATGTGTCAACATGCCATGAGTTAATAAAGTTGAATGACAATCATCAATATCATGACTATCATCAATAAAGCCCAGACCATCTAGTATTCTTGTTGCTCTTTGCTGCAGAGAAAAAAGTAGTGCAATCCAGGTAATCAATCCAATAAGAAGATAAATATTGCTACCAATTCTGCTTTCTTCAAGATTGATTAAAGTACTATATCTAAGATTTTGGTATCAGTAGGATTATCAAAATATGTGTCACATTGATCAAAGTGTTTATGGCATCATGAACCACAGAATGAGTAGCAGAAATTCGTTAATATCCTCAAATCAAGTATCTAAATCAGATCAAGAAACAATTCTTTCTAAAACCACGTTACTTATGGTGTAATACATAATTAATTTCTAAAAAAATTTACTTTTATGTTATAAATAGCTCGTTTATAATTCTTGATAGAAAACGGGAAGAACACAAATAATTGGACGAATAGTTTTTGAGATCCTAATTCCTGTTAAGAAAGTTCAAGCAATTGGGAATTGCAATTTGAATAAAAATTATTTTCAATTCAATTGTATTCACAACTAAATTTAACAGACTGGCGATTAATATACATAGTTTATACATCAACACAAATTCTTAAGAGAAAAAAACACCTCAATTATGCTATTTGCTATCAATTAATTTTTTAAATATTTTGTATAAATTTGTAACTAGGAAATTTTTGTAAAGAACAAAAGCCTGTATATAAATTAGCATAAATTAGCCCGTATTATTATTACTGCAAAACATCACAAAATTGTTAATAAAAGAACGTAATAATATTGTAACGATGTTTCATGGTTAACATGACATCACGCTATCCAAGACATGAATGACTGGGATATGTAAAAAATGTTGCTACAACAACAATAGAGATAACGTGACAATTTTGATAAATAATTACAGTTTTTATAATGAGTTGATAAATAATGTAGAATAATACAGTAGTACTATAATGTGTATCTTTATGCACAGTGCTATCATTACTAACATATATAATAAACATTTATGATACGATCATAAACAACGTTTTAAAATTTTAAACGCATATTTTTATTCCCATTCATCTATGATTCTTTTGTACTATTTATGAAATACTTGGAACACCCATGAGTCATCTCTTTTTTAAACCACATTTTGTTTTATTTGAATCACATTAGGTTTTCCCCATTTTTTTAAACTTTCCTATTATTATTTAATTTATTTTTGGTGTTATTCCTCATTTTAAATATTATTCTTTTTTACAGGAAGAAGCATACACATTATTCATGGCAAGTAACAACTGGTACCTCTTTTTAAGGCTACACGTGATTTTATGCGAGCGTTTAGCAAAAATATACGAACGAGCCGTTTTTCTAGCAGACGAAGAATCGAAACAAAAAAATAATCGAAAAGAAAGTACGGCGGTTGCGTTAAGATTAAAACCAAAACCGCAAATAGAAGTGGAAGATTATTATCCTGCGTTTTTGGATATGGTTAAAAATTTGTTAGATGGTAATATGGAATCCTCGATGTATGAAGATACGCTTCGAGAAATGTTTGGTATTCACGCGTACATTGCTTTCACGTTGGATAAAGTCGTTTCGTACGCCGTTAGGCAGCTACAACATTGCGTGACGGAAAGAACGGCCGTTGCTTGTATGGAAATGTTTCAAAAAGAACAGAAACGAAGTGGGGCTGGCGGACCATGTTCAACAGCTCACAGGAGGTTTCATCAAGAATTAGCGTATCAAAGGGCGATAGAAAAAGTTCAAGATGAAAATTGTTTTAAAATTTACATCTACAAAAAAGATTGTAAGTTAACCATTGAAATGATCGATACCGAAACGGAGGAACCCAAAAAACTAGAAGAAGCGAAAAAATGGAGTTCGTACAAAGATAAATTTGTGGAATGTTCGAGTACAATCAACAGGCGATTACCGTTATATCTCAATCGAAATTTGAAAAAGTATAAGAACCGGCATTTCCGCACGCGGAATAACATAATTTGCAATGATATTAACGACATTAAGATCGAGAGAAGGGACGACGAGTTGAGCGTTAGTAATAAACGACAGTCGGATGGTGGCGAAAAAAGGGATAATAAGAGGTTGGAGCCTTATGAAGAACTCGAAAAAAAATTAAACGAGAGGTTGCCTTCGGAAAGGAATCAAACAGATCATCCGGGATATGTTGTTTCTGATGATACCCAGTGCAGGTTGGATTCTGCTAATGCGGAAGTTACGTATACTGCTGATAAAGGAAGTATACTTTATAAGTATGGAGCGTTTGGAAGAGCTAAAGAGGTGGGTAATTTTATTGACTTAAAATAAATTGTTTTAATTTTTTTAAGATTTTGAATATTGTTTAATTAGACTTTTATTTTTTTGAAAATTTATGGCAAATTTGTTTGAAATTGCGAATACTTATTGAAACTTCTTTATGTTAATACGTTTCGCAAGTTGGGTCACTTTGCATTCTTGTTTTTACTTTAATGCATACTGTTTTTCAATGAGATTTCATGCGTGATGCGAATTATAACAAATCCTACAACAGTTTTCTTTATCAAACAGTTACTGGATTATATAATTAAAGTATTTTACAAATAATATCATTCTGAGATACTGGTGTTAAGCAATAATGAAGACTTTTCTTTTTGATTTATTATATTTATCGTCTTCATTAAATCCACATTTAGCGTTTTATTTAGGTTATTTAAGTTTTTTCGTTTAAAAAAAATCCATCCAATAGTAGTTAGCGAGCATGTTCTTGTCCCATCTTCTTTGATATTTGCACTTCATATCTTTAATGTCTTGGTGCAACATTTCACCATGGTCTTCTTTGACTGAAAGAATTCTTTCTGAATGAAGGAAATATCGAAATCACTTATGGAGCAATTCATTGATCCTTGTAATTATCCAAAAATTTACTGATATGGAGTCTTTCTTTGTTGTTGTCATGGTAGTTTCAAATTGTTTATCCTTCATAAACTTGCGAATATCTGGGCCAATAAAAATTCCCTTGTCGGAGAAATTGCACCTTTTTGCACAAGTTTAAAAAAATCGCAACCTTAACAAACTACTTGCATATAAAACAGTACTTTTTCTGGGTTAGCTAAGCTGTTCCGAATCACTTTCTTAGTCCCTGGCTCAAGATTTTGTTTTTTCAGCCATTCCTTTTTGATCCAATGTTGTTATTTTTATGGAAATAACTTTCAAATCACTCCAAATGGTCCAATTATGAAGAACGACAGCTAAATTTGCTCATCAATCCAGAAAGATCAGAACAAAATACCAGCTTCTCCATTTCATCAAAGTACTTAACAAAGTCTTTTTCTAGATTCGTGTACCAATAAAAAGGGGTCTTTTGCCAAGGTTGTTTTTTTCAAACTGGAGGCACAATTCAGCTGCCTCTTTGGAAAGGCTCAGATTTCTAATCAGATCATTAAATTCAAATAAATACGACATCGAAGTCTTAAACTTGCTGATGTTCTGAGTCTGAAGACTCTGTAGAGGTAATTCAGTTGTATTCAAAGGCAGTATGGCAGATGAAAATTTCTCGGGTTTAGCTTTTGATTTCATAATGAGATATGAAAGTAACAACCATCAGAGTTTATTTGGCTTCTTCCATGTTATCTTCTGCCTCTTTTTTCGGTGCCATATCAGCTAGACTTTGTATCTATCTCCTCTAAGATGGCCTAGATATGATATCTTTCTTATCTTAATAGTTTTAAATAATTCACAAACGACAGTTGCTCTATTTAACACTGCATCATTGGTCTACATGGCTGTCCAGGATATTCAGATCATTCTTTAATGCAACATCTGAAATGCTTCAGGCTATTGATCGCGACAGTCTTTAGAGTCCAGATCTCAGCCCTATACAGGTGTCCGGAAATGAAAATGAAATGAAATAAAAACAAATTAAAAAAAAATATTAAAGTCCTCTAGCTGCTAAACTAAGCAATTTTGTATATAGATAAGTTGAGTTAAATCATCATGTTTTTGCTCAAGGTACTTGTGGTCTTCCATAGTACACGTCATTTTTGGACACCTGTATAACAACACTGACCTGACATAACCTTGATCATTCTTTGACGCAATTTTTGGTTCAAGTTATTATTGCTACCCTCTCGTCACAACGATCTATAAGATCGATTGTAACTTAACTTTTCCAAATGTTTATTGCAAATCTAGGTCCTTGATGAACCTTAGTATTACTCAAAGGTCTTGTTATTTCATGTCAGTAGGTGTTAGGTGAACTTTCTGGCGACACATTCACACAGTACATGTTCAGCGGTCTTTGACTCGTCGTTGCAAAGTCGACAAGTTTGACCCTCAGCTTGTCCAATGTTGAAGAGGTGGTACTTTACGTAGGGCCAGTCAGGAGACCTGAGAGCGACTTTAGATCCTCTTCGCAGAGGCATAAAACCTCTTTAATTTTCTTTTGGGACGAAATTATACTTTTCGCCTATCTGTATCCTGGAAGTTCTTTCCAGTGCAAGACTACTTTTGAGGAGACCTCTTTATTTATTATCTGTTTTAAGTGTTTTTTTTTGTAGTCCACAGCCAGGCTTGCGTCCAATAAAGGGCGTCCTAGCTACATCTTTGCACCTTCAGCTTGTCCAATATTGAAGAGGTGGTACTTTAGTGGCATAGGGCCGGTCAGGAAACCAGCGAACGACTTTAGCTTCTCTTGCTGAGGCATAAAACCTCTTTGGGTTTCTTTTGCGTTTTTTATCTGTATCCTGAAAGTTCTTTGCAGTACAAGACTACCTTTGAGGAGACCTTCCATCTATTGATTACCTGTTTTAAGTTTTTTTAATAGTCTACAGCCAGGTTTGGGTCCAATAAAGGGCGTCCTGGCTGCATCTTAGACCAGCTTGTCCACCTTTTTAGTGTCTTTAACGTCTTTGTGACCTGGAACCCACCTTGGAGTAACTTCATTGTAAGTTGTTCCAGAAGAATGATTTCATTGTTAGAATAGTTGCGGGAGCTGTTTCAATTCTACGCTTAATCTCTTTACCTGGATTTAATTGTTCCGTGAAATAGCGTCCAAGATATCTGAATTGGAAAACTCTCTCATTGTTTTGTTGGTACATGTGTACAGAGTGTTAATTAATTATCGTGACGTCATCTTTGCAAGTATGCAACCAATATCACAGTATAGGTATTGCAATACGCGATTTGCGTATTTGGTTGCATACTTGCAATGATGACGGTGGGTACGATTATTAATTAACACAGTGTAGGGAAGTATCAGCGCGCGGTTGGCGATTGAATATCATAAATTTCGTCTTAGTGACATTCATTTTTAGAGCTATTTCTTGTTCTGTTACATTTACATCCAAATAACTGGAGGCATGTCTAATAGTATATCAGTTCACCATTGGTTTTCACTCCAAAGTCTTCTTCTCCCGTCACAACGTCTTGGTCTTTGTTTAAAGTGTCTGTGTTCATCTCAGCTATCTGTATTATATTATAAGGTATGATTTGTTAATTTACTTAAGACCTTATACAGGCTGGTCTAGTAATTTTTGTATCTAGTAGTCGGGAGCATCTGTACAGTTTTTGGCAATTTATTAAATAACTTTGGAGCAATGTAGTTAAAACTTCTCTGGCTCCTGGACAATCTACAGTATTGCGGTAGAAGTAAGTCTTTCTTACATTTGTTTCAAACTTACTTATACAATGCCTTGCATATACATCGTCATATTTAGGTAACTTTTGCTTTTATCTCTACTAAGTTGGCAAAATTGATCTGTGAATTAAAATGAATTTTTGATTACGAATTTAGGTCCATTATAAATGTTTTTTAACATAAAAACTTATTTCTATCTGCTTTACTTTTTGACCTAGACCATTTTTTGTGTTAAAATCATCAGATTTCAGTATTTTTGCTTTTTAACCACATTAAGTTGGCAATCTTAATCGGAGAATTAAAACTTATTATTGAATATGATTTTAGGATTAATTATAAATGTTTTTTATATAAAAACATATTTCTATCTGCCTTACTTTTTGAGCTACACCATTTTTTGTGTTAAAATCATCATATTTAGGTAATTTTTGCTTTTATCCATACTAAGTTGGCAAAATTGATCTATGGATTAAAACCAATTTTTGAATATGATTTTTAGGTTCTTTATTAATTTTTTTTTATGTAAAAACATATTTCTATCTGCTTTACTTTTTGAGCTAGACCTTTCTTTGTGTCAAAATCGTCAGTTTTAGGTATTTTTCCTTTTTAACCACATTAAGTTAGCAATCTTAATCGGAGAGTTAAAACATAATGTTGAATATGATTTTAGGATTAATTATAAATGTTTTTTTTTATAAAAACTTATTTCTATCTGCTTTACTTTTTGAACTACAACATTTTTTGTGTCAAAATCGTCATATTTAGGTAATTTTTGCTTTTATCTCTACTGAGTTGGCAAAATTGATCTGTGAATTAAAATCAATTTTTGATTATGAATTTAGGTTCATTATGAATGTTTTTTAACATAAAAACTTATTTCTATCTGCTTTTACTTATTTCTACCGTATTGTGATTGTGAAAATAGGTTGTTATTTCTTTCGAAATAACTAGCAATTCTGATTTTTATAATCTTTTATAAGATCGGTAGCAGAGAAATGGGCCTATAGTTTCCTCTGTCCAGCGGATCACCCTTCTTGAAAATGGGTAGCACAAGTGCCATTTTAAGAACATCAGGAAAACAATGCTCCTCCAAACAGATATTAATTAATTTAGTGATGATTTAATGATGTTCTTTATACACTTAATAATTCCCACATCGCTTCTTATGGTTTCGCTCTTCGCACAGAACAACTTTAATTTGGTTCATTTTTATGTAAAATGCACCGTTTTCGAAATAATCGCTTGTCTCACGTTAAATGGACCATCCTGTATATCTCTGCTCTTGTTTTAGTATCCTGATGGTTGTTTTGTGGTACCATTATATATTTTTGGTCTTGTGTCTCTCCATATCATAGTGAAGTGTTCTTTCACATCTCTTTTCTGATTTTGAAGTTTTTTTCTCCTTTGTTGGTTCTTTAACCTCTGGTGTATAGTAGGCTGTTCTTATTATTCCACTAATGTTTACTTTGTGCTTTCCTATTCATATGCAACCATTAGTATATTAAACTTTAATTTGTTCCAGATTTTTATCATCTTCTTCTATGTTATGAGTGGAAGAGGCGTGATGTTGCAATCTCTCTCGCTACAGATCTTTTACATTTTTCCTCTGCTATGCTCTCAATGTTTGATTTTTGTCTACATAATTCAGTTTATTTTTATTGCGAATCGTTGTTTACACAGCTCCAGTTTATGGTCATTTCCTATGTTTGTTGAACTTAACGTTCTCGTGTCAATTATGTTTGTTGGTTGAACAGACAAGTTTACATAATTCCTTGTTTTCATTCATTTCCGATAATTTCGTCTAAAAATAATTTTTCTCTTGCATGAATTTGATTATATCTGGGGCGTACGCACAAATTCAGTATTCAATCGTTTCCATATTGTTATTTATCGATGTTATCTTTGTTTTAGTATCTTTACCTCCAAAAATCTTATTCCTTTTCCTTGCCATAATTGTTTTATTCTAAGCCATACACTCCAAGGCTTGTTTGTTACCCTTCGAATAATTCCTTCCTATAGGCGGAGATAATAAATCTTAAACAGAAAATACCTAACAATAAATATATTTTTCTTTGATATAAAATATTGTATAAATATTTATTTATTTATATATTTTTTTTGTAAAAATATAGACTCATGCAGCTGTGACGAAACGACTGGCAGTGCAGTTCCACGCGTGGTTAAAGAAGTGGGTCAGTTCGAACGTCACGGATGTGCAATTGAAACAGTGTACGGATTGGTTTATGGGTCGTGGCGAGAATGTGGTCCCGAACAGGACGCGAATACAAACGAATAACGATTACACTCGCACGCCGTACGCGGTCTACAATAAGTATCACGTGGAAAGGCTCAAGGATGACTCCGCTACGTGAAACGTGATTTAGAAAAGTGCCGAACTTAGACGTGTTTAATTATTATTATTATTAAAAAAAGAATATTATTACTACGAAGTTTAAAGTGAGAAGTTCCTGTGATGGGATACGATTATTATAATTATGATAATTGTGTATATGATGATGATGATGGTAATTTTTGTGTTTGAATTTTGCGGGATTTGTTTTTAAATTGATTACGACGTTTGATCTCTACCACCAGCTCACTTTTATTGCTTCCCCCCATTCGATTTTTTTGTTCTCTGGCGGTTGTTTCAAAATATTTCTTTGGTCTTAATTTACTTTTGAACACAATCTCATTATTAGCGTAATAGTAATGTTTAAATAATTTAATTCAGCTTCGATTTAAGAAAATATTGATACATGGTTTTTTAAAATACGCGTGTAAATTGTTTATGATCATTTAATTTATTTTTTACGTTTCGTACAAGAAGTGCTTATAATACAATGTTGATGAATTTGTTTAATAAGGTCTAAAACTGTTTATTATAAATTACACCTTTATTGTTCTCCTCTTTGTTTAAGGAATCCTTAAAGTTCATTTAATGTCGTTAAGATTTTTCTCTGTGTTTGTATCACCTTTTTTTTAGAATTACACCTTTTAACTTTTATTGTTAAAAATAGTACAAATGTTACGTTTTCTGTTGCTTAAAAAAATTTTACAGAATTGTACTTTGATTGATCATCGAACGTGATGTTTTTTTAAGTTTTCATCTTTATTTCGTTCATTTATTTCAAAGCTAGTGTGTCTAAGCGGTTAATTTTTCATGTTTCTTTGTAATTTAAAAGTTTGAAAAATGATAATCGCATTTATGTTGACATATCTGTTTGCTCTTGTATTATTACGCGCGGATATTTGAGTCCACATATTATATTTATTGAACTCAGGCACTGTCAAAACGCGAAACGATTTGTATATTAATATCAAAGTAATATATTTAAAAAAAAAGTACAAAAGTATATTTTTATATTGAATAGATGTGAAAATATATTGTGTTGAAGATATGTCAGCATCCGCATTCTAATATTAATATAATACCCCTCTCTTTATGATCCTCCTAAAACTTCCCTGTGTAAATAGTGTGAATAAGTGTTGAAAGTTTTTCGACGAAATAGATAATAAATAATTATTATTAGAAATGCGAAAATAATCAAATAGGATTTCTTATTAATATTATTAAAGGAATTGATGGAAAAACATTCCACATTATTTTTGTTGTATTTTACTTTGTATTGCTAATATAAACCAACGTTTAAAATGACTGCTAGGTGTAGTAATACTCTCGTTCTTTGTATATATTATATAAAAAGTAATTGATGATGGAAGAATATAAATACGGTTTGGTTATTTTCGCATCGAGTGCCCGCCCGCCTGCGCCAGCCTGCCTGTATCGCTCACCTTTGTAAATATTAATAAAATCAATTGTAGATACGGTCCCTCTCGCCCAAATTCCCCCAGTCAAGTGAGCAGTGATTGTTCAAATTTTTAAATTTAAAAAATGCATAAAACATTGTACACTGTAAATATTTCATTTATAAACTATTATTCTTAATGAACGACTTTTATTTATACCAATACAAATTTAATATGAAACATTTTAGTACTCAAAAATTTTCAATTCATTATTTATTTAAGTTACAGCTTTTGGAAGAGAGATAAATCTGCAAAGATTTTCTATATGCAACCATATTGAACAACGCTGACTAAATTTAATAGTATTTATTCGTGGTGGAACGGATATCCGGAAACTATCCGGGAATTTTTTAAAGTCCGGATTAATTTTTCGAATTTTGCAATTTTCGCTGATTAAGTTTTAAAAATTCATATAAAATCGATTTCTTGGAATATGAGTATGAAAATTTCCCAACGTGTTAATAAAAGTGTCCTCTTTCCAATGAAACAACCCGTTTTGAAAAATAACTTTTAGTTTTTGAGAAAACAATGTTTGAAGTTTTGATAAAATTTTCAATGTTGCAATTTTCATCGATAATTATCAAAATTCGCTATAAAATTCATTTCTTGAAGGATCCTTGTGAAAATATCACCAATTAGTAATTAAAGTATCCTCTTTTTAATGCAAAAAGCCGTTTTGAAAAATCACTTTTAGTTCTTGAGAAATAAATTTTTGAAATGATGAACACTTTTTTTAAATTTTGTAATTTTCGCCGATTAAGTTTTAAAAATTCCTATAAAATCAATTTCTTGGAATATGAGTTTGAAAATTTCTCAAAGTGTTAATAAGAGTGAAGTTATAAGAATTATCCATGTTGCCAGTAAAATGAAATTTGAATATGAAAATAAAACACAATTTATGAACCTTACACTTGCAGAGATTACTTAATTTATATCGGTTTCGAAGTTTATAACTTCATCTTCAGCCGAAAATGTCAGAAAGTGAAGCCAACAGGTATAATCATTTGAAATTTGAAATGTTGAAAGTTTTTGAAATGTTGAAATATTTAAAATCATCAAATAACAGCCAGAATATAAAATATGCGTCGTTAAAATTTAAAATTCATAATGGAGGAGACATTAAAAAGCGTGGTGCGTTATAACAAAATTACAATGAAATGAATCGAAAATGATGGTTAAATATAAAATTCCTTGAACAATTACAGCAAATGAGGTATTAAAGGTTAGATGTGACCATCTTGGCGGAGCGAAAAGAGAGACTTGAAATCTCTCTTCTCACCAGCTCCGATATAAATTAAATAATCTCTGCAAGTGTAAGGTTCATAAATTGTGTTTTATTTTCATATTCAAAGTTAATAAGAGTGTCCTCTTTCCAATGAACCAACCCGTTTTGAAAAGTAACTTTTAGTTTTTGAGAAAACAATGTTTGAAGTTTTGATAAAATTTTCGATTTTGCAATTTATAATAAAACTATAAATTTTAAAATAGATAATATTCAAAATTCGCTATAAAATTAATTTCTTGAAGGATCCTTGTGAAAATATCACCAATTATTAATTAAACTATCCTCTTCTTAATGCAACAAGCCGTTTTGAAAAATCTTTTTTTTGAAAAATTTTTACGCATTTTGCAATTTTCGCCGATTATGTTTTAAAAATTCGTATAAAATCCAGTTCTTGGAATATGAGTATGAAAATTTCCCAAAGTGTTAATAAAAGTGTCCTCTTTCCAATGAACCAACCCGTTTTGAAAAATAACTTTTAGTTTTTGAGAAAACAATATTTGAAGTTTTGATAAAATTTTCGATGTTGCAATTTTCATCGATAATTTTCAAAATTCGCTATAAAATTAATTTCTTGAAGGATCCTTGTGGAAATATCACCAATTATTAATTAAAGTATCCTCTTTTTAATGCAAAAAGCCGTTTTGAAAAATCACTTTTAGTTCTTGAAAAATAAATTTTTGAAATGATCGACAATTTTTTCGAATTTTGCAATTTTCGCCGATTAAGTTTTAAAAATTCGTATAAAATCCAGTTCTTGGAATATGAGTATGAAAATTTCCCAAAGTGTTAATAAAAGTGTCCTCTTTCCAATTAACCAATCCGTTTTGAAAAGTAACTTTTAGTTTTTGATCAAACAATAATTTGAAGGTTTGTTAAAATTATCGATGAAAATTGTAACATCAAAAATTGTCCCACATAAAGGACAGTTCAAGTAGATAGTAGTTTCGTTACTGTGGTTACCGCATTCATATCTATATTGCGAGTTATAATTATTCATTATCGTACCCGACGTCATCATTGCAAGTATGCAATCAATACCACAACATTGGTATTGCAATACGCGATTAGCGTATTCAGATATACTCAGTGTGATATTGGTTTCTTACTTGCAATGATAACATTGGGTACGATCAAGGTTTGTAAAGCGTATTGTACCAGGTTGGCCAGACTCAACCTTTTCAATGAACGAAAATATTCCCCCCCTTAGATGCCCTCATCGTGACGTCACCAGATCCAGCCGTAATACACAGTAATACGATTTGTTTTTTTCATTGTTATTTCGGTTATTTTATATAATAAAATAGTTATTTTGTTTATTACTGGTTTTTATTGTTGAACATTTATAATTAGTGTTAAGAAACTTTCTAATAATTTCAATACCAAGGTAATTATTTACAGATAAGCCATGATTTATTATAACCCCATATCAAAATTTGTAATTTTAGATGCCCGTTTCATGTGCAATTAAAAATTGTCGTTCGAATTATGTTGTATCAACAGTTATAGGTTTAAATATGTATATCGTTTTATTTGAATTAACTTTTTAAATGAAAAGTATGAATCGTTAAAAAAAATCAAATGTGTTTAAAGGAAAAATCAATAAAATTAAACAAATGTTGAATAAAAACAATACGCTTTACAAACCTTGGGGTACGATAATTAATTAACACACTGCACATACTTTTGAAAAAAAAATTTTTTAATAAAAACAACTTACTTTTACAATATTTATTAATTTTCAAATAAATCATGATATAAAAATGGTTATAAAAGAAATCATTTACGGTAATTTAAATTGTCTTTGTAGATCCGAAATATATTTATGTGGAACTTTATGTTCTTTCAAATATTCAATCTTTTCGTTCATCGTTTCTTTAAGTTTCAGTGATCTAAGGTCTTGTTCTAAACGGAGCGCTTCGCCCTCCTTAAATTTCAGTTGGTGCATACAAATCCTTTCGCGTTCTTTTTCGTTAATTTGTTTAAGCAATTCTTTTCGGTGTTTAACAGCCGCCATATGTTTACTTGCCTTCGAATCTCGTTCAATTTCATATAATTTTTGCTGTACTTTAGCAACCTAAAAAATAATAAAATAATAATTTATAAATTTCCTTTTTTTAACAAATTTACTTCATGAAATTCTTGTTCGTCTCTTTCCAATTCTAACGCTTGAGCTCTACGAATTTCATCAATTTGTTTTCTTCTACCTTCAACTAATTCTTGATCTTTAGCCTTTTTCTTTTCAATGGCCGCTTTAGCCTCTTCCCTCCATTTCTTTTCGGTTTCTTCTTGAATTCGTCGCGCGTTCAATTCGTCTTGAGCGGCTTGAAGCTCCATAGCACCCTGTTGACTAGCCATCATCCTCGCGATTTCTTTTTCTTTCGCAGCTTTTAACGCCGCTAATTCCGCTTCCCTAGCATCTTCTCTTTCACGTTTTTTTCTCAAAAATTCTTGAAGTCTCATTTCTTGTATTCGTTCTTCTTCTATTCGAACTTTCTTAAAAACTTCCAAATTTTCGTTTGCCACAACTAACTCAGCTTGAGCTTTCTTTTGAGCAAGTTCTTTTTGCCTCAACTTTTCAGCATCTTCTTTTTGCATTGCAATCACTGCTTTATTTATTAAACGACTTTCTTCTTCCAACTTTTCAGCTTCAACCAGTTTTTGCAAATAATTTTCTTTTAGTTGTTGATTAATTTGATTTACGAATTTTTTCATTTCAGCAGCTTCTTTTTCATGTTTCTCTTCATCTGCTTTTATGGCTCGTTGTCTTTCTTGTTCAACCATGGCGTCTAATCTTTTTTCTTCCGCTTCCCACTCTTCTTTGATTTTCTACAAAAAAAGATTGTTATTCAAGGTGTACCTTGTTGGGGATCATTTTTACAATTTTTTCCTTAACTTGAGCCTCTCTTATCACCATACATTTACAAGCAAGAATAGCACTATTCATCTCTTTTATTTCTTCTTCTTGTTCCTGGCGTAATTTCTGCGCTCTTTGAAGAAGATAATTATTTTTAGCATTCGCATCATCTTCAACCTAAATTGGGGAACAATTTGTATTTATTACTCTATAATAAAAATAAAGATATGATTCCAAATCTGGCACCTTGCCTAATTTCCCCATTTTTAAATTTTGATCTATTTGCGCTTTCGCTAAGCGATCTTTACGAAGTTGGCTCTCAGTTTGTATGCGGATCTTTTCCGCCTCAGCTTTTTCAATCATTGCTTGTTTTCCCGCTTTTGTCACCACCTATTGAATTATATTAAAACTAACACAAAATTTTTTGTACATTCACCAACTTATCCTTACATGTCCTTGTTTAACAAGCCTATCAAATTCTGATTGTGGAATTATAGCCGGAATATCGAGCGGATCTTTGTTAGGTACAATTAATTCTCGAGTTCCATCCGGTTCATGTATGCTAACCATTATTTTGCCTTCTGTAGCTTTTGCAGGTTTATAATGAATGTATTGATCATGAAGTTTATGGTTGCATTCTGATGGTCTATGTCAAGAAATATGTTATACTAATTAAAATGATAAAGAATGTTCACTTACTTATGATCACCCTTGTTTCTGAAAGGTTTCTTAATCGCTTTCAGATTTTTGCTGGCCATTACTTTTACTTGAAAATTAATTAAAAATGTTGTATATTAAAGAGAAAGCTCGGCGAATGTGAAATAAAATAGAATATTGATAAAATAAGCAAATTTTGCTATAGAAACTAAATATAAATTTAGTTCGTAACACATCTAAAAGATGGCGGTGAAATTAACGAAATTAATTTTAATAATTTATTTATAAAAAGAAACACCGTCTAATTTAAATAAACGGATAAAATACTAATTTTGTTTAAAAAAATAATAAAATTAATGTTACAAAACATTTTTTATTCTAACTTGATCGATATTCCCGATATAGCGCAATTAAAAATTGATCATGTTATTTTATATGAGCTATACATAAATAGCGTATTAACGAACGTATCCATTACACGATTTTTGACATTTTTAAACATACAAATGACAGAAAATGATTTGACGTCAGTGCAGTAAAACTGTAAGAAATTTGTAAAAGCGAAGATGTAATTTCAAAAAGAATATAATACGTATTTATCTCGGACTGACTCTCGACCGGATTAACATTTCCTTCCGATATTTATGTGACACCGCGAAATATCGTTTTGTCAGGTGAGCATAGAACGAATCAAAAACACAATTTTTTTTAATCGGGCGCTTTTCATCATCGGGACGTCCTCTTTTTTTCATGTTTTGTGTCTTATCAGCGTCATTGGGGATTCGCCACGAAAGTTATTAAAATTTACGTAACGATAACCGTGCGTTTTTCACGGTGGGATTCGGTTTTTCCACGTAAAATTATTCGATTTGTAGGTTATGTTTACTTTCGCTTGTTAAAAAATTAATTTCACATTTTTATGCTTTATCATTGTAGCGTAAATGTCCTGCAAAGTTGCGTACTCGCAAACGTCATGTCCACACCTGAGGACCACCACTGATATTCCATTACATGAATTACTAAAACATGCCGAGGTAAGTCAATAAAAAATAAATTTAGAATGAAATTTAATTAAAGTATAATACACCATAAAATTTTACTGGTTAATATTGTTTATTTATTGCTTGTTTTTGCCTTTAATTGCACAATAAAATAATTGGTTATTTTTTCATTTAATTTATTAGAAAATCCAATGTGCGGATTGTGAATGTACGGGGCCCAACCTGTGGATATGTTTACAACATGATTGTTTGAAGATTGGATGTTCTGAACAGTCAAATGACCACAACACTTTACATAATGCGGTAAGATTAATTAAGTTTTAATCAATTTATATGAATCATTTTATTTTTATTGAGAAAAAACCTGCAAATAATTACATATAGGTGTAGGCTTCTAAAGAAGTTTCTAGAAAGGGTTAGAAGCTTCAATGTGACTCTGAAAAACCACCATAAACTCGCATAGGGAAATTTAATTAAAGGTATTTCCTGATTTCTTGTAGATTTTAGCATTATGGTATCTTTCACTCCTGCAAAAAACGTCCTTTAAGAATGTCTTTGCAAATATCAAAGTTATAATTCACCTCTATATGATCTCCTATCTGAGCAAGGTTTGTACACAGGGTCGCTTATATCTATGGAAATGGTCAGTTATCTAATAAATTAAGATAGCTAGCAAAAAATGTTAAGATACAAATTAAGTATACAGGGTCAGTCAAAACGTTATAACGAGACAAAGTTACGTATTCTTTAATGGAACAGTCTGTATATTATTCCATATTTCAGTTCATCTCGAAATTCTACCCAAAATTCATGTAAATTCAATACAACTTTGTTTCGTCATAACTTTTTGACTGACCCTGTATACTTAATTTGTCTGTATTGTAATAGATTTAAAAAAACATTAAAACTTTTGTATCTTAACATTTTTTGCTAGCTATCTTACTTTAAGAGATAACAGACCGTTTTCCATACATATCAGCGACCTGTATAAGAGTCATTACGTCATTGGCGACAAATAATACAGGGAAATAATTCAAATTTTTAAAATAATTGATGTAATTGAATTACTTTAATATATTTAGTGTGGTATATAATTAAGTGCGGTAGTAAAACGGAATTATTTTCCGTTTTCAACTTAATTTTTGATATAAATTCACTTATAAAATAATTGAGGGAAAGTAAAGTACAAATTGATTTATGTTATACTTGAGAAGACGTTTCAACTCTCACTAAACATGACCTTGAGGTTGCGCTCGCAATCCGTCCCCACTTACGTCACGAGAATATATAGATTTTTTTAAATGGAACACCTTGTATATTTTATCATATTATGAATACAGCTAAATTTGTTTATACAACCGTATATGTTACTATTTCACAACGTTCATTGTTCCTGAGATCTTTTTAAAAACGATGTAAAAACAACATTTTTTCCCATTTTGCTTGAAACTACGCCAGACAATAGTCAAAGCCAGTAGGTAGATGATAGTATCCAAAGATATTAGATACACTATACAGCGTGTTTATAAAGCTTAGTTACTTTTGATGTTTTTCAAATGGCTTTTTCTTAAGTTTTTTAAATGGAACATCCTGTATATTGTGTGCTGATTGAATTGCCCAGCAAGTTTCCTTTAATTAATGATAAGTATGTCATAAGTCAAACTTTATTAGTTTTCCTGATATTTAGAATTTAAAGAAAAATGTGTAATAAAATGTCATTATTGTACTTAACAAAGTGACAGAATGTAACTGTAAACTATAAACAATTACTAAACGTTGCTCAACAAGTAGGTATTAATTTAATTAGTACTTAGAAGTTCAAAATGCCGCCAATTCCTCTTCTACAACCATTAATGCGCTGTATAAAAGATCTTGAGGTATCTCTTAACATGTGCCTCTTCTTTTCTCTAAAGTCGTAAATTATATGGCAGAACAATTGCATATTTTATTACTTGCATCTGTTTAAATCTCATAAAGTACCAAGTCAAGTTAAAATTTGGTATATGGCAGCAAAATTATTTTACATTATAAAATATTAATCAAATAATAAAAGGAAGAACAAAAAATCTGATAAAAGTAGACAGAATATAATATTAAGTACAATAACGCATAATTTATTACACATTCTGTAAATTCTAAATATCAGGAAAACTACTAAAGTTAGATATATGACATACTTATCATTAATTAAAGGTAACTTGATAGGCAATTCAACTAGCACACAATATACAGAGTGTTTCATTTAAAAATCTTCTGAAAAAGGCATTTGAAAAACATCAAAAGTAACTAAGCTTTATGAACACGCTGTATAGCGTATCTAATATCTCTGGATACTATCATCTACCTACTGGCTTTGACTATTATCTGACATAGTTTCAAGGCAAAATTAGAAAAAATGTTGTTTTTACATCGTTTTTAAAGAGATCCTGCAATGGACACATTTTGGAAATACAATTGAATATCTCAGGAACTATGACCGTTATGAATTAGTAACATATACGGTTGTATAAACAAATTTAATTGTATTCATAATATGATAAAATATACAGGATGTTACATTTAAAAACATCTATATTCTCCGTTATACCTAAATGGAACCACCTGTATAACTGAAAATAATTTTACGTAATAGAAAGTGGTGAGTCAAACATTTTGCATAAAATATTTTTTTCCTTCTCAAACGGTTTAGCAACTATCGTCCGCCAGGATACTAATAACTCACCTGTATATAAATCTTGCTTAAATCTCAGGCTTGTTCCGCCGACCTCAAGCTTCCCGGGGTCCAGCAACTTCCATCTTCGACCTCTCCTGCTTTTCGTTCATTCCTCAATCGAAATTGGACTCTGCCAGAGCTGATGTATAGGCACTAATTCATTACATTCTCTTCACCAATTTACAGAATGAAGTCAAGGTCGGTTTGCGGCTGAGATACACAACCTCAATGTAGTTTTATTTTTATGGATTTTGATGTATTTTCTTCACTAATTTAGAAACTCAAGCCGAGGTCGCTTTGCGGCACACTATTTTCATCGTAGTTTATCTTTATGGAAGGGATAAAATTCTCCATATTTCTCAATAAAATATATAAAAATATAGAAAAAGTAAAAACTTTTTGTGAGAAATAATTAAATATTAAAATTTATTATTAAAGAGCAGACATGTTTCGAAACGATTATTTCATCTTCAGTACTTTAAAATATATGCAAAATGATGGAAAAAATACAAAAATATAAATAAATTGGGAATACCTTAGTAAATTTTTAAAAAAATTTTTAAACAACTTGTAAACAAGTTTATTTCCAATATTTCTAAATGTTTTATTTTCATTTTTAACAAAAAGAAAACCTATATAGAAATAATTTCATTTTTTAAGAAAATTTGTTAAAAAAATTTACTAAGATATTCCCAATTTATTTATATTTTTGTATTTTTTCCATCATTTTGCATATATTTTAAAGTACTGAAGATGAAACAATCGTTTCGAAACATGTCTGCTCTTTAATAATAAATTTTAATATTTAATTATTTCTCACAAAAAGTTTTTACTTTTTCTATATTTTTATTTATCTTTATGGGTTTTGATGTATTCTCTTCAATAATTTCATCACATTTTAACTTTACGATTTCTGATGCGTTTTCTTTATCGGTTGAGAGAATAAAGCCGAGGCACACTATCTTCGTCATAGTTTATATTTATGGGTTTAAATGCACTAATTTAAAATTGAAAACTGAAGACGAGGTTGCTTTCCGGCCGAGGCACTACCTCCATTCCACTTTAATGTTACAGGTTTCTATGCAGTTTCTTAATAGCTTTAGAGAATAAACTCCAGATCGCTTCGCGGCCGAGACACACAATCTTCATTGTAGTTTATCTTTATAGGTTTTGATATATTCTCTTTACCGATTTAAAAACCAAAGAGGAAGTCGCATTACCTCTGCCACATTTTAACTTAACGGGTTCTAATGCAGCTTCTTTATCGTTTGAATATTCTTATTTGTTGTAGTAGTCACTTCTTGATGAAACATTTTTATAACTAATGGTAGTTTATAAAACGCCTTGGCTATTACACTGTGTATTTATTAGATTAAATCTGACAATTGCTTTGGTTATTACACCGTTCTCAAAGTTTATCTTAAAACTAACCCAAGTAAGCACATGTTTTCCAATCTAGCTCTTAAGTTGGGTGGTTGGAATGGTTGCAAAATGTTTATTACGGTGTTAATAAAGGGTCTGTTGGCAAAATCTAATTGTGTGTTGGTGATTGTTTGGTTTTGCTTTTTAGATTTTTTGATTTCTAGATTTCTAGATTTCTAACATCTAAGCGTTTACTTTTCGTTACATTATGTATTAACCTAGGGTTGTCCACATCAGGAAAGTTATTATTTTCTATGCAGTGTTCCGCAATACCAGTACTTTTTACATTGTGCAGTACTGATCTTTTATGTTAAGTGATTCGTTTTTTGATGCTTCTCCCGCTTTGTCCTATATAGACAGCGTCACAATCTTTTCATTTAATGCTATATACTCCAGATTAGTCCAGTTTATTTAATTTATCTTTAATTTATCTTATCTCAACATTGTACTGAAATTTGTTTAATTTACCCAGACTGTTTCAATATTTAATTGTTTTAGTATTTTGTTATAGAGGGTGTTTCTGTAAGTTGTGGTATAATTTTAATCAGAAATACTAGAGTCAAAATGATGACGATTCGTGTAAAAATTTTTGATCTAAACCCATAAATAGCTATGATATGGATCTTCAAGTTAAGAGATCCGAAAACTGTAAAAATGTTCAGAGAACTTGTTCTATTATAAATACGCATGCTTTTTCATAAAAATTTTACAATTTTAACATTTTTACAGTTTTCAATTTTAAATTGTTCAATTCTAATTTGTTTTTGTCCAACTTTATTTTATTGTGATAGTGTTTTACATTGTTACATCTTTACATATTGGAATGTTCATCACTTTAATTTTTTGACATTGCTTCTGAGGATGACTTACTAGTCGAAACATGTAAAGCTACAAAATAAATACAATAATCAGTATACATAAGTACAAAGAAAACATCTTTATTTTATTTTTATTGTTATTATTATTTTTAAGATTTGAATGTCTTGGATACTTATCCAAGAGTTAATCTGTAAAGTCCGTGGTTAGAGTAACCTTTTTAGCTTAAGGAACAAAACATCGCAATACCTACGTCAGATAATGAAGTCCATACTCATTCAGTTATAGTTCCTCAATGGCTTCAAGTTTATCCTTCGTTTGAATTTGTTTTTATTTTCGATTCCATCAAGGCCATAATGAGCCTTATTCAAACAGGAAGTCGGCTTGTTTACGTTTTTATGCCAAGCATTCTCTCTGATTATTAAAAATTCAATAGTTATTGAGTTTAATTTAATATTCGATCAAATTGTGATAAAATCTTATAACATTCGTTTAAATTTAAGTGGAAATGTAAATTTTTATTTACTCGAAAAAAAATTTTTCTTTTCACAGTTTTTTCATAAATATAGAAAGTTCATTTCACTTTTTAATTAATTTTTCCATTCATTTCAAACCTAACCTTCATCATGTAAATTGATCTTTTCGTGTAATTTGTTTTAAACGCATTCTAATATTGTCTTTTTTTTAAATTTTGTAGTCAAATCCATCACATTGCGTTCACATGAACTTAACAACCCATAGAATTTGGTGTTATGAATGCAAACGCGAAGTATTTTTAAGATCTTCTCGAAATGGCGAAACAAACATCGAAGGTAATGGAGATCAAGATCCTAAAAATCACCACCAATTCGCCTCGCAAACCGATGATTTCCGTTGGAGGATTGGCAATGGTGGGTTTGATCGTGTCGTTGGTATGGGGGGTGATACCTCCGAATCAAGCGACGCCGAAGATAGTTCAATTGTCCCAACACCATCCTCATCAAAGCCTCAAGGTTTAGTGGGTCTACAAAATATCGGAAACACTTGTTATTTAAATGCAGCGCTCCAAGCGCTAAGTAATACAACCCCTTTAACAAAGTTTTTTCTCGACTGCGCTTCAACGGTGTTAATTCTTTCCGATGGTCGTAAACCGGGGTTATCAAGAACATATCAAATGTTAGTTAAAGATATGTGGTTAAACAAAAATGGAGGTTATATTAACCCTCAAGGGATTTTGTATGGTATCCGAAACGTTTATCCAATGTTTAGAGGTTATCAACAACATGATACGCAAGAATTTTTAAGAAATTTTATGGATCAATTGCACGAAGAGTTGAAGCAGGTTGCGGTGCCGGATGTTAATCCTTTGGATTTGGATATGTTAAGTGGTTTGGTGACGGAAGATACGGCGGTGGTGGGGGGTGCTCTTGGGACGAATAATAATTACGATTCAATTGAATCGAGCGAGGGGGAGTATGAAACGTGCGATTCGGGTGTTAGTGAACGGTCGAGTTTAAGCGATGATAATGAGAGACCTACAACTGCCACTCAAGGAGCATCTAGCATTCCAAAGAGGCGATCATCGAGATCGATGAGCCCTAGTCGAAGATTAAGAGCCAAATTAGCCAATAGTGTAATTGGTAATTATGAACATTTATTTTTTTTTATTGATTTTTAAGAAAATTTGAGAGTTACAGTTTTATCAGATATTAATTGTTTAGTTATTTTAGGTTAGGTTGATAATGATAACCTAAGCTGTGTTAATCCTTAGCATTAAGTTACAAATACCAACTGGAAGAATGGCGTCTTCCTATAGATGCTTCTAAACTGAGTTTGAAAGTTGTCCTTGTACATCTACCCCAAAAATGATCCTGTTTCAAGATGATACTCAAGTTACTGAAACTTCTTCAAAATCTAGCTCCATGCTATTTAAATCAAACTCCACTTACCTTTACTAATGTAAAAAAATATATACAAGTGCCTAAGAAAAGCATGTGTGTAATCTGACGTTATTTGTAGCAGTCGACTACAATGACAGTAACTATTAGGGGGCCTGGTTTGACAGTTAGCGTAAAATTTACGTGTAACATGTCTAGATGATCTATTTGCTAAGTGGGTCTTCACCCAGAACTGTCAAACCACGCCCACTCCGTAGTTATTGCTATAGCAGTGGTGTTACACGCAAATTTGACGCTAATAGTCAAACCAGGCCCCCTAATAGTTACTGTCATTGTAGTCGACTTGGGGCTTGTTCGTGATACTCTTTGTTTATTTAGTCTGTCATGAAAAGACATATCTTGCCCTAACTAAGAATAATCTTTTGTATAAGTTATATTAAAATTATCAATATATCTTGGAATTTCTTCTGTATTTGATGTAATTTTGATCTTTAGCAGGTTTATGTTTTACCTGGTTTCTTTAGTAGCGTTATAAAGTGCGTTTAGGTGATTCTGCAACTAGGTCACACTCTTTGCAAATACGACAATACCATTTGCGTGTCACCAGGGAACACCATAATTAACATCAAGTAGGCTAGGAAATTTTAAGGCCCATATCTGTCAAAATTTCCGTTAGCTACAAATTCATTAGTTACGTTTTATTAATTAAGCGTAGAAAGTCATATGATTATTGAAAAAATTGGAATTGGGAAGGACCAAGACAATAAGATTGCGTTCATATGGTTTTTTAGGTACCTACACAGTTTCTAAAGCTGTTTACATCGCCATGCATGGTGTAAATCTTGGCCTGCCTTAACAGTTTGGGTAACACCTGTCGTTTCCAACTCCTGCCCTTCAGTCTTCTTAGGTCCTCCTCACACTTGATATTTCGTTCAAGTCTTCTTTGAAATATACAACTTTAAAACTTATATGTGCAGATTTTGAAAAAGTAGGCTTTGGAAATAAAAGAAAAACGAGATTATATTTATAAGTAGTATCAAGATAGTTAGTTACAATGAATTAAAACAAAAACTCATAAACAAAAGCAGATTAAATTAATAAATCTTATCGTATTATAAAACAAGAATAAATATATGGCAACAAATAACAACAAAAGTAAATCCCTGTTCTATAGAAAATGTTCAAAATGTACCCAAAATGGTTTGTGTTATGCACAGTCGACATCTTTTTTTTAGCCCTTTTTGCCGAGTTGATAAGCGCAATGGGCGTAAGTGTTGCAAAACCGTTCACAACTGCGGCTTCTAATTGCTGTCGGGAATTTATTGGCTGTTTATGGATAACATCTTTCAATCTTCTTCAAAAGAAAAAATCCATAGGAGTGAGGTCCGGTGACCAAGCCGCCCAGTGAATAGAACCTTGATTACCTAACCAACAATCACCAAAAGCTGCGGTCAAAAAATTGGTGACAATAGCAGCATTGTGAGACAGAGCACCATCATGTTGAAAAAAGACATTACGCACGTGCGCTAGAGGTAAATCGTCAACAACAGGTTCGATTTGTTGCCTCAATACGTTCAAATATTTTATTTGTGCTGTCCACCAGCACTACTCACATACGCTTCATCTGTTCAAATACAATTTAAAGAAAAATTGCGTGCTTCGTCACATTTTCCTAAGAGCCATTGGCAAAAATTCATGCGCCGTTCAAGATCTTCTGGTCTGAGGTAAAGGACTTTGGTAGTTCTGTATGGCTTAAATCTGAATTTTTTCAAAATCCGCCTTGGAATTTCTGTGGTTACACTCAATTGCCGCGTTGATATCTGTGGATTATTTTCCATTGCTCCCAAAACTACTACTTCTTCTAATTCCACGTCATCATTCGGTATATAAGTTTTTGATCTTTTCTTTTCGAATTGGCTGCTATAGTTTGTAGATTATATCACAATCTTCTAAAAATATCATTAAAAGGTTGCCTCTCTGGATATCGTTCATGATATAAATTTCCTGCAGTCTCTGCATTCTCCCCAGATTGTATAAAACATACTATCATGTCCCATTTTTCATAATTTTTATATGACATTATTTTGAAAGTTGATAATAACTAAATAATACTCTTACACGATTAATAGTTTTGATAATATCAGTATTGATAATACAACCATCAATCCTCGTGGTAACCAATCTCAATACTTCACTACCTTACATGATCAATATTATTGTCAATAAGTTTGATCAATAAGTTACCTTTTTACCAAGAACAGGGTGAAGCTACGTCGTTTTACTCAGTTATTTGCCGAATATGGATAATCGTACAAAAGCTTGTGTAGCTATTATTTTGGCGCTTGGAACTACTCGTCCAGTGAAACGCAAACACAGGATGAAAAAATGCGATGTTGATTTCAAGAACTACTTTCGAATGGATGACATGACACAAACTGTTACAGATGGTTGAACGATTTTTGAAAAGGCAGGAAAGCAATATGAGAGGAAGTACAAGTGTTAGGGAAAGATTAGCCTTAACCCTGAGGTACTTGGCCACAGGAAGAAATTTTGAAGACTTGAAGTTTTCTGTCATAATGTCCCCAGCAACTATCCGCAAAGCTGTAATTGAAACCTGTATATATATTCTACAAGACTACATGGAGATAGTTTGTATTGCTCGATGAAATTACGAAGGACATGTTGTTCATCATCATGGGAACTGGATGAACCAACACTATCTCCATCGTGTTGAACGTCAACAATGTCAGTTAATGCGTCGGTCATTTTCACCTCATCTTCACAGACGTGCTGCTTGAACTAAACTGAGTGTAATGTAGAAAATCAGAATTAAACGTGTTTTCAAATCATCTGGGCTAAAATAACATGTTTTTTCAGTGTGTTGATAGACATGTTTTGTTATTGCTACAATTAAATAGAAGTATTTAATTTTGAATGTTGAGTTTATTCCACTGAGTATTGATGGAAATATTGGCGCCAACCCTACACGGTCAATAGTATTGTCAATATCCCCTCCAATTTTCAGTATTGACCGAAAATCAAAAAATCCAGATTTTTATCAATACTCCATCAATATTTACCGTCAATAAAATTTTTCATCTTACACTTTCAATATCAGTGGTATCTCAGGTGGTATATATTAATGTATATTATTCTGATATAATGTCCGTTCTTTCAGGCGTACCTCAAGGAAGCCATCTTGGCCCCCTTCTTTTTAATATTTACATCAATGACATTTTCACAGTAATAAAACACTCCCAGTGCTTAATGTATGCAGATGATATGAAATTGTTTGCACGAATTTCCTCTCCACTCGACTGCTCGAGAATGCAGCGTGACATTAATTGTATCATTAAGTTACTTCTTTTTCAAGAAGTTGTTCGAATGTCATCAGATACGGTTACAGCTTGAGTGATTATGTTTTACCCAGAGTACCTCAAATTAAAGACCTTGGGATCACTTTTGACAATAAACTAACATTTAGTGGTCACGTTGATGGAGTGGTTGGAAGGGCGCTGCGAATGTTGGGCTTTGTCCTAAGGTCCACAGACTCTTTCAAAAGCGTTAAAGCGGTGAAAGTTTTATATTTTGCTTACGTATTTAGTATACTTAACTTTTGCACTACTATTTGGAACCCGCAGTATCACACTTATATAAACAGAATCGAAAGAATTCAGAAGAATAAGGATACGATTCTGCGTGCAGCTCTTTCCAACTTCTTCAACTCCACCAGCGCCGCTTATGTAACGATGCTCTGACATTTTACAAGATTGTCAATAATAGATCTGCCTCCTCGGTCTTGTTGGGTTGTGTAAATATACGTATACTACCTCGATCTTTAAGACATGAAACTATTTTTTATACTCCCATTCCGAGGACAAATTTATTTCAAAATTCACCTATGATTCGGATGACGATTGCTTGCGATCACTTCCATAAAACTGGCAACGGTGTAGAGGTTTTTTGTAATGCGTATGGAACATTCAAGCGCTTGATAACTGCCGCTGTGGTACAGAACAGACTGATTAACTTGACTGTTACGTAATCGAATGTACTCTTTATTTTTTCAAATTTCACATTTTATTTATTTATGTGTATTTTCCTTTTTTTTTCATTTTGCCTTATTATTATCTTTGTTTTTTTATAGAATAATTATTGTTTTTGTTAGTTAATTTATGCGTAATTAACCGCACAATGTGTTAATAATTTATCTGTTAATGTAGTGACACAATCTTCTGGGTTTGTCCCGTTTTGTGTCCACTGGTATAAAATAAAATAAAATTAAAAAAAAATATTATTGTCAATATGCTAAGGTATTGTCAATATTATTGATCGTGTAAGGGCCGCTTAACGATAAACACTAACACTTACAACTTCAATCAAAATTTGACAGATAGATACTCATAAACAATGCATTTGTTTTATCGAAACGCCGTCAAAGCCCACTAGCCTACTAGTACGCAATTGAAAATCTTAAAAGTTTCCAAGTTGTACATTTTAGAGAAGACTTAAACGAGATATCAAATGTGCTATATTTTTGGAAAGGAAATTTTATGCTCCCGTCGAATTTGCAAAAATATATAGGCTGTTCCATTAAAAAAAAATTATTTTTATGTCAATAACTACTAAAATATTGCTGTGAGGGAAAGCTTTCTTAGAAATCTACATAAAAAGTTGCTTCGGAAATGTTTTCACAGAAAGGAAGATTTATTATCAATAAGAAAAAAGTGATGACGACTTTTCGAAAATGCACTGTTTTGAAAAACACCTGTATCTGTGAAACCGTAAGAGATATCGATATGCGGTTTTCGCCATTAAGTTTCTTATAACAATCGAGCCTTAGACACTGATATCATTTTTTCTCTATCTCTTATAGAAAGAGGAGTTTCCCTTTATAAGTGTCCAATTTGGCCAACTCTGTAGACTTGTTCCTGGGATGTAGCAGTGCTAACGACCTAAAAAAGTCAACCTAACCTAACAATTTAATAAAATCTAATCAAACTTTCTTACAAAATTATTCTTTGATATCAATTAAACTTTCTTAAATACTTTTATTATTTAATTTTCAGAAATTCAACCATCTTCATCACCTTCTTCTTTAACCAATAACAACAAAAAACAAATAAAATACAAATCAATAATATCGGATATATTCGACGGTAAACTGTTATCAACCGTACAATGTTTGACGTGCAACCGTGTTTCCAGTCGTATTGAAACCTTTCAAGATCTTTCGTTACCGATACCGTCTCGAGATCATCTCGCCGTAATCCATGGACGGAACGTTGTCGCTGCGACGCCTGGCGTCGGTTCAACAACTTGTTCCGAAGCGGTACTTCCGGTGGATAATGGTTGGATTACGTGGATCGTAACGTGGTTAAAATCATGGTTTTATGGCCCAACAATCACACTGCACGATTGTCTCGCGGCGTTTTTCAGTACTGATGAACTTAAAGGAGATAATATGTATAGTTGTGAAAGATGTAATAAGTTAAGGAATGGTATTAAATATAGTAAGGTGGGTGATTCAAATTAGGAAATGCAATACCGTTAAAAATTTCAATACCGGTATTTCGGTATTTTCGCTTTTAGAACCGGTAAAATACCGATATTACTAAAACTTTAAAAAAAGTAAACGAAATTGAAATTTACTTACAAGCGTGTCAATCATGAAATTAAACGTCGCGTCTGCAACCAGAAGATTAGAATCTTTTCTGCACAGTGCTTCGACTCCTATTTTAATTGGTGACAATGCATCGATGCTTTCAGAAATTAATAGAAACTTCTCTTCGAAAAAGACTATGTTTGAGTTCAAATCAATTAATGCTTTTTGGACACAATACCGTAATTGTTAAAACCTTTTCAACATAACAAGTAAACTATTCCAACGTGTTATGACATCCAATTGCAAATTCAATTCTTTTCCAAATTGTAGTTTTAGATATTTTTGTAAATATTGATCATTTTTTGTTTGGAGATCTTTTGAAAATTTTAATGACTCTTCTAATTTTTGTTACCAGCGGAAATAAATTACTATAATTTAAATTTATTTCAGTGTCAACAAATCCAAACTCTAGGACAACACCATCATCTTATTCTTTTTATTTTCTTTATTGTCAGTTTCTATGTCATTGTTGTCATCTACATCACTATCACAATCGCTAGATTGAGATTCAATTGTTTCAATTTCAACATTAACAGTTGCTAAATCGGAGTTGTTTTTGTAAAAGACTTCTCTAACAGCTAGATGGATGCCATGTGTAAAACATAACTGATGTTCGACATCAATTAAATGTCCGAGTTTTACCATAACTGACGCACCATCTGTCAATATATAAACAACGTCATTTGTTAAGTTGAGATCATATTCTTGTAATTTTGTTTTCAAAATCAAAATGATTTTGGTAGATCATTATATCTCCTAACATGTAGCCCTTTTCTTACATCCTCCAAAGAGCAGAAAATTCTAAATGGCATCCCATCACGCGCAACTATACGAGCCAGGATTTTACATAACTGTTCCTTCTTTTGATTTTGAAAATAATGACTTAATTTTCTGGTAGCTTTTGACTAGAAGAAGACTAACAGCCTGCACGAGTGCGGGAAGTTAGCCCCGAATTTTTCGATTTTTAAATTTTTCGTTGTTCTAGATTGTTCTAGAGTTGTTCTATATTGTTCCAAAGCGGCAAATAGAAAAAATAAAACCTCGGCGAGAAAAATCGAAAAAAGGGTTTTTTGATCAGCCCCCCATTTTTGGGGGGCTCAAAAATCACATTTTCTTTGTTGTTCTGGGTTATTCTAGTTATTGTTCTAAAAAACCAAAATTATGGGATACAGCATTACGAAGTTATAACTAAAAATAGGTTTGGCTGCCAAAATGTCTAGTTGATTGCTGTGACCATAGTTTTTCTATTTTCAATTCCATATTACAAATATACCCTTATTATACCTAAAGCAATCTGGAACAGCTATTATTTTCACTAGAACAAGTCTATCACAAATTGCTCTAGGTGTTTTACGTTTAAGCTATGTAAAAAAAAGGTTTTTCTGGTTACACGGACAATAGCGCATGTTATGTCTATTGACTTATCCTTTCTTTGTAAAAGTAGAGTCATCCGAGAATAGCACGTTACCAAAGAAATTGATGTCCAACCGCATTCGTTCTTCTGCCCATTGACAAAATATTAATCGATTTTCAAAATCATTCTAAGAATGAAGAACTAAAGACAATGTATCGAAGCGGGTAGGAAAATGTTTAAAAATTTATAAATCTTATTTGTTCTAGCTAGATTATAAACGTTAGTTTATTGTTTCTGAAGAAGTTTCAATTTTTTTCAAAAGACGTTTTGGCGTTGTACCACACAGTAAAATTAATGAATTACTTAACTTTTATCCACAGATTAAGATTTTGTAATAAAATATATAGGGTGCCGTTTAAAAAATTGGTCGTGACCTTCATACAACCTTGAAAATAAGGTCAAGATCAAAAAATGAACCGTTTTCGAGATAATCGCTTGTCTCACGTTAAATGGACCAGTCTGTATATAAATACAGGGTGTGTCAAATGTCTGGAATATAGCCAATAACATCGCCATTTGTGGTTTTAAAGAGAAATGTTTCAAATAAAAAATTCTTTATTAATTATGGCGCATTTTTGACGTTACTTGTTTGTTTACATTGTTCTTTGTTTCGTTGCTATGGCAACCAACATTGTTATTTTAAATGATTAAAATAATATCTAAATAAATTTATAGAGGATAAGTCCCTCTATGCGATGAACATATCGAACCATATGGTTGTATAAGAAAAAATGCGTTTTTTAAAAGTATTAAATCAGCTGATTACAATCAAAGTAGGCGCCGATATAACGCCGTTGACAGCTTTAAATGTCAAAAAAATACAGTTTCAACAATTATCAATAATTAATAATGTATGGTCATTGGCAACTGTCTTCGGTCATCAACTTTTTGTTTAAACTGTCAGTTTTTTTACATTTAAAGCTGTCAACGGCGTTATTTCGACGACTTTTAAAAAACGCATTTTTTCTCGATATTTTTCTTATACAACCATATGATTTGATATGTTTATCGCATAGAGGAACTTATCCTCTATCAAAGTATGCAAAAAAAAATATATGCATCCCATTTAAAATAACAATGTTGGTTGCCATAGCAACGAAACAAAAAACAGTACAAACAACCAAATATTGCCAAGAAATGCGCCATGATTAATAAAGAAACTTGTATTTGAAATATTTTTCTTTAAAACCACAAATGGCGAAGTTATTGGTTATATTCCACACATTTGACACATTCTGTCANCATTTGTTGATTTATTATTTTTCTTGTTAGGTCTGCATTTTGCTGTATTTTTAAGAAGATATGATTTTGTAAAATTAATGTCCGTGTAACTAGAAAAACCTTTTTTTTCCTAGTTTAAACGTAAAACACATCTAGAACAATTTGAATCAGTAAAGTTTGAGTTATTTTAGATTGTTCTATGTTTTAATCCTTATTGTGTAATTTAAAACCACTGACGCAAGAATTACTGACTGAAACTTCCAACAACTTTAATTTTCAAAGAGTAAAGTATCCTTTATAGAGTTGTTGTAGTGAAAATAGTAGCTGTTCCAGATTGCTTTAGGGTTAATAAGTATATATTAGTAATATGGAATTGAAAATAGAAAAACTATGGTCACAGCAATCAACTAGGCATTTTGGCAGCCAAACCTATTTGTAGTTATAACCAGAGGCGGCGCTACCGGGGGGTGCAAGGGGAGCACTGCACCCGGGCGCCGCCTAAAAGGGGGCGCCGGCGCCTTTTTAATGTTTTCTCCAACAATATCTTATCTTCCTTTTACAGTATTTAGACCTGTCAGCAGTAGCTAGTCTTCAGAAAGCAGTATTTAGTCTCCACAAAGCAGTTTTAGTCTTTAGAAAGCAGTATTTAGTGTTCCAGACGCTGTATTTAGACCTGTCGGCAGTATCTAGTCTTCAGAAAGTAGTATTTAGTCTTCTAGAAGCAGTATCTAGTCTTCTGCCAAAGTTATGTATGTTTTCTCCAAAATATCTTATCTTTCTTTTGCAGTATTTAGACCTGTCAGCAGTATCTAGTCTTCAGAAAGCAGTATTTAGTCTCCACAAAGCAATTTTAGTCTTTAGAAAGCAGTATTTAGTGTTCCAGACGCTGTATTTAGACCTGTCGGCAGTATCTAGTCTTCAGAAAGCAGTATTTAGTCTTCTAGAAGCAGTATCTAGTCTTCTGCCAACGTTATGTATGTTTTGTTCTTGATGCTGACAGCAACTTCTTTCTGGGTGTCTATCATCATCTTTTTGGGAGCCTCTTAATATCTATAGGGATCTTGTACCACCCGGTACCTCATTTCTGCAGCTGTTACTTTGCTTTTGTGCTTATCCTGCATTGGCAAAGTTTCCGTATTGGTGATTTCCTGTCCTGTGTAATAAAGACAAGTCCATTGGTTTCTTATTCATATTCTTCGCATTCTTTTATTAAACACATAAGTATTGCCATGAAGAATCATGTTTGGTTTATAATCAATTTTTTGTTTTCTCTGAACAGTAATTTCAGACTTCATGTGGACTTTGAACAATGTAATTCCTGTTTTTTGCTGAAGTCTATTTTATAACTATTGCAATTTCAGACTTTTTCTTGCAACTTAACCTTCTGACCAGAGTATTCCTGACTACTCCCTATATATTTTTTTTTAATTAAAATATTCTGATATTTGCAAAAACACTCGCAATTTACGTCTAGGTGTTAGTCCGCACTGAACTATTTCCCTAATTTTTATCTTTCTTAATTTGCTATAGCGGAGAGGATCCCATTTGTTTCTAAGAAGTAGATGCGGGATTCCCCGAATCAAGCTTATCGTGTATTAAATAGCGCTAATGTTCCAATACTGAAAATACCGGTATTTTTAATTAATACCGGCGAAAACTTGGGCAGTGGCCGGTTTTCGGTATACCGGTATTGCATTCCCTAATTTAAATTAAAATTAACAAATTAAAAAAAATTATCGTCTTTAATAATTTATCATTTTTTAGGTTTTACAACTTCCTGAGGTGCTTTGTATACATTTAAAAAGATTCCGCCACGAATTAATGTTTAGTAGTAAAATTTCCTCAACGGTTAGTTTTCCATTAAAAGGTTTAGACATGAAACCGTATCTTCACGCCGATTGTTCCTCACAAGTAACAACTTACGAATTATTTTCGGTAATTTGTCATCATGGAACAGCCGGGGGTGGTCATTATATGTGTTACGCTTTAAATAACGGCCAATGGTATGAATTTGACGATCAATATGTAACGAGAGTTTCTTCAGAAACCGTGGGCGTGTGCGAAGCTTACGTTTTGTTTTATCGAAAAGTCCCGGTTGATGTTGAATCGGTTTTAGAGAAAATGAAAGATTTGCAAGATAATGCGGTTGGGATTCAAGAAGAAGAATGTTATTACATATCGAAACAATGGTTAAGTAGATTTTTTACGTGTGCTGAACCCGGCCCGATAGATAACCGCGACTTTTTGTGTCAACACGGGTTAATTTGCCCGGATCAAGGGATTAATTTAGATCAATTAGCGACGGCTGTTCCAAAAAAAGTGTACACATTTTTGTTTAGAAAGTACGGTGGGCACCCGGCTTCTCCAACAACAAACGTTTGTCCGACTTGTCACGCGTTATTAACACGTTTAGTGTTAGAAATGCAAACTTTAAAACAATTAAACTTACAATCACAAGAACAAGACGTTCAAGCGACGCATTTATTACCAAAAAGTTGGTATCAAAATTGGTTGGCGTATGTACAAAGGATTACGATAGACCCGCCGGGTCCAATTGATAATTCAAAAGCGACGGAATATTTAAATGAAATTAATTCGGATTTCGCTGAAGTTAGTGAAGATATTTGGAACTTTTTTTATTCTATTTATGGTGGTGGGCCGGAAATAAGGATTAATAACGTTAAAGATGAGGAGGAAGAAATAATTAGCGAAGAAAATAAATCGGTTTTAATAGGAGGAAAGAGTGCTAATCATATTGATAAGAAAATGTATTGTAGAGGTGAACCAATGGAAACGGAAAGCGAAACGGATAATATTAATGTATCAATGATAACCGATGAAGTTTGTCAGGAAAATGGTAGCGTTAAAGAAAACGGGGAAGACGTTGATGGCTTTAATGATGAGATTCAGAATCATAATATGATGAACGGCAACGTTTCGAATACTTCCTTGACGGATGACGAAGTAACGGAGCTGGTTAATGTGAAAAAGTCAAAATCTTATAACAGGAGGAAGAAGAGAGATAACTTTTAATTGATTGTGAATTATTTTTCAGGTTTTTATTTGTATTTTCCAATGCATACTACACAATTTAAAGAAAGCAATATATTTTTCAAAATAATTGTATATGAATACGTGTAATTTTTCTACTTTGGGAAATGAATTGTTGCATTATTATTTCGTAGGTTACATAAAAACGATATATTCCCCAATTTATAATAATAGCAAATTTTGTTCGTGTATCAAAGTGAGATTTGTAGCTAATTTGTAAATATTTCTTGGACTTTGGTTTTTCTATATATATATTTTTTTTAAAAAGGTTGTATGTAGCACTTTGTTTCCATTTATATACCACCTTTATAGGGATGCCAACGTTATAATTTTTTTTTATTTATTTGTACATTTTCAATATATAAATACAAAAATACCTGTCATGTAACAAAAAAAAAGTTAGCGAGTTATTATAACAGAAAAAAACTTAAATATATTTTATATCTTCTATGTGATCATTCAATTAAAATTAACTCAATGTGACAAAAACTTGTAAATAAATCATGTCAAAACATAATGACTAATTTTATTTGTTCCAAGAATATAATTAACACATTACTGTCTGCTGGCAGAGGAACTACAATAATTAAGCTTTATTGTCCGCTTTCAATACTGCAAATTGTTCTTATTATACAGTATGTCCGTAAAGTAACGGATATAGGTGATAAAATCATTATGAACGGTTTATGGAAAAAACCCTGAAACGGGTCTAAAGATTTAAATTTTTTGCAACTTTTTGGTGTAGGTTTCAAATTTTTACGGAATATGAAAGAGAATTTTTTTCTAAATCTAGTACAGTTAATATTAATATTGGATACATAAGAAAATTTTCGAAAAAAATTACTTTAAAGTTTAATTACTTCAAATTCGGTTTAATTACAAATAAAAAATAAAATTAATAAATTAATTTCTTCTCGGATTTTGATTTTTCCAAAGTATTTGGTCTAGTGGTATAAACTTTACTCTTCAGATATCCCCAAAGGAAGAAGTCCAGCGAAGTCAAATCAGGTGATCTTGCAGGCCATTCAATTGGCCCTCTTCTCCCAATCCATTGATTGGGGAATAATTGATTTAAATATGCATGAACAGGAACCGCATAGTGTGGCGGCGCGCCATCTTGTTGGAAGAACAATTGCTTTTGAAATCGACTTGGGTCAACATCATCGAGAAATCTGGCCGTTATGGAAGGAATGAGATCTGTTCGTAGAAAACCTAAATATCTCTCTCCAGTTAAGGTTCCCTCAAAAAAGTAAGGACCCAAGATAGTATCCTGTACTATTCCGCACCACACGTTAATCTTTTGCGGATATTGGGTATGCGATTCTCTTGCCCAATGTGGATTTTGGGTAGCCCAATACCGACAATTTTGCCTGTTAAGCTGCCCTCTCAATGTAAATATTGCCTCATCGGAAAAAATTATGTTTTTAACGAAATCTTCGACATCGTTGCACAATTGTTGCAACTGCTCACAAAATTGCGATCTTCTATCAAAATCATCTTCATTGAGCTCATGAATGAGGTTTACCTTATAGGGAAAGATATATTGCGGTTTTTTAATATTTTGTGAACCGTTGTTTTACTAATGGCCAGATTCAACCCAATATCCGAGTAGCACAGCCATAACAACGTTATATTAAGCCTCGTCTGAAACATTTGGTCGGCCAGACTGCGAGAGATCCCATGATTTTTAAATTTAGTGACAATGCGGCTTACCGTACTTTGGCTTATGGGTTCATGGTCAGGATATGTTGCATTAAAGAGCTCTACTACTTCTTTTTGAGTTCGAGTTCGATCCCCAATTCCAATGAAACACAAAATTTCTATTCTTTCCCGCTCGGTCAAATGTACCGTTTTAATAAATTAACAACGAAAACAAATAAAAGTAAACAAAAAACAAAAATTAACTCAAAAGTGATGTAAGAATAGTTTAAATCAGTGCTATAAGAAACAACAAGCTTTACTAAATCAGTGTTTGACACTTATAAAACTTAGAGAATTGTTTAAAATGATTGGTTACCAGAATTACTCATGGTTACTGCTATTTTTTCCATGTCAAGCAAATTTGAAGTAATTAAACTTTAAAGTAATTTTTCTCGAAAATATTCTTATGTAACGAATATTAATATTGACTGTACTAGATTCAGAAAAACATCTTCTTTGAATGACGTCATAACTCAGTTAAAAATGGCGGAAAAAATTTGTAACCTACACCAAAAAGTTGCAAAAAATTTAAATCTTTAGACCCCTCTCAGGGATTTTTCCATAAACCGTTCATAATGATTTTATCGCCTATATCCATTACATTACGGACACACTGTATAATCTTAATGAATAGTGGAAAATTTACAACACATAATGTTTACCAAGGTTATTTGCGTTTCAATAAAATTATTATAGAATATTATGCAANCCTTATGGCATTTTGCAATACCTTGTCAAAAGGAATCCAAAAACCTTAAAATATACAGGGGTGTTCCATTTGGAGGAATTTTGAAAACTAGTTTTTTTGTGAAAGTTATTTTCTTTGGCTTTAAAGTTCATTTTTAACATTTTATCATTATCATGTCTTCATGAAACACACGTTTGGCAACATAGAACAACATTTTAACATTAAGATTTTCGATTCAGAGTCGGTCGAATTTCTATATTCTTCAAAGCACTTTCCTAGGCATAAAGCAACTTGACAAAAATGATTAAAAAACATGTATCTTTCCGAATCCCATTATTTTTACAAACTCTGCAACGTTTTTGAGCAAACGTCTTTTTGTCTGAGCTTTCAATTTTTCCTTTTCTGTGTTGTTTCATATTTCCAGACAATCTACCAGGCGGATTTCTTTTATAAGACTTCCTGCAAATTAGAGCTAACCTCGATGTGCACAAGAGAACTGTCCCCACTTTCAATCCAGTGTTTGACAATTTTTGCAAAAAGGAAGCAAATTTTATTTACAAATTTATTGCTTTTCTGGATTTTAGCTTTTTATATAGAATGTATAAATTTAAAAGTATACAATCTAAGAGTTTCCGTTCGCACGGAAATTGCTTGTACTCTGTTTTCCCTATTAGTACCACACATTCTAAATTGATTAATAGCCTTTTCTCAGCTAGTTCAACACTATTGTAGTAGTTATGCATATTAATATGATGCCATACATTCTCAGTACTTTTCAGCAGATCAGATACGAAATCGTTTAATTTTTCACCAGTACCACTACATAATTTAAATTTAATGATTTAACCACTTTCAGGCTCGCATAACATTCTCACAAGAAGTCCACGATAGGGTATTGTAGCTTCGTCCAAAGAAAGATTATTAGAAAAATGTAGCGATTGTAAGATTTGTCAAAAACGTTCCTTTCATAACAATTTGGAAATAATTTAATTCCCACATCTCCTAAAAATTCTTCTGGTGTGATATTATTTGTATGTTAAAATCGTTTATTTGATCTTCCACATCTGGGCTGGAAGATTTTGGCACAGGAATGTAGTCCGAATGAGGCAATGATTTTTGCCCACTTGCAACACCAACGTAATATGATTTTCTTATCGTTTTTCTCAATGCGGCTTCTTTATTCGCACATCACGTCGTCTAACCATCTTTTACGAGGTCTTTTCTCTGTTGGTTTCCATTCTGTAAGGATTTTGCACTTCTATCGTCTTCCATTCTTCTTATGTGTCGCAGCCATCTAATTCGCCGAGATTTAACAAATCTGCTTATGTCCGCTGCACCAACCAGGGCATTGGGTTCAAAATTCATTTCTCTCCATGTTCCATCTTGTTTAGTTACTAATAGGTCCAAGGTACATTCAACGCTGTTCCAAGTTACTTCGCGTTTGTTACTAAGAATTTTATCACTTAAAGCATTGCAGAATCAAATTAAACCAAGAGATTTGAGTAATAACCGATAAATATTAGCTTTAGAAGTACACTTTACCCTATAATTAAAAGAGAAATCCATTTGTTATAGCCCATTTATTTACAAATATCAAAATAACTAAAAATAAACTTAAAATTAATTAAAAAGTATAAAATAAAACGAATTAGTTTCCTCCTAATCCTAAAAAAGAAAACATTCACATTACAAGTTAAAATTAACACGTGTCAAATAAAAACGTACTTTTAACTCGACACACTTCAACATCAACCCCAATTTCGTGTAAAAAACTTATCCAAAGCTTCTGTTTCGTTGATAATTGATCCCCAGGCCCTTTAACTTCGACAAATTTGCACTAAAAAAAATCAATTTTTACAATTTCAAAAAAAACAAATCAAAAAAAATCTTACTTTTAAATCATTCCATAAAAATAAATCCGGCAACCCCGCCCTGCACTCATCATAACTCTCAACAAACCTCTCCATAATTCTCCCAATAACATTTCGACCAATCACCTCAATAAACCGAAACGTAACATCAATATCAAAAACTTTAACAACACTTTTACACGGTTCTGCCTCCTCCCACGCGTTTCGAACGTATTCGTTGAATTCATCTTGTGACCAACCGAATTTGATTTTTTCTATCCTCTCGTCGATGAGATCTTTTCGCCTGGTGTAAAACTCGTCGTGGTTTAAATCTAATGGCACGGTTTGATTTGGATTAATAAAAATTGGGATGGCATTGTCTTCTTTGTAAATGATGTCCCAAAATAAAATAAAAAATAACATGTTTATTATTGTGCCTTCGCAGTGAATTCCGTTTGTAAATTCGGAGTTTGTTACGTAATGACGGATCGCGAAAATTTCGACGCGAAGATATTCTCGGTCTTCCGAAGATGTTGGATGGACAAAATAAGGTTCATTACTGAAAAGAAAATTGTAATAAATTTTTATTAATATGTATCGCAATGAAAGATGTTAATTTATTACACTAACAAAACTTTCTAAATATTTAGTTTCCCCTTGCTTAAAGACTTAATGAGGGAGATAAATTGGATAGAAAGACGCTTTAGAGTACTCGCAATGATGAGAATAGCTACCTTACCCAGAGCAAGTCAAGATTTCTTTACTTGGGACGAAGTCATCGAGCTTTTTACTTAACACGTTGACTATCATGTGTATCAAAATTGGTACACACTTCTGTAGTGTAGTCATGCGCGTGATATACCCGCGGCAGTCAACGTGTTAATCACTGTTTGCGAGATGATTCACAATACGATGAATTGGTTGAGTCAGTACAATTTTGTAGTCAGCGGGTAACAGATTTTGATGCGACTGTGAAACGCTTTCAGGATCAAAAGAAGATTATAGATAAGCCGAATGCAGAAAATATGTCGCTTGCGGATGTGACTCAACCTCAATCATGACGCTTCGTCTTCTCCATAAAGCTAGATGTCCACTTGAGAGAAACTTCTGAGACTAACTCTCGATATCTACTCTCAACTCTGTGTCCACTTGAGACTGTTTTAGCTCTCCGAGAGCTTCTATAAAACTTCCGAGAGCTTCTATAAAACTTCCGAGAGCTTTCTCTCAGACAGTTCTCTCAGGACCGTGTCCATTAGTGAAATGTGTCGGTGCTATGGAAAGTAAAATTTATTTTCTTTCAGTGCTTGGTGTTTGTAAACATGGATGTAAACAAAATTGCAAGTGCAATAGTGTTGTACAAAATTTCAAAAAAAAGCAAACTAAAAAAAATAAAAAGGAACTGTTGGGTGAAATCATGGATTTGGCGTAGATTAGAGCTGCGTGTCAACAAATATCAACATTCGTTGTCAAATTGTTAGTTATTTGGCATACTGGATTCACAAAAAAGTGAACTCGATTGCTTTAATGGCACTTATAAATGCAAACTATAAGTTTATTGTCGTACACGTGATAGCTTAATAGTGGCTTGGCAGTATTTTGGAAAATTATTAGAAAATATAAACTTAAACGCCTCAATTGCTGTAAGAGACTAGATATTGCTGGTAGAAGACTAAGTACTACTAATGAATGACTAGATGTTGCAAATGAAGCACATCCTTCTTACAGAAGACTACACACTACTACTAAAAATCAAATACTTTTAGCAGAAGACTTAATTTTACTGTCAGAACACCAAATTATGTTTGCAGAAGTTACTATTACTAATGGTACAAATGCCGTTTAAATTTCTGTCCAATACTTGTTAACATTGCATCCTTCGCTTCCCGATTTCTATGTTCATTAGATTTGATATTCCAAAGAATTGAATTTTCTTCATACACTTCAATTAATTCAAATATTTCTTCTTGGGACCATTTTCTTTTAGGTGTTATCTTTAAACGTGTTATATTGAGAAAATTCGCAGCTACTCGCAGCAAAATTCGAACCGTGTTCGTTTTTTGACAGTTACTCTCACGATAGATAAATTGTGCGTGTCCACTTGAGTACAAATCTCAACGTGTTTACTCTCCGAGAGTTTGTGGGGACTCTCTGATAGTTACTCTCAGATGCGTGTCCACCAGAAAATATACTCTCGAGAGCATTTCTCGCAAGTGGACACTTAGCTTTATGAAAGGAAAAATAACAAATTGATGCTGAGGTTGGATTGGGTTGAGGCGCGATCTTGATTATCTTAATTACGTTACTTTATGTTTAAACGATAACCAGGAAATGAAGCCGAAGTCGCTTGGAGCCGAGACATTACCTCAATCATGACACCTTGTCTGCATCCGTTAAGACAAAAAAAAATAAGAAGTTAATTCTGACGTTGGATTGGGTTGAGAGTTTATCATAACTATACTGCTTTATATTTGAACGATGACTAGAAATTGAAGTTGAGGTCGGTTGCAACTGAGACTCAACCTCAACCATGACGCTTCGTCATCTCCGTTATGAAAGGAAAAATAAGATCAACTTCTTATTTTTCCTTTCATAACGGAGAAGACGAAGCTGAGGATGGATTGGGTTGAGGCGCGATCTGGATTATCTTAATTACGTTGCTTTATGTTTAAACGATAACCAGGAAATGAAGCCGAGGTCGCTTGCGGTTGAGGATTTACCTCAATCATGACACCTTGTCTTCATCCGTTAAGACAAAAAAGTAAGAAGTTGATTCTGAGGTTGGATTGGGTTGAGGCTTTACCATAACTATGATGTTTTATGTTAGAACGATGACTAGAAAATGAAGCCGAGGTCGCTTGCCACTGAGGCTCAACCTCAACCATGACGCTTCGTCTTCTCGGTTATGAAAGGAAAAATAAGAAGTTGATGCTGAGGTTGGATTGGTTTGAGGCGCGATCTTGATTATCTTAATTACGTTGCTTTATGTTTAAACGATAACCAGGACATTAATAATGACACCTTGTCTTTATCCGTTAAGACAAAAAAAGTAAGAAGTATTTAGACTTCCATTAGTGATGTTTAATCATTTTCGAGCGGTACATGGTCTTTTATTAGCGGTATCTGGTTTTCTGCCAGCTACATCTAGTCTTATATTGGCAGGATGTAGTCGCTTATTAATAAACGTGTTATCTTCTGCCAGTATCTATTCTTTTATTAGCAGTATCCAGTTCTCTATCAGAAGTGTGTAGGTTTCTGCTAGCAGTATCTAGTCTTTTATGAGCACTATCTCGGGTTCAGTCAGTAATACCTAGTCTTCTAGTTGCAGCATATAGCCCTCTGCATAGGCACAGCGCAATGGATGTTCTGCTTGACCCTCTTCTTTGCATTTGCATATAGAGAAAGTGACTAGAACTACCATTTACAGGTTTAAGCAATATACTCAAAACTGCTCCGACATGGCACGAATGGGCTGTGGAAGACACTATAAGCACTGATATTGTGCTATCAATGCCGTCAGATTTGACGGGGTCACTACCAGTGATTAATGCTCGATATTAGATTATACTACCTGAACGGCAGTCCTGAAAACAAAAATTCTTTGGTTCAGGCAGATATTTGCATGTACATAGATGGATCGAAAACGCCGGAAAGGGTCGAGGCAGCAGTATACTGCCAGACATTTCGGATTAAGCAAGCTTACAGCCTGGATACGTACTGTACTGTATTCCAGACGGAAATATTTGCTATTGACATGGTTGCTAGAATTCTTGTTGAGAGAGGGGTGAAGAACATGACAATACGTTTTTCTCAGACAGTCGAGCCGCTCCACTATGGAGAATTTGAGCCGTTTGTAGAAATGTTAGATTTTACTACTAATAATTAACTTAAGGTTTATTTTTATATTACCTAATTAAGTAAAAAAAAATATCAAAGTTTATATGTCTCTGAATTAACGTATTTCGGTTAACTTTGTCATGATTTTTAAAGTGTTACCATACAATTTTAGTCTAAAACCTATATAATAAGTTGAACTTTGTCAGACAATGATGGAATAGTGGACGAGTTAAACATTATTATAATGTATACAGGATGTCTCAGCGAGACCGGTCATTAGACGTTTCTTGGGTTCTGGCCAAAATAAAAATTTGGGAATTCAGACTTAAGTATTATCAATTGCGTTCTCTTTGACTAAAATATTTTCAGATATCTAGCACTTCCGGCTATACCTGAAGTCGCCACCTACTTAATTTTTTTAAATGGAACACTTGTATATTTTTACATATTTGGATTTGTCTGTTTTCAAGGTTTATAATTAACTTTACTTTTTGTAATTTGATTCGGCCGTTCTCGAGATATTCGAATTTTTCTAGAAAAATGCATTTTTCAAAAAACCCTAATAATCTCCCAAACTATTAATGTTACGTATGGGGCATATGGGATATAAAAGATGTGGAATGAGACACCGAAGACGATTAATTAATAAAATATGGGAGGTGCCACTTAAAAAAATGAAGTTATGGTACTTCCAAATTTCGAAAAGTTAACGTGCCTAGTAAAGTGACCAAACGTTCTAGACAGCCATTCTGAATCCTAAATTGATATCTCAAAAATCGAGTGTTCTCTGATTTTTTGAACAAATGTCTGCTGGAGCAGATTTCACTAGAAAAAATTCGAATAACTCGAATCAAATTGCAAAAAGGAAAGTTATTCATAAGCCTTGAAAACAGACAAATCCAAACTTGTAAAAATATACAAGGTGTTCCATCTAAAAAAATAAAGTAGGTGGCGACTTCCGGTATAACCGAAAGTGTTAGAAATCTGAAAATATTTTAGTTGAAGAGAACGCAATTGATAATACTTAAATTTAAATTTTCAAATTTTTATTTTGGCCAGAACCTGTATAATTCTAATGGACGGTCGTCGTGGATGACCCTGTATAATAATTATAATGTAGTTATGCAAGAAAATGTTATAAAACGATTTTTATTAACAATTAAAGAAAAAATAATTAATTTTTTTTACCTCTTTTGTTTTCCTTGAATAGTTATGGTAGAAAATAAATTTACATTTGGAGCTCTCTTTAATGACTCCAAAACATCGTCATCAAAGAATTTATTACATTCCCTTTTTTTCACAAAACTTGTCACTCGATATATTAATTCGCATTCGTCCGAAAACGACAAAGAATCATCTTTCAAACCTCTTATTAATGTCTCACAAGCTTTTTGATTATCTTTATAAAATTTTTTATAAATCGTAGCTAATTGACCATACAGAAAAGACTTCTTTCTTATTCTAAACTGATTTTGATTTAGTAATTCTTCAATCCAAACTTTAGATCTCTCCAGAAATGTGCCTGATAACTTAGTAATACCAAACACCAAGGCCGAGGCGTATTTATGACCGGAAGTAAACCGGTTTAAAAAGCCAGGTTTTGTGTTTTTATAATTCCTTTGATTCAGAATTAATTTTAATTCGGTTAAAATTTCCTCACAATGTTCTTTCATTACCAATTTATTGGGGCATTTTTTATTTGCTTCTTTTACTAATTCTTCTTTGTATGTAAAGGCTCTTGAAAAATCATCAAATTCCTTAGCATTTTCGAATATTTTTATTTCTGATGTTTGAAATTTAGGAATGAGCGATTTATTTTGGTGTATTTCATGCATAAATTTATAAACGCCGTGAGGAATCTCTAATTGTGGGTGTGTAAATGAGTACATTAAATGGATTTTATAAAAAGTATTATGAAAATCTGCAGTGATTTTAATCATTTTTCCCAATTTTTTACAAATCATCATCTTTACTACTTCATTCATTGGTTTTGATGGGTTTAATGTGGGTTGTTTGGTAATGTGGTTTAAAATGGCGAAGATTTTATCTTCCCTAGTTCGTAAAACGCAATTTTTCACATTCAATCGCAAATCTTGACAAATTTTTGTTAAATCTTCCCTATTTAAGAGTGTTAAAAGATTCGATAAATCATCATTTTCATAGTTAGTTTGTATAAAACCATATTTTTCTAAATCTGTAATCATTTCATGAATTTCTAAAGATATCAAATTTAACTTATTGCGACCCTTTAAACTTTTAATAAAACTCTCCGGGTTATACCACTTAATTTGATGTGTAAATAACTTGCAACAAATAAATTGGTAGAGAGTTTTTATGGAACAAAATGATAAAATTAAATTTTTTTCATTTTCAAACAATAAATCTTCAAAACTAGGCCTTAAAGAGTGCTTAATTATCACCCAAATATTATTTAAGGCATTTTTAATGACTTCTTTGCATTCAAAATCATCCAAATCAACACCAAATTCGCATTCATAAATTAAACCTTCTATATTCAAAGCATAACTTTTATGAGAATAATTAAGACTAGATTCTAATTGAGTTTTGGTAAGTTTAAAATCATTTTTTATGTTTAAACAAGGTTTAGTTACTGCTATATTTATAATTTCCGAGGAAGAATCAGATGAGTTAAGTTTTATTTTGCTCCTATTATTGTTTAACTTCAATAAGGAATTCTCATCTCGCTCTAAATCAATTTTAACCTTTTTAGATGGAGATGTATCCGCATTTAATATAGGTTCATCATCAAAATAAATCTGTGGTGATAAAGGACAACAGTTTACTTCAATCATTTCTTCTTTTACAATTACTTTTTTCATTGGGTCATCATCATCACTTTCTTTATCAGGTTTCTTATTTTTTAAACGTTTTGAACGGCGACACCTTTGAGGCTTCTTTATGGTAGATTTAAACTTTGACTCTTGAAACGTAAGGGGGCCTTTACATGGCGAAAAAAAGGACTTTATCGATGATTGTTTAAAAGAAATAACTTCTACATCATTTTCAGCCATTGTTTATGGCGCGCTTTTTCTTATCTTTTTAGGTTAGGCATCTCGTTATCTATAAAAATAATATCATTAATTAGTAATTAACGTACCAATATAACATTAATTTGTAAAATAACTTACCTTTTAAAATAATATTGAAAATTGGTTGTTATAAAATTTTTTTGATGGTGTAAACAAAAAAATAATCTTACTAAATGTCACTTCAACAAACACAAAATTCCCTAATACAAATTCCATAAAAAACGTCTTTGTAACTACTCGTTACGTATTTTATTATAATGAATCATTTTACGCAAAACTTTTTGTTATTGTAAAATAAATACACTTAAAATTGCATTTAATATTTTCTAATTTTTTTTCTTAAGTTGGTGATATTCCAAAATGGCCACATGTTATTAAAGAGGTTATGTTTCATTGTAAACACAATTCAATTCAAAAAATCGATTTAAATTAATCTTAAAATAATTAAAAATGTCTAAAATATCTAAAATTCCCGACTTAATAAAGACGATACAAGACGACGAAGATGTCGAGGATTTTTCTGAAGATTCAGATGTACAATTGGAGGTAAAACTTAACCTCACTTTTTTTTCACTCAATCAACATTATTTATCTTTTAAAGAATCACTTTCAACCGACCAAGGAAAAGAAAAAGGAGAAAGATTTCAACACTGACTTTCAATTTGTAAGTTCTGTGGAGGAATACAATAAAGATGAATGGAACGATTTGATGAAATATGTAAAACGAAAAGCGAAAACAAAAACCGATGATAAAATTAAAAAAGTTTTAGCTGCTAAAAATCAAAGTGAAATTATAAATAATGATGAAAATGAGGCAAATGGAAACGATGATATTTGTATATCGGACGATGAGTTGGTTCATGATAATATCAAGAATAAGGATAAAAAGAAAAAGAAGAAAAATAAATTAGGGAATGGGGAAGAAGAGTTTTTTGAAGATGTGCATACTAAAACTGATGGGGTTACTTTTTATGAAATGAATTTATCACGTCCTCTTATGAAAGCTATTGTTGAAATGAAATATGTTCATCCAACTCCAATTCAATCAACAACTATTCCAGTTGCTTTACTTGGTAAATATTTTTATAATTTCCAATTAATAATAATAATTGAAAATAATAATAAGATTACAATGTTACAAGAAATAACAACATTATCCATAACTAATCTAAATCCTACCCTTTTCCCCAGCCTCTCTATGTCTCATTGCTCCCACAACCTCCCACAAACTTACTATACTCCACCAGCAGATGGTGTAGAGACTCCCCACACAGCTTGCACCCCCTCTCCTCATCTCTCATCCAATATTTTGGATTGTACCTACTTTCCCTTATCGCCGTCCTATCTCTTGCATTTCCACATCCTTGTCCCTGCTCTCCAGTAGTTTCCACATCTCAATCCACCCTTACTTGCCTCAATCTTTCTGTAGCACTCCCCAAGATTTTAAACAATTAACCACCTCCATCCTCACTTTATCTACCTTCATTTCTTCCCTAACTATACAGAGTGACTGGCACATAAACGTATTTATTGAAATGCATTATTATAGAGCTCATTTGCAATTGATTAAGCCAAATATGCCTTATACAAAGTTCAATAGTTTAGGAATTATTATTATAAATATTGAAATTCAGAGTTTAATAATAGTTTCTTTTTCAACATATTGACTTCTCTGAATAAACTACACTCTAATACACATTTTAAGTTGAAAAATATTTTAAATATTTCGTTTGTTTAAAAATACAAGGAAAAAATGTTTCGTGAATTAAGTTAATTTTTAAATAAACTAATTTTTTATGAGCGTCTATTTCAAAATTTCAATAATACATTTGGCGTATAAATCATGTTAAAAATTTCTCTGTTTTATAACCTTTCAAATGATTTATTAACCAGGGCTAAATGTCTTTCCAATTAGCTAATAATAAGGTAAGGATAGGCATGTGTATAATATTGACAACTTGCCCAAAGTTAAAGAAATTAAAATAAAGAACTAAAAAACGTTACTTCATGAATACAATAAATGAAATTCAATTCATTAATAATTATAAACCATCAATTATGCCAGTGGTAGCAGGACATTTCGTTTTTTATTAGTAAGCCATAGAATTTTGACAGTTTTTTAGTTAATATTGTTTATCCACAATCACCTTATAATTGAAGTTTTATCCACACTTATGAACCATATAAAGTACCACTTAGTACCACACTTACTGTCATCGCTTCCAGAACGCATAGTGCCTGTCCAAGTTTTTGAAAAATCTGTGGAAACAATGCACGTTTCCTCTAGTAAGGGAACGACTAGTACCAGTAGAACCTTGGATTTTTCTTGCGATATCAAGCTTATTATATATAGAATCCTCGATATAAGTTTCTGCTATGCCAGAGCTTCTCCACCCACCATGTCGTTTAATTATTGTAAGGTTGCCTCATACAATGGCCGCTATAAGCTTTTGCATTTACCAGATTCAAAAACGAAGCAACTGTTGAAGGAACTTTCGACAAAATGTTAATTCCAACAGATTGTGAAGTACATTTTTGATTAGCGTATTTTAAAATGAATCTCTCATTGGATAACTTCTTCGGACATAAAGACATGTATTTTCTACACGTCTCCACAGTATTGATAGAGAATCCTTCTTCTATAATTGTAAATTTTCGTGAAATACCTGTCTTGGTATCTGGTATCGAAACAATCAAATATGCGCCCCTATCTTCTACATCACTAATTTTCAAATTAGTCAGTTCACAGCATCGACAAGCACCAGACACCCCCATTATTAGTGCAACCTAATATATTTCAAAATTTATTATATATAATATCCAAAAGGTTAACAGAGATTACCTTGACATCAAATATTCTTTATCGCAAGCCCTTGTCAAAAACTCTTCGACGTGTGTTCATTCCAATACTGCAGATTTCTTCGCCTTGTATCCTCTTGACTGATTCTTCAAATAGGCCATGGAGCTTACAATATTTTCCTATGTCTATGTTTTTATAGACCTTTATAGCGGCTTTCAACATCGAATACTTCGACCACATGGATGAAATTGCATATCTCTTCTTCAAATTTAAGAAATACGATAGCAAGACTTCCTCATTTATTGATATTATCCCCTGTTTTTCTTTCCATTCATTAAACTCGGAAAATACTTTTTCGTAATGTTCCCTGGACTTTACAGGCAATAATTGAACAGTTGCTTCTTCAACTTCCGTGAGTTTGCGTGAATAAAATGCTGTCTAAAACACTTACACAATAAATAGCTATTGTTTTTATTTGAACTTAATTTTTGCGTAAAATGTCATGGTTTACCAGTGTTGAGTATGCTGACATATTATGCATTTATGGTTTCTATGACGGAAACGCGACAGCAGTTCGTCAAGAGTACCAAAAACAGTATCCAAATAGACAAGATACTCCCTCACTTCCTCGATTACCCTCCCTTCCCATCTCCAGTCGTCAGTCTTCTTTCGACCTCCTTTACAGAACCTCATCATTTTCGTTTTGTCTACTTTCACCACCATATTCTTGCGGCTAAAATACTTTACCGGCGATCGCATCATTATCCTCATTTCACCCGTCTCCCTCGCGATCACTACCAGGTCGTTGGCATACGCCAGTACGTGCACCTTCCTCCTTCTGATTACAACCCTCATTTGTCCCCCGGCCCATCTATCTTCTATGTCTGTGGTGTACAAAGCAAAGAGGACGGAACTAAGCGGACATCCCTGCCTCAATTCCCTTGCATCTCCTTTATCCTGGCTACCGTCTCCATCTCCTTCCATAATTTTTCTCTATTCTGTTAAATCTACTATTGAACAGTTTAGCCTTCAACAAATTATCTCGACCGCGACTCGTGTCATCGTCTCCTCCACCACATTGATCGACTTTGTAATTTTAAATGTAGATGCTCCTGTTCTTGAATCGGGTGTGACAACTATACATAACATTACTCACTTTATTTATCACTCACTTGTCTTTGTTAGCTAGTCTTTTGATTTGCATCAATCTACAATTAAAAGCATTACTTATAGATACTTCAGAAACTTTAACTCTGAAATTTTTCTGGACCAGCTGAGGGCACTTCTTTGGCAGGAATATTAACGATAAAGTTGATTTTTAATCTTTATGTACCTATCAAGACATAGATTCTACATAAGTATTACATAAGCGCGAGAGATACGGCCTATAAGAAGTTCAAATCCTCTAACTCACCATCTGATTTTATTTACTACAAACAACTACGTAACTTCACCAATATTGCACTTTAACATGAAAAGAAAGCCTTTTTATCTCACGTATTCAGCCATAATAATTCAAAAAAACTAGGGGGTGTCTGTAGGTCTTTTGTAAAAATAAAACTAGTGGCATTCCTAGTAATCATAATAATGTATGTATTAAACACCTGGACCATAACAGTGGATGTGCATTTTCGAAACACAAAATAAAGTAATAATAACATTACAGAATATAATAAATTCACAATTAACATTTTAATGAAATTAGATTATTGAGGCATCAAAGAGATACTTCCGCTGGCTCTAGATGCGCCCTTTATCAGAAATAATTTAACTTTACTTTTAAAACTGTTTATTTCATTTATTTGTTTTAGACTATTCGGGAGCTGATTATATAATTTAACAAAATTATATTGTGGACTTTTTTCATACAAAGATGCTCTGTGCGCGGGCATCTTTGCTTGGCGATGCTGATTCCATTAACAATTTTTCCTATCCTCTCAATATAACAGCCCTGGTGATGGAGATCTTATACAATTCATAAATTGTCTGCCTGAGGTGTCTAGTAAGCTGTACTTTTCGCTCGCCTCTGAATAGGAAATGAGTGTGATGGTATTAGCGTAAAAATGTTGTTGTTGTTCCATATTTGTGTCATATTATCAATTGTTGTCTGGAATTTGGGTTCTAACCTAACCATTGGAAAACTGCATTGGTTTCACCAACTCCAAAAAACAAGAATCCAAATGCTTTGGTTGATTTACGGCCTATTATTATTTTAAATGTTACCTCGAAATTTCTAGAGAGGATTGTGGCGGCGAGAATCTAGAGCCATCTTAATGAATTTAATATATTACCAGCCAATCAGTTGATTTCGTCCTTGTTTCAGCCGTATCACGGCTCCTTTTGATGTTACCGATAATATCTCTTGCGTGGGATGGATGAGAGATTTTCTAAGGCTTTTGACACGATCCATCATTTAACACTCCTATTAGTGCTCCATTATATTCGCCTATCCGATGGCTGTTGATTTCTTTAAAATAATTTTATATTATTTATATTATATTAAATTCTATTACATATTCTTTCTAAACCCTGCTTGAAGTGATGATATATTTATTAACATGTTAGACTTATAACTTCCAATTAATTAATAAAATTAATTTTTTTAGGAAGAGATATTTGTGGTTGCGCTGCCACAGGAACAGGAAAAACAGCCGCTTACATGCTTCCAACGTTGGAACGTCTTCTTTATCGCCCCGTAGGCACAGCAACAACACGCGTTTTAGTTTTAGTGCCAACTAGAGAACTCGGTGTTCAAGTTTATCAAGTTTCAAAGCAATTAACTCAATTCACTGATATCGATATAGCTCTATCTGTCGGCGGATTAGATTTAAAAACTCAAGAAAACATTTTAAGAAAAAATCCCGATATTGTAATCGCAACCCCCGGTCGATTAATAGACCATTTAAAAAGTACACCTGGATTTAGTTTGGAATCGATTGAAATCTTAATTCTGGATGAAGCTGATCGTATGTTAGACGAGTTTTTCGCCGAACAAATGAAAGAGATTATCAAACAGTGTTCAAGAACTCGCCAAACTTTGTTATTTTCGGCTACGATGTCAGATGAGGTTGAAGATTTAGCCGCGGTTTCTTTAACAAAGCCCGTTCGTGTATTCGTTGATAGTAATAAAGATGTGGCTTTTAATTTGCGCCAAGAATTTATTAGGATCCGAAAAGATAAAGAAAGCGATCGAGAGCCAATCTTATCCGCGTTAGTTTGCCGAACTTTTCGTACAAAAACAATCATTTTTGTGCAAACAAAAAAACAAGCGCATCGATTACACATCTTATTAGGACTTTTAAGTGTAAAAGTTGCCGAATTACACGGAAATTTAACTCAACCCCAACGATTAGATGCTTTGGAGAAATTTAAGAACGAAAAAGTCGATGTTTTAATTGCAACAGATGTCGCGGCTCGCGGTTTAGATATACCAGGGGTTCAAACTGTGATTAATTTTATGATGCCGCCAACCTTAGAACATTATATTCATCGAGTTGGTCGTACTGCGAGGGCAGGAAGAGTTGGAGTTTCCGTGAGTTTAGCAGGAGAACAAGAACGAAAAGTTGTTAAAGAAGTTATTAAACGAGCAACAAGACCAGTTAAAAGTCGGATAATTCCTCAAGACGTTTTAGAAAAATACAAAAATAAATTAGAAAAATTAGAACCGGAAATCGAACTAATTCTGAAAGAGGAAAATGAAGAAAGGATTTTAAGTAAAACTGAAAACCAAGTGAACAGGGCTCAAAAATTATTAAATGGGGAAAAAGACCAAGAACGACCATGGTTTCAAACGAAAAGGCAACGAAAGGATGAAAAAGAAAGATTATCGCTAAATCAAGAAAAAAAGGTTAACTCAAAAAGCAAAAGTAAAAATAAACTTAGTGAAACGGATAAAGGTGGTGATAACAATGACAAGAAAAAGAAAACTAAAAAGGTTAAGGATACCGCGGAAGATCGTGTACAAGGGGAGTTGAAAAAATTGGCGTTGTTACAAGCGAAATTGGCGAAGAAAAAGACGAAACCGAAAAAGATTAACGCAGTATATGATAATGTTGATGGAGTTAGTAAAGGAAAGAAAAGGAAAAGATCGAATTTTGCGGATGAACTTTGTGACACCTCGAGAAAAGGTGTTAAAAAGTTTAGACACCAGGGGAATTTAAAGAAAAAGGGGCAGCCTAAGAAAAATGTTGGAAAGACATTTGGCCGACCTCAATCTAAGAAGCAAAGAAATTAATTGAATGTAATTAATGTTTTTTTAATATAGCTTCGTTACCTAATTTTTCGTTTCATTCTTATTATTGTTGATTAAAGTTTATTGATTAATTTGTTGCATTTTATTATTATTTCAGTTACATTTTTATTGGCAGTGCCATCTATTAGACAATATCCAAAGTTTTACGTCAACTTTAACTTTTTAATTCCTTTTTATAGATATATAGACTTCATTTGAAATCACCATACTTGGCAAACTCGAAATGGGGGGGTGATCCTATAATATTAATTACTCTATATAGAGTAATAGTAACATCCGGAATTGAATATGGTTTGTGGATACTAATGCCTATTTCTAAAACTATGATGAATAAACTTCAGGTAACGTGTTATGAAGCCTATAGAGCTATACTGGGTGCCCTGAGATCTTCTCTAACAAATGCGTTGATTGAAGCAGGTGAAATATCTATTGAAGTTAGTGCAAAACTGTTGTGTACTAGATTTCTGATTAGAAGTCTTAGTATAATCGATTATCCAACAGAGTAGATAGGATTTAGCAAATCATCTAACGGCCGTTGGCAAAGAATTGCCCTTTGATTGCTAACATCTACTCAAAACTCAAACTTGGTATCCCAAATTTATGCAGAAAAAAATGCATGATAACATTTGTGCCCAGATCATATAAATACTCAACATCACACAGTGGAATGATTAGTGTGATAGGTAAGGAAATTGAGCAGGGGGAGTGCTATCACCTCTATTATGGTGCCTGGTAGTTGATGACTTGATGAACACCCTAACTAAAAACGGATTTAAGATACAAGGGTATGCTGATGACCTGGTAATCACAATCCGAGGTAAATATGATTCAATCATAACTCAGCTAATGCAGAAAGCCCTACTACTCACCAGTACTTGGTGCAGAAGCAATGGGCTCAGCATCAATCCCAATAAAATCGAAATAGTCCCTTTCACTCGGAGAAGGAAGCTACAAATAAAAGCACCCTCCATTGAAAGCAGAACTATTAACCTCAAAACAGAAACTAAATACCTAGGGGTAATACTTGACAGTAAACTAAACTGGAACTCACACTTAGATAAGGTGAGGAAAAAGGCCATCATGGCAAACCAGATCTGCCGCAGGCTCCTAGGAAGGAACTGGGGTCTCAAACCACGAATGGCTCATTGGGCCTACGTAGCAATAATCAGACCCATGGTCGCCTACGCCTCATTGGTTTGGTGGCCAAAAACAAAACATAAGACAGCTCAACAACAGCTGGCACAAATCCAGCGGTTAGCATGTCTTAACATAACGGGTGCAATGAGATCCTGTCCGACGGCTGCTTTGGAAGCCCTACTTGGTCTCACACCGCTCCACATATATATACAAAAGGAGGCAGCCTTAAGTGCCTTATCACTGAAAACAGTTTCTTCACTCAAGTTGATGCAGGGTAATCTCAGAGGACACCTCGAGATCCTCAAAGACCCATGTCTAAATCACCTGATTGAAATTAAAACGGACCTTATACCGACGGAATACAATTTCAACCAACCGTATAAGGTCATATTTAGTAGCAGGGATGATTGGGCGAAAGGAGGGCCTCAACTAAAAAGAGGAGCCCTAGCCTGGTACACCGATGCTTCAAAGACAGTAAGATCTGGAGTAGGCATGGGCATCAGTGGACCAAATAGCCACATCAAATTGCCCCTCAGCTCGGACTTAACAATTTTCCAAGCAGAAGTTCTTGCTATAAACTTCTGCACCGCTTTGAACCTACAGAAGGGACAAAAAGGTGCATCCATAAACATTTTCACAGACAGTCGGGCCGCCTTAAAGGCAATTCAGGCCTACACGTGTGGCTCCGCACTGATCAGAGAGTGCACCAACAACCTGAGAGAACTCGCTAGGGGCAATGATGTTACCCTATGGTGGGTTCCAGGTCACAGCAACATTGAGGGCAATGAGAAGGCCGACAAGCTGGCCAAAGAGGCAGCAAACACGCCCTTCATTGGACCCCAACCTGGATGTGGACTACAAAAAAGCCACCTAAAACAAATAATCAACAACTGGGAGGCTTCAAAGATAGCCTTACGCTGGAAAGAACTTCCAGGTCACAGACAAGCGAAGAGTATGATAACTCCGTCGCAAAACAAAACCAAAGAGGTTTTATGCCTCAGCAAAGGGGATCTAAGAACGCTCTCAGGCTACCTAACCGGCCATGTGCCCCTAAAATACCACCTCTTCCACATTGGACAAGCTGAGGATCAAACTTGTCGACTATGCAACGACGAGTCAGAAACTGCTGAACATATACTGTGCAATTGCGTCGCCAGAGGCCGTCTAAGGCACAACGTCTTCGGTAAAACTCCCCTGTTCAATAAAGGTTCAAGACCTCAGGACAATACTAAGGTTCATTAAGGACCTACATTTGCCCTAAACCTTTGGAGGGCTAAAGTTACAATAGATCTTATAGGTCGCGGTATCTAGAGGGGCCGCTCTCCTCAGCCCGGCAGCAATAATAATAATAATAATAAGGAAATTGAGCAATATATAAAGAACACATGGCCGGATGCACATTGCATATATACGGACGGTTCGCTGGTTCAAGAGGCGAAAAGTGTTTCATGCCTCTTCATTGGAGATTGAAGAATACTACCTTGCCAGATCAATTAACTATCTTTTCTGCGGAGGTTTTCTTACGCCATCTTAAGAGCAATTGCACTAACTTTGGAAAAAGAAATCCCCCAAAGTGATAAATATAACAAGTTCCCGAAGCACACTCGAACGTATTAAGAACCCCAAACCATAAAAAGAAATTACATCCTTATATCAGTAGAGCTTTAAGTCTGTTGTATTTGGCATATCAGAAAGATATTGATATCACATTAGTATGGGCACCGGGGTATATTGGAGTGAGTGGAAATGAAAAAGCTGACGAATTGGCGAACAGGGGACGCCAGGAGGAGGTTCACAGAGTAAGAATTATTTCAGCAAGATATTGATAACATAAACCATCAATGGGGACAAGAGTGGACTAGAAGCAGCTCAACTAAAGGGATTAGATACGCTATGTGCCAACGTGTGGTACAAAAAATTCCATGATTCAAAAAAGTTTCTTTTGTATCACGCCAGTTCTACACTATACTATATAGTTCTACAGTATATTATTCCAAAATGAAGGTATCGAAAGCTCATTGAGTAAAGAAAATTCGTGGGCTCTGATGGCAGATATAGGACTATCTAGATATCAGTATAATGTATTACAATCATACGCTGCAACACAACGATGTAAATTATTATCGAGTTATTAGCAAGTTCAGAGCGCAAAGAAAGATTGTTACCCAGTTCCTCTATCGATAACTGTCACAGCAGTAAGTTTGCTTGACCACACCACCTAGAGACCTTTTAAAACACATTGAGAAGAAGTGTTAAAATATCTTACGGTAACTGATCTCATATTAATGTGAAAGTGGGGATGTGATGGGTCTTTTGGACAAAGTCAATATAAACAGATTTTGCCAGATCAAATAGCCGATTCTCATTTATTTCATCATTAGTTCCTTTGTGTATAACCGACAAAACATCCACAACAATATTATGACATAACCCAACTCCTTCTTCGACTTGATTCTGTAGACCCATATCTATAGAGTTTGCAAAAAAAACTGCGGAGAGGACCAGATGTCTAGCTTCAAATATAGAATCCCAAGTGTACCAATTACTACTTCCGTTCCAAAATAAGTGTCCGATTTGAGATTTTTTATAGGATTATTGAATAAACAAAAAAAAGTTGTAATTATGAATTTATTTATATAGAACACATATATTCATTGATCATAGTAGGTCGGGTATGTTTTTGACAGTAGAAATTTAAACCAGTGTCAATTACTAAATCTTGGTAAAAAAAAAAATAATTTTGTATATTCTCCGCCAAGTATAAAAATTGAGCAGCGACAAGGTGTCTTACAATATCTGCTGAAAAACGTAAGCAATGCAAAGTTGAAACACGATGCAATTAAGCAGTGCAGCACTAAATTCTGGAAGGAAACGTAAAGACAGAGAAGGTATAAAAAAGAAAATCTCGGAAGTTTCCATAGCACAAAGATCAAATATCCGCAGTCTCTGTAACAATATTAACGTGTCATTAGGAACAGTGCACAGAATTTTGAAGGAAGGAGTCATAAAGAGAGTTTCAAGTACATTGAAACCTGTTTTGACCGATGACAATAAGAAGCGTCGATTAGAATTTGCACTTTGTATGTTACAAGAACCTAGCCTATATCTTCAAGAAATGTTAGAGCTTGTTCATATTGATGAAAAATGGTTTTACATAACCAAAACTAAGACAAACTGCTACTTTCTTCCCGAAGAAGAAACACCTCATCGAACATGTAAGAGTAAAAGATTCTTAACAAAAGTCATGTTTCTAGCTGCAATGGCTCGTCCAAGATATAATTACAACAAAAAGTCTGAATTTAATGGTAAAATAGGCTTATGGCGTATTGTAACTCAAAAACCAGCAAAACAAAATTCTAAAAATCGTGTACGTGGTACATTAGTGACAACATGTGTTGAAGTTACTCGTCAAATTTATGTGGACATGATTACCAAAAAAGTTAGGGTAGCAAAAAGATGGCCATCAAAATTCAACAAGATAATGCCCAACCACATTGTAGTATAGATGATGGTGAAGTAATTCGTGCCGGAACAGCTGATGGATGGAATATTAGTTTGATTTATCAGCCACCAAACAGCCCTGACTTTAATGTTCTTGATTTAGGCTTTTTTAATGCAATTCAGTCTATACAATATAAAAGCTCGATGCATAATATAGATGAATTAATTGCTGCTGTTTTGAAGGTATGGGATGATACACCTGGATATAAATTAGGCAATGTTTTTATGACACTGCAGAAATGTATGGAGTCCTCCATGCTTCATAAAACAGGTAACAATTGCCAAATCCCTCAAATAGAAAAAGAAAAATTACGGTCTACTGGACAATTACAAAGAAATGTAATTTGTTGAAAAAAAATAATAATAATGAATTATACTATAAAAAATTTGGTTCAATTATAATTTAATACAGTTCTGTTAATAAATTAAAATATGGTAGTACGTATATTTCACTTTTTTTTAAATTTGACACTTATTTTGGACCAAATAAAATATACAAATCAGACACTTATTTTGGAACGGAGGTAGTATTTTTTGCAATGATCGATGGAAAAGTATGCAGCACATTAACAGACTCCTTCTACATCTACTTGTCTGGTATGCATTGCCAAACCAAATAAAATAAATAATTTCGAGATGGTAACAGCAAGACTATCTATGGTCTTGCATGTAACCACCGCACAAGTACTCTGCTTTTCACTCACTTCACTACACTAACTCGAAGGGTTTAGTCCTCTTCAATCTTCTTGTGAAATTGGTGTTGTCGAGAAGCTAGAGGCACTGAGGTTCATGCCGTCCTACGATTTTGGGATTATTTGATTAATTGTCTCTATTTCAAGATCCTCACAGTTGCGGAAGTACCAAGGTGCATCGACCATGTCTTTCAGTTTTGTTTTGTAGTCGTTGAATGATTTGACTATTACTTTTACTAGCACAGATCCAAAGTTGTAGGCCGTATAACCGTATTGGCTTCAGTACTTACTTCTAAAGGAGCAATTTATTGTGGATGGGTAACTTGGAGTTCCTTCCAAGCAACCAGTACGTTTTTCTATATTTTAGATTAAACTCTTCTTTTTTTTCTTTTTCACGTGGACTTTCCAGCGTAGCCATGCGTCTAAGGTATGTCGCCGAGTTAGCATGTGGGATTTGGGCATCATTTACTCTGATGGGTACATGCTGTTTTAATTTATTGGTGAAGTCTACATGTACAGACTTGATACGCCAAGTTCTGGTCTAAGTATTTATTTTGTCCATAGAGGATTATTTTTCAGCAGCAATTTATGAAGTAAGCCTTCGTGCCAGACTTTATCAAAAGGCTGGGCTACATCTAGGAATTTTGCTGAGCAGATTTCGTTTCCTTCTAAAGACTTTTCAATAATATTTGTAATTGTGCGTATCTGGTCTATTGTAGAGTAGCTTTCCCTGAGCCCGAACTGGTGCGAAGGGATTAGGTTCTTTTCTTCTATTATCTGTTTTAATCTTTTAAAAAATAACTTCAAATCATTTCAAAATTACTGGCAACAGGAAATAAGCTTGTATGACGACGTTTCCTCAGGTAGTTTTCTTGGAGCATGATATGAATAAAGAGTTCGAACTCTAAAACCCAACTGGATGTTAATCAATCAATCAATAATCATACACATTTTAAACCCTTTTAATAACGAACAAAAAATGAAGACAAACCTGCACTCTTCCTAAGTTTCCACATTTCTCACGTCATCTATGAATAAGTCAAGCTTACTCAGAAGATTAGGATGAAGATCTTCTCACATAATTATGCTAAACGCACAAACGAAACGACTACTACCATATAACAGATACCAAAATATGCTCAAACATGATGCTTGAATTAAATGATTGTATTATACAGTTGGTATAACTTTTATTATTAATAACTAATCTACATATTTACATCTACTTATTATAAGAAAATTACCCATTAATAAGAAAATTTAAGACCAATAAAAAAGAAAATAAATATTTTGTTTAAATTTTATGTGACAAAAATCTGATACAAACCTTAAATATAATCGTAATCTGAATTATTTAAATCTGACTCATTTAACCATAAAGTTAAATCAATATTTTTCCAAGAATTTAACACTTTCGCTTTATTCCTTGTTTCATAACAACTGAATCTTATAGTGCTAACAGATTTTTCTTTATAACCATTTTCATCAGCATTTTTATTATTAATTTTCTTGTTTATAACATTTTTTTTATTTTTCTTGTTAGCACTATTTCTTCTCTTAATATTTTTTTTAGATTTTAGACCATTTTTACTGTCGTCTACAATATTATCTTGATAGCATATGATTAATTCTTCTTCGGGAGTTTCATCTATCGTATCTAACACTGGTATATACTTTTTAAAACGTTTTTTTAAAAATCTCTTTTTATAAATATTTTTATTGGCCATTAACGAACACTTTTTACTTCCATTATTGTTTAATGCTCTGAAATTCAATGTAAATTCGTACATGTTCTGTACCAGATTTTCGAACAACCCAATGGTATATGTGAAATTAAACGTTTCCATTATTAAACAAGTAAAAAATAATAATTAAATAATATCTTCTTGGAGTGATAACACGTTACGAAAATCTCGTTTTTTTATGAGTTTTTGAGATATAAAAACTTGTCTTTCAACGCTTTTCTGTAGTTTAAGATGAAATTTGAAAATAATTTATCAAAATAATTAAAGTTTACGTCAAAGTCAAATTTGACGTTTATAATTAAATAATTAAACGTCAATTATGACGATTAAAATTTTATTTTTTTTTTAATTATTTAATATTAATAACATAATTAATTCCTGATTTAAATAAATTTAACAATTAATTATAAAAATTAAAGTTTATATTTAATTTTTTTTTAATTTAGGAATGATGTTAAAATCAAAATTATTCAAAGTAACCAACATATATGTATATCGACCTCATTGGTCAACTGTCAAAAAAATTCATTTTAAAATTAAATGTCAACCAGAGTCGTAAAGAGGTTACTTCGGTTACTTCGTAAGAAATCGAAACGAAAATGGTTGTAGGAGCGTTTCCCGCCGCGAAATTGGGTGCTCTTTTACTGAAACAAATCAGTAAACCGATTGCGAACGCTGCGAAAGCCCAAGCGAAAAATTCGCCGTTTTTTCGCAAATATATTTGTATGCCTCCAGCTCAATGTAAGTGAGGTTATATATATATCACCTTGTTAAGTGAAACTAAAAGTTATTTGTTATTAGTTTATAATTGGTGCGAGGTCAAGGCGAAAATGTGGATTTTAAATTTAGGAAAACCTGTAAATATACCAGTATTAAATGAAGCTATGGCTATTGAATTAGGGGCAAATCTTTTGGGCGAAGGAATTATTTTTATAATAGCTGCCGGATTACTTATTAATGAATACGCCAGGTATTAAAAAGCTGAATTTTGAATCGTTTTGACTAGAACAATGTTTTAGATCTAGTCGAAAAGAATATGCAAAGGAAGTTAAAAAGAAGCAAGAAATGGAACTCGTTCAACAAACTTTACAAGAATTATTTTTTACTATCGAAACTCAGGGAACTCAAATAAGAGAATTAACAAGAACTATTCACGATTTAGGTAATCTAATTTTTGACATTTACATAACCTTAATTTTTAATCTGTCATTTTAATTTTTTTAGAAAGTAGAACTGTTCACAAACCTTGGGCAGCTAAAAAAGATAAACCAAAAGATGATGTCCCACCACCCCCACCATCAGGAAATTTAGCACCAATAATAACCTTACAAGAAGTCGAAATTTTTGATTGCGAACCCAACGAAAAAGTATCTCATATGGAAACCCCTGCTTTTAGTTTAAAATCCCTTCAAAAATCGGTGTCTGAAGCTTCCGGTACATTAGCCCCAATTATAACAATCGAAGAAGTTGATGTTGGGGAACGAAAACATGACGCACCTGAAAACATCATTCCGGAAGTTATGAGGAATAAAAAATCGGAAATTTCAACTAATTTATTGTTAAAAGCAGTTGATGAAATCAACGAAGAATTTTTTAGTAATGAAAAATCAGTACGGGAGGATGGCATTGTTACAAAAGCGATTAACTTTTTTTATAGTGATGTTTATAGGGTGAAGTTTAACGCGTAATAGTGATGATTAAGGATCGTTTAGATCTCTTTAATTGAGAGTGAGTAGTTGTTTTTTATCGTTTACTCTGTATACTTCCTTTTTAAGTTTTAAATAAGCACGCAATATGTGGTTTTTATTTTGTATTCAAAATAAAGTTGGTATTTGTTTTAAATTAATTTAAATATATATAATTTCGGTTTGTAGCGTTTCCCGCCTTCCAATTGCAATTCTCCAGCCTTTGCAGTCCTCTCAATCTCCTGGAGCCAGGTTTCCTTCAGACATCGCCTTCTTTATCCCCAATGCCCATGGCGTTTTTGGTCGTCTCCTAATTCTTCTTCCTGTTGGACTTCATTGCATCACTTTCTTCATCGCTTTTATCTTGGATCCATTCTTTGAACGTGGCCATACCATTGGAGCTGTCTTCTTTTGCCTTCCTCGACTATCGTTGTTTGTGCCCCCATCAACTCTCGTATGTCGGTGTTTCGCACTCGATCTAGTTTAAGCTAAGTTTCTACATGCACGGATTACTGGCGCCAGTACGAAGGCAGTTTAGTGGCGCCAGAAGTTGTTTCCACATAAATGTGATAATTGGCACATTAATAAAATTGGCGTCAAGTGATGTACTTTGTCGTCGTCTAATTAACGGTTTAGGCCTTGTTCTAAATCTCTGGAGTTTCACTGATCGTCTTTCTCTTGGTTTATACTGCAGTGCCAATTTTGCTATTCTGTCGTCCTGCATTCTCTCCTATCCATTTCTTTTTGTATTCCTTGGTTTTATCGTTAACTGCGAAAATTTCCAGTTCCTCTCTAGAATAACTTCGTTTCTGATATGATCCAATCTGTTACAGCCCTTGGTCGCTCATTTCTGCTCAAGTCCTTTTTCCTTGTCACCCATTCTTCGCTGCCATACCCCAGGGTCGGTATTGCCATTGTCTTATAAAATTTCATTTGACTATCCTTCCTGCATTTACCCATAGTTCGTCTAATAGTTCCACACATTCATGTGAAGATTGTTAATTTGTGATGTATGTCCTGCTCGTGTTCATCCTAGGTATTTAAAGTGGCTGGTCTATTCTAAGCTATCGTTATCAATGTATATCTTAGTTCTTATTGGTTCATTTCCTATGAATGCCATTGTTTTTGGCTTAGAGATTTCGCAGTTGCAACATCTACTTATGCTATTGAGCAAATATATTGGGCTTTTTGAAGGTTCTGTTCTGACGTAGCAAAAATTATTTGATCGTCTGCGAAGAGTAGTGTTTTCGGGGCGTTGTACTTCGTGTTGACATCAATGTGGTAATGCAAATGTGTTCTTTGGAACTCCACTTGTTATTAACAAACTAACTAAAACATAGCTGCTGGGTTTGATCGTGGATTGCACGTAGAAATTACCTAAGTGCTCAAGTACTTTAATTAGAGAACTATGTCATGAATATACATAATTATACACATTATTATGTCATAATTATACACATCATCAGCTGATTCTCCACTTCTGCACGAATTTTAAAACAACCTTGTTGGTTGGTACGAACTTGTATACGAATTGCGTATATTTCGTATTTTTGCCTTTGCCGAGTTTTCGTCAAAATTGAGAACTGTTTTCGACATAACCTCAACTATCTTTCTTAAATTGGCAATTGTATCCTTCTTAAGGTTTCTTTTTTTGCAGTTCGATCCTATATTCTGGAATTTTATGATTCCACAAACACGGGTATTCTTCATATGTTTCCAAAAACTGCATTATTTGTTATAATATCCATTTTTTGGACGGTTTATTACAAGATTTTCGCAATATCGTTTGTTGGCGCCAAAAAGTAGACTTTCGGTCAACTTTATTGGCGCAATGATTACTGGTGCCAGTTTATTGGCGCCATTGGATTTTTACTATTTCCACATGCAACTAAACTGGTGCCAGCTAAATGACGCCAGTAATCCATGCATGTGGAAAGTCACCTTTAGTCTTGCCAGTCGGTTTTTTCCAGAAATCCATTTCAAGTACCAACAGCTGGTTGTCTATTTGTTTCTTTAATTGCCAGGTTTCGCATCCATACACCGCCACGGGAATGAAAATAGTGAAATGTAATTTCCTTTTTTTTTGAGATATTTTATGACCAAAGGAGGGAGTTTATGGCTTTTATTATGTTTTTGCCCCGTTGTAGTCGGCTTCGTATTTCTGCTTCACATCTTTCACTGTGGTCCATCTTAGTTCCAAGGTAAGTGCACTCTTCGCATCCTTTGATTAAGGTGTTATCATTTAACACCAGATCTTTTGCTTCTCCGCCTACGCAAGATACTGGGTTTTTGCTACATTCGTAGTCAAGCTCCACCGGTAGTATTCTTCGTCCTGGGCTACTACCACCTGGTCGTCAGCAAAATATAGACTGTACAGCATTGTTTATTCATCAAGTTCTACGCCCATCCCTCTACATGTCGTTCTCCATTCTTCAAGAGCAATTTGCACATATATGTTGAATACTATGTTGTACTATAAAAAAATGTACTCAAACTTCGATTAACGAGAAAAACATTATTTATGAACATAGAGTGAAATGGAATGGCTTCGAATACAGAAGACAAATGTAATTGAAAAATCATGTTGCAAATGTCCAAATTGATGACCATTATCGTCCAGACAATGCTAATAACGCACACCAAGGGATTCGCAAACGTTACGAAACAGATCATTAGGAACATCGCGACATTTTCCAATTTCAATGCATCGATTGTTCTTGGTTTGGTGCGATAAATTTTGTCTTTGAGATATCCCCACAAAAAGATGTCCATGGGCGTAATGTCTGGGGAACGCGCAGGGTATTCTTCAATAGTACATCTTCGTCCAATCCATGTGTCTGGAAAAGCAAGCAGCTGAGCTCGTACATCGCGAAACATCACCAAACAGTGATAATCTGGAGGTGAGGGTAGACAGGGAACATACTAGAGGGTCTATTCGAATTATCCAGGGTAGTCGCAGATTGCTACAACTTCTGTAGTTTCAGAAAACGATTTTTTAATTGATATGTTCAATACTTGTCTGGTCAACTGTAATTTTATGAATCTCAATCTGGTACAGATTCGAATATGAATCTAACTTCAGCCACATCTTTGATTAACGTAACATTTATTGACGTTGCGATAGCGCTTGCCACAATTTGTGTTGAGGAATATCATATGTCTTGGTGAGGTCCATGAGAGAAGTGTTATTCTTCCTATAGCTACTTTCTTCTCTGTGATTTGGTTTAGACTAAATATATTATTCATACTCGCTCTGAATCCCGCTTATTCTTCCAATTCACATGATGCCCATTAGTTTTGTATCAAATTTTTCACTATTCGACCGTTTAGTCTGCTTTAGGAATTTATGATTCTTAGACATCGGTAGTTTAGTTACAGTTCTTTCTATCTCCTTTTTTATAGATTGGTGTTATCCACCTTTTCTTCCAAACCTCTGGAATTTCTTCTCCATTCGCAAAGTCTTGAAAGATACCTGCTAATATTTCTAGCAATGAGTCCACTGCGTTTTTTATTAACTCAATTTGCTTTCAGGGCTTTTTTTACCTGATCTGCTTTTATTTCTACCGCAGGACTTTCTACTCTATGTTTCTGGTGTTTCTGTTATGAACCGAGATCTTTGTTCTTTTAATTAGTTTCCATAATGTTCTTTCAAAACTGATACAAGTATGAGTGTTTTTAATTTAAATAAACAATTATTGGGCTGCTCAAAGTCTCATCTTTTAACAACCACGTTTGTGCTAAAGTTGTCAGAGGCGAGGCGATGTTGCCTTTCTGACGAACTTTCTTAGCTGAAGAGACCAATCGAAGTCGAAATGAGCGAATTAAAAATATAATCTGTTCTGTTTGTCGAACGATGCTCTCTGAGACACAAAGTCTTTTGCTTGCCAAATTTTTCCAAAGTGCGAAGTTTGCACAAATCTGGAAAAGGCTTTGTTTTTGACGAAATTGGACTGTTTGCGTCGAAGACAAATGAGATTCATTCAAAGTAGTTCTGTGAATGTGCAGTTATATTTTTGTTTTGACATTGATTGGTCTCTTTAGCTAAGGAAGTTCTTAGGACACCTTAGGACAAACATGTTTGTTAAAAGATGAAAGCTTACTTTGAGCAAAATTCATAACTCCTCAAAACTCAGATCTCTTTTGACTTTGAATTTTAGTTCATTGAGAACATTAATTTTATTAATATAATTAATTTCATCATTAAGATACTTTTTATCATGTTAACAAAATTGATGAATTTAAAAAGAACTTACACTATTTTATTATTATTTTCAGAAAAACAATATCCACATTATTTTATAAAATACAGATTAAATTCCTTTTCTTATTTAATAAAAAAACACAAATTATTTTTATTAATTTTCCAATTGTACTTCCATCGATTCATTCACATCATCTTTTTCAATAATTTCCTTTACACAAGCATCATCAATGTTCTGGGAAATTTCAACTTTTTGATGTCCTTTATCTTCCACCACATTTTCTACATTCGCCTCTTTTGATTCGTCATTTACATCAACCGTTTCTTCTTTTCCATTAGTTTTTTCCTCATCTTTATTCTCATCTTCATTGTTAATGATATTAACCTCGCTACTTAATACATCATTTATTTCTTCATCATATAAATCTTCGTGATGTTTATCATCATCTCCTTCTAATTCATCTTGAGTTTCGGATTGTTTAACATCTTTTCCTTTCTTTTCGAAATTTTTCTTCATCCGTTCCTCGATTTGTTGAAGATCATCAAAAACATCTTGACGTTTTTTATCAATCATTTCTAAAAAAAAAAAATTATATATTTTAATACAATTAAAAATAATTTAAATATTTTAAAATAAATTTGGCATTTATCATAACCTAAATATATCAAAAAAATCCTAACCTAAATATGTCAAAAAATCCTAACCTAAAATTCTTAAATTATAGTATATTAAGTTAAAAATAACTCACTTTCAATTTCATTTTTACATTCTTCCAAAGCTGTTTTATTCACCTCATTTAATTTTCTTGGTAAATAACAAATTTGTGGTTTAGCTTTGGTTTGAATAAAATGCATCCTTGGTTTTTGTCGTTCCTCCCATAACGAATACTCTTTCATTCTGGTCATTTTTAATTCAATCATTCTAATCTCGGCTTGTTTCTTTTTCCGGTTAAAAAACAATTCTTGCCTTTCTTTTTTAATTTCCGCTTTCTCCCTAATTTCATGTTCTTCGATTTTCTTTTCTAATTGAGCTCGCTTATCCTCCTTCGATTTCAATTTAGTCTCTTCCTGTTGGAACTTTTGCAGCGTACCTAACAGCGCTCCAAACATCCTTCTATTTCTCGCCTTTGATTTTTCATCTTTATTTTGGGCTGCTAAAGCTTCCTGTCGACTCGGAATTTCTTTTGGAGTAACTATAATCTTACTTATCATCTGTTTTTGAGGTTGTTTAAGCTCTTCCTCGTCATATTGATTATTTGGTTTATCTGAGAGACGCTTAAAAACCGAACTTCTTCGTTTATTAATCGGCTCATCGTTTTCATGATTAAAAGGTCTTCGTATTGTGGTTGTTGAACCTCTTTGTCTCACTCCGCGTATATCGTCTGGTTGTGATGATCTTTTTATAGCTAACGCTCTGGGTGTTACATCTGATGGGTCTCTACCAATTAATCGTTTTATACTTTCATCTACACCTTTTAAACTTGATCTTGCCTGTTCTAATTCGGATTGCAAAGTTCCGAATGATTTTAATATCTCTGTAGCCATACTCTTCTTTGCCTTCTATAAACTTAATTATTATGATTTATTTCTCGTTTTTTCTGATATTAAGGGAATCGATTTACATTTTTGTGTCATATGCGTCTCTTTAGGTTAGGGATATTTTATTTTTATTGACATGTAAAGAAAATTAGTTGACAGATAAATTTTTGGTTGGTTATAGTTTATGCGGCATATTTAAAATTGTTTAAAAAATCAGTTTCTTTTTATAACATTTTCGTTATTTCTTAATAATTTTTATTGATTGTTTAAAGGAATTTAAATTATTTTTTTTGTACATTGATTATTTATTACGTTTTTTGATGAAAAAGTTTTACGTTGGCAACACTATTGTATCTTTAAACTGTCGAAAATACTATTCTTCTATCTTTAATTTTCTTTTTTGTTATAAACATTATAATCTGATCACAAATGATCAATGAATAATAATTTGATTCTATCCTAAAGTACTACGGGTTCAAATCCAGCTCCAGGGATTTTACGATTAGATAGCAGAACTTGGGACTGATTGTATGTCGAAATCCCACCGTAAGATGGCATTAGCGTCTATACTGAAATAATTTAATTAAACTAACAGTTTTATTATTAATAGTGGGAATGATGAGAGACAGCAATAACAATTATTACCAGTATCATTCTTTTAATTTAAAAAGTATAGATTCCAATTCGTCTTATATTTTTAAATTTGTCGCTAACTTCAACTTTTTAAAAAGTTGAAGTTTGTTCAGAATGACAGATGAAAACGTCATTTTAAAGTGATTTTTTGGTAAGAGTATAATAAAGTAATAATGGTATGATTAAATAATTAGATTATAATTGACATTATAGCTTTGTTTCAGCTAACGTTATAACTGGTTGGAAGCTCGTCAGATGCAATCTCACATGTCATATGATGCCGTGATATTCAAATGTGGCGGCATTATTTGACAGGTGTAATTACCTTAGATAATTGCATCTGAGGAATTCCCAACCAGTCCGAACGTTAATTGGAGCTACGTAGTGGTTCCAAACAGTTATTCTATGGTTGAAGCCTTGTTTATATCTATAAACAAGGGTTGAAGCTTTTATATATAAACCCGATCCAACCTGTATTCTAGTGGTTCGGTTCTTAGCTAAATAATACCAAAATATCCCCAACAGATGGCGCCACATACGTTCAATTTTTCTAAGGTTCAAATTCAATTAAGGTTCTGATCAATAGGTCACCTCAGGTTCTGATAACACTAGACAACAAATTTACATTTTTACTTTCTCTTACAGTCGTAATGATAACAATAAAAACAAATTTATTCTGGCCCGTATTCTTCTTTCTGGAACTGTATGCTATCGTGCTGTTCTTCGGTACATTCTGATATCAATGTCCAACAATAATCAACCAACATTTCACTGTTCCAGTTGCCCTGAGAACGTTTTTCAATAACAGAAATGTCTTGATGAAATCTCCCACAGTGTTCATCACTGACGTCGCCGAGATTCGTGGGAATGAAATCCAGATGCGAGTATAAAAGATGCCTCATGTTACGTCCCAGTTCATGATAACTTCTAAGAAGTTCATTATCAATTGCTATGTAGTTGTTAGATTTTGTGTTTCCTAGAAAGTTTTCGATCACATTCTTAAAAGCATTTCAAGCACCACGTTCCAAGTCATTTAAAATCTCTTCAAATTGTGCATCTTGTTGTAGACGTTTAATTTTAATCCTACAAAAATTCCCTATTTGCGTTTTGCATTTGAAATATTGGGATATTTTCGTTGAAGGTATTGGAATCTTCGACCATTCTTATCCATTGCTTTGACGAAATTCTTCATCAAACCTAATTTTATGTGCAATGGCGATAGAAATATTTTATTAGGTCCAGGAATATACTTAGCCTTGACTGGCGCTCAGTAAATTCAGGGCCGATCTCCTCTGAACCGTTTGTACCACTAGCTGTTAATACAGCTTCAAAGCTGATAAACTCCATCTCCCATCGAGCTTTCTGCGACAGATGGGATGGGACAGCAGCAGGTGTCTTTGCTAAGAAAACTCTGCTCTACCCTGACCGGAAGAGATCTACTCAGTTTCTAGGAAAATCAAAAAGTGACTTGAGGCTTCTCACCCACTTTCTGACCGGACACTGCAGGCTGTATGCAGTGTTCTACATTAGCATATGTTCTATATGAAGCTGGCAAGTAGAGTGTCCCAACCTCGCGTACTTAAGGAAATCCATTTTCGAAGTACCATGTCTCCAAATTTCGGACATAAGGAACATACCTTTCTGTTCTATATTAACGTTCATGAAAGGATTGGGCTGGTTTTCTGACCATTGAATGAACAGTAATAATTACTGTCATCCCCACAATTATTGTGGGGACGTACAAAGGGCCCGCTGGGGCCTAAGTGCTGTGAAGAAACTCACCCCCAGGTGAAACTACATACATGGACTGCGTGGCCAGAGTCTTTTTGAGCTTTCAAACTCAATTTCGAAGCATAGATAAAAAGACGCCATTCTTCTGGATTATGTTGATGACCTAATGTCAGCATCAAGTCATCGACATTATTGCAGAATGAAAGACCTTCTTTAGTTGAATAGTATAGTTGAAATACTGTGACAGTTCTTTCTGGTGATTACGATACACAGAAATATGTGTGCCTGGAGCTTACAGCTTCCATCCTTGAAGTCTAGATCCTAGTATTTCTGCTTGAGATTTTGACAAATTCAGATTTCGAATAAGGTCATTTAATTCTGACCGATTTACTAAGTGAGGTTCGTCCTCTTGGTATGGCAAATATGCATCATCGCTGGTCGATAACTATTTGTTCTTCTGCTTCTGTAATAGCATATTCTTCACTCGAAACACCTATAAGTCTTGGTACTGGTAAGCTTTCAGCTGTCACAAACAGAGTTAATTGAATCTAACGAGCCGTGCGTAACTCCCTATATACCCACATAGCCAGAAATCGACAACTGCCTAATTTGATTGACTCCAGAGGCCCCAACCAAATGAACGTGGTTTAAATGTTGTGACGTAGGAAACAGGCAAGGACATGGTCAGACATGTCAATTCAATGTTAGGCAGTACAATATATCTTGCTTATATAAAAATCGCTTTAAAATTCTGTAAAATTTAATATACTTTTGAAAAAGCCATTTAAAAACATTTCTCAAAATCCTGACGCGATGGAATAAATTTAAAATTAGTTTCAGAATCAGCATGAAAAACGACATAAACTACACGTAATGGTGTATGAGAAAAGAAATTGTGTTTGGCAGTTCAATTATGATTGAACTACACTAATTTTATATAGTTTAGTCCTCTCTAATCTTCTTGTCAAATTGGTGTTGTCGAGGAGTTGGAATGCTTCAGAATTTACGTGTTGGAGAAGTCGTTGTTCATGACATCCTGCGATTTTGGGAATTATTTGAATAAGTATCTCTATTTCATGGTGCTTGTGGAGATCACAGCTGCGGAAGTACCAAGGTGCATCGACCATATGTCACAGTG